TGTGTCATATTATCTTATTGTCTACCTGTAAATAGGCTGACTTATGCACTGATTCACCCAATTACTGTCAGCTTCAATTTATACTTACTATAAAGTCATCTAAAAGAAGTTGCCAATTAACAAACTAACAACCCATCTCTGAAAGGTCATCTGGGGATGGTGACAACAGGATTAGAGGAGGAATGCATCAGAGGAGGGAGCGGCAGAGGGATGTGGTGGCACTGAATGGGAATGGATGACTGGGGGATTTTGGTGTAATGTTATTTAGGCTATGGAGGACAAAGGGTGATGGTCTGTCCACAGACAGCATACAGACCAGTTGATTGACAAGGGGTTTATTCGCTTGAGCTGTGTAGAACTGCAGTGGCACTGAGTTTTTTAGTCATATCCAGTATTGTCTATGTGGTTCACACCTGTATTTCTAAAGAGGAAGCAGGAGTAGTCTTGGTTTGATCATTAACTCAGAGGCACAAAATAGGGTATTTCATTGGAATGTGAATCTTATCTCAACTTTTTTTTAATTGAGTTATATATCAGAGTGAGAAAAGTTTAGTAGCAGCATAAACAGCATTTAAAGCACTTTGTTGGGCTTATGTGTTTACCAGGTAATTACAGACGGCGACACTTCCGCTCCCCAGTGCTCAGGCTGAATTAGCATCTTAAGTGGAAATCCACGTTCGCAGTGCTGCACTTTGTGTCTGAGGCCATAAGAGTCAGCACCTCCACTCTCTTGTTTACATTCTTCCATGTCCGGAAAGCGGAAAGACACTATAGAATGAAAAAAAAACTAAACCTGTTACTCTGGTAACCTGTGTGGCCGTGCTGGTGGAGTGAATGTATACTATTGTACTCGTTCGGGGCAGTGGCTTTTGTTGTAGATGAGCATATTCACATATGTACTGAGTTTTTCTTTGCGTTCGTTAATGATCTCTAATGTAATAATAAAGGTTGGGAAAAAAAAGATTACTGCCAAGGTGTCGAACAAATGTCCCCATTTTAAGATGTGAGGTAAGCCACTTTCAGAGAAAATGATTAGAGCACTAAATATGATTATATAAGAAAGTAGGCACCAGTCAGGTGGCTTTGTGTGGACTGTCTGTAGGTGCGGTGCCTGGCAATCTGGCAGCTTTTAAGGCTGTGTCTATACTTAAATCTCCATAAGTGTAACAGCAGGCTCCTGATGGGAGCTGCCATTATTCTTGAAAATCGTAATTTACTTTACTCGCTCAAGCTCTGCTCCTCATATCAGCCCGTATGCCAGGAACCAAACGAGGGCAGCCTGATATAATGTAATCTGTCTTGCTTTGTGAAATGCTGCAACACTGTGGCTTCAATTTGACAAAGCTTTGTATGAGTCAAGGCAGGTGTCAAGCTGGATCGAAAATCATTTCTTCTGTTCAGAACTGCTCGGTAAATGGGAACAGAGTTGTGTGCCAGCTTTACATATTACCCGCAGAAGCACTGACCTGTTACGTTTGATCGCTATGCAGACACACACACACACACACACAAACGCGGGCATTTCTCCATATGATAGCAGACTGTTTTACGAGTCACTGTTGCATAAATGTTTGTAGGATGTCCTGGGTTTGGGTCCGATTTTCTGGAACAATGGCCTGACTCACTCATGCACACACTCGGTCTCTCTTTGTATCCGTCTTTTTTATTCTGTGTCAAGCAGACTCACACACACTACTGCACAAACAGAGCACAACTGAAATACTTCCACTCTTACAACTATTTCCCCCCACGGCTATGTTTCCCTAATCACCCCTTGCCCACATTGTTCTATTCCTGACATGCATTTAATGTCAAGGTTCTGCAGGTGTAATGGTCAAGAAAATTTATGATTAAGGACTTGGTGACCTGAGGAACAATTCTTCTGCAGCAGAGAGGTTTTCATCTGTAAGCCGCGCAATGTAAGAATTTAGATGAGGCACTGAGTTATTTTCAGACCTGCCATAATATTCTCTAATCACAGTGACTATTTAACATAGGCCTTCTAATAACGGTCCACTGGCAATGGCCTCAGCTCTAAAAAGACAGCCCACCATGACTGGAGTCGACATTTTCTGATTCCTTTGACACATTCAAGCTTCATATTCTGGCCACGTCCAATCCCAAGGGATTCCTTTCATGACTTTATAACTTGTCATATTCCTGTATATAACCTAATGTTGGTGTCCCGGTGTCCCATTCATCATAGCTGTCAGATTCAGTGTGGTGTGGGGAGGGAGCTGCTGCTGCCGAAGGAGCAGAATCACAGAAGGAGCAGAATCACAGGCTGCGCTGTTTTGACTGAAGTGTGGGAATCACTGGTGTGGAATGCAGTGTAGGTGTGAACGAGTCGAAGCAGGTTTTACAGTGCTAATCAGCGGTTGGCCTGTGGGTTTCACATCTGGACCTTAAAGCAAGAGGGGGTTAGCTGGGGAAGGAGTGTCTTTTGGTTCTTTTCATTTTTTCGATAATGTCATATCTTGCCACTGTCAAATTGATAATCTATGTATGCACGCGAGAGCAACAGTCAGGGGCAGAAGGAAAGGGATGTTTATCTGATCATCATTTGTCAGATGTGGTTGGACTTAATTACCACTTTGCACAAGAAGGTGGAAGGTCTCATTTGCAATTTCCTCCACCTTTATATTCTACCACAACCATCATTTGTTCCAGAACAATTCAGCAAAAATGGAAAATAACTTCCTTAACTTGCATGAAAAAAATAAGATGGAGATTTTTTTCTTCTTATGTTTAAGATCGCTTTATTTCCTTAACCTACTTTAAAATTTTGAATCAGGGAAGGTGGCAAATAGTCGCATCACATGTGGGAGCAAGCATGAGCTTGTTACTTTAATATTTGAAGAAATGTTTAAGCTTATCCATAACTATATATGAAAATACAACATCACAACATAAGTCCTAACTCTGTCCGAGGAAGACATTTATTACCCTTCCTTACCTTCAGTATTATATTGGGTAAATTAAACTTATTGTGCTGTTTATTTTTTCTGAAAATAAAGCTGGAAAAATTTTAAGAAACTATTGCAACCCATTTCTTGTAGGTGTTGATGTGTCTTTACTGCAAGTATTTCTCTCACAGAAAACACAACACAGTGGAGGATGTCACCAAAGTAAACAGTTAAAGTTAGTCTGTATTCTTCTACTGTCCACCCAAATGCTTCAGAAAATGTCAGATTACACTGCCAAAGCATTCAGATATAATTACTATGTACAGGTGACAGAGGGAGGCTGCACCATGAGTAAAACAGTAGGCCATGAGAGGATAAAGGAGCAATGTGGGAGGGCTGTTTGGACCCACCATCACTGAATAAGGTCATAAATCATTCAGTGTTCAGTTTAAATTTCCAACACATGTCTGGTTTTAGGTGACATGTCGACTCCAGGTGACCTCTCTGTTTTAAAAGGTGACTGTGCATTAACAATAAAAAGGCACTTTTGCAGTCATTAAATGTCCCCCCTCTGAATGGTGCAGCCTCAGCATTTTTCAATGGAATTACAAAAGTTGCGTGACAGCTCAGCAGTTTTGTCTCATTGCTGTGGAGCTGCTTCAGATAAACGGCTGCATGCCGAGTCAGAAAAGGACTATGATGAAGTTTGATGCCCCATTGTTTAAAAGAAATGTGTCTATTCAAACTTTAACTTGCTCAGTCTTGTACAATTAGGTAATTCCTCTCAAAGTAACGACAAGCTGCCGTTAGATTTTATTTACATTCACCTTTCTAATTTCCTTTAGTCTGATTTTCACATTGCTATGTTTCCATGGTACCTCTGTTTTGCTTGATGACCATCTCCTTTTCCATCTCAAACCCCTGCTGGCTTTTCTTAGCCCTGTGCTTTTTGTTTTCTCCTCTTTCTTCTGTCCTCCAATCAGTTTTTTCAGGGCTTACTCGTCTCCCTTCACTCTGAGCTTGACATTCAGAGGTATTTGATGAAAATCCAATTGCCCCACAGAGTTAGTTGGCCTTTTATCTTATCTGCATCTTGCTGAAGTGTGTGTGTATGTGTGTGTGTCACCGTGTGTGCCTTAATTTACACTCTCACCAGACCCTGCTGCGTGAGTTTGTTCCAAACCCTTGTGCCACCATGCCTCTGCGCCACTTCTAGCAGACCTTGGCAGCCAGGTTAAACCAGTTCTGGTTGTGAAAGCTTGTAGAAATGTCACCCATGTTCCATAATAAACGTTGCCATTGGCCGATTTGTGTCTTTCTGGGTTAATGTGAGAGAAAAACCGCATGTGCACGCAGGTGTGTTGTGAGATAACCTGATGAGCCTGACCTTAGCTCTCCCTGCATTAGTTCCACAGCTCCTAATTGGTTTGAGAGAAGAAGAGCGTTTCAACAGCCCTGTGTTTGCTGCCCCCTTACTTCCAGTCCCGCCTCACATCAGAGGGGTGGATCACCTTTCAGCATGGCACAACAGCTGAAAAGGATCTGTAGTCATATCACGCACCCCGTTGTTCTTTTGTAGCAGCAATTTGAGGATGCCACGTAATGCATATTAGTTTACAGGGAGGGGATTTCATCAAAGTCTTTATAAAACAATTCATGATCTTCTGACAGTGTTTTAAAGGTTTCCTTTTCTTTTGGACGCACATTGCACATGTCTCAATGACCTCTTTCATTGTGTGCAAGCCTTATCATGTCAGTGCGGGCAACATTTCAAAGTAGATTTCTTTTTATGGTTATTAACTCTTGCATGATTTATAAACTGTTTTGTTGAGGGATATGCAGGTGGGAGAGCACAGTGAACATGTGTGATGTGTGGGCATGTACCAGTAAAAAGCAAGCTTAAATTTTTTCCACATTGACACGTCAGCTGGCAGCTGGCAGCGGTTTGTTTTGTTGTTGTGCAGCTTACCTTTTTCTGCTGCATGGTGTTGAAGTAAGACAAAGTGTGAATTTGAATTTACAGCGTTATTATGTGCAATTTGTGCTCATGGTTGCACACCTCACTTTGTTGTTTCCACGCCCCTCCCCATCCAGAGCAGAAGCCCGAAGCACGGCCCCAGCCCCCAGCCCAGTGTCAGCGACCAGGTTGACCACCTATCCCTGGCCTCCTTAGATTCACTGGACGCCATGTCTGAGGCAGATGCACCCACAGCCTTCACCCGTGGCAGCCGAGTCCGTGCCAGCCTGCCTGTTGTGCGATCCACCAACCAGACAAAGGACCGCTCACTAGGTATGTTGTGTGTAAGGCTTTTATGGTTGTTAGAAGCAGTTACAACTCTGTGCAGCAAAGTGAGATGTCAGTGACACCTGGAAATGCTTCCAGCTCTATATCTGATCAAAATCATTCAAATAGAACATATACATTTTATAACTGAGAATGTTATGAGGTTTTGTTTTTGTTATCTTTTTTAGTATACTTGTTATGAATTTGATGCCATCAAAAAGAATAAAGAAACTGGCAAGCTCTTGCCTAATATGAGGTTACAGCTTACCAGAAGTTCAGAGACGTTAGAAAGAGTCAGTTCTTTGTACTGACTTGTACTAGTATTAATATATGGATTGCATTAAGAAAGGTTGTAAGGCTTAGAAGTTGTTGTTAGTCACTCCCTAAACCACCAATATTTTGTAATACAGGAATTATTATCAGGTGTATCAAGTATTCATGTATGCTATATCTTACATATTGTATTTACTTTGTGTAAACTGAGATGAAAATTAACTCTGCATGGTTTTTAACAGTATTTGTATCACTTTTGTCACCATCAAAGCACATCATGAGGTCCCTGTATAATGACTCCTAACCTGTAAGTTGTCTCAGAAGTTGTGTTTCCACCACTTCCTCTGTTTAACTGCACTCCAGAAAATGTTGATAGATACAACATTCATAGAAAAAAATTACTTCTTTAACTTTATTTATATGGTGGCTCAATGTGCCTCTCACCTTTTCACTTTTTTAAAAAACACATTTTCTGCAAATTCACAACAATAATGATGTGAACAGCAAACTGTTTCTCTTTCCTGAAAATAAAAAATCACTGTGGTAAAATATTTAGGGACTGTCCAGGGTGTACCCCGCCTCTTCCCATTGACTACTTGGGTAGGGTCCAAATTGAAACTTTCTGAGGGGCTTTCTCCTTCTTTTGTGGCATCTTTGATGGCAGATTAAGTCTGTATTGTTTTTTAATTGTAACTTTTTCTCTTTATTGCAGCTGTGCATAATTTACTTTACAGCAACAAGCAATTAATGGAAACAAAGAGCATTTTTTTAGGCAGAATTTTAGGAGTTTGCTTTCATTTTACTAAAAAATGTTAAGTCTCCCTCCTAAATCCATCTAGCTTATTCTTCTGTTCTACATTCCTCCCTCACCTAAGCTCACAGTTTTGTTTTAATTAGAATGAATTTGTCTGCTGTGAAAGATAGGAGAAACCATCCACAGAACATTACACCAGCCTGTTATTGACAGGACCAAAAATGGGTTTTCTTATCAACACACATAGAGCTTCATTTGCATGGGCACGCAGAAAGACTGTAAGTTGTGTGGAATTGAGTTGTTGCAACTGTCCAAAAAAAATGTATACTCTCCAAACTAAGTGTTCAGCCTCTTCTAAAGAAAATTCTGTTTTCTCAATGGGGGGAAAAAAGTGTCACGTTGTAGAAAAAACGTGACAAAAACGCTCAACAACACTTTTGGTGGAAAAAGACACGCACACACTCACACTTACGCCATCACCCTCCCTCCCTCCCTCCATCAAAAACATCAGGACAAAGCGTTAGGACAGTGGGGGGCTGTGGTAGGATCAAGGGGAGGAGAAAAAAAGGGGGCACCTCTTTACGGCGGTGTCCCTCCCACTGTCTCTCACACACTTGCATACAGGCAGACACACAAGCGCACACTTCACTTAGTCCCAACGGACTTTTGGGGCTTCCTTGTACCCTCGCTCACGCTACAAGAGTTAGTAATGTGGTCGTTTCCTGAGCATCATAAGACCCAGCAGAAAACAGGAAATCCTTCAAACCTGTTTCTGTGAGTATTTCATCCTTTCCGCAGTGTAGCATCAATTGTTCTGACTTTCACGGCGTTAATTTGTGGTTGAGATACATCATTTTTGCTATGTGAACTTTAATCAGAGTCGACACAAACGGTATTTTTCAGGACTATGTTTACTTAGACGGTTAGTGTCTTACTGGAGAACTGCAGAAAACGTACTTAGAATACTTTTTGGTGGGTCCATTTGGTTATAAAACCCAGTGGCCATTTGTTTCCAGTCCTCAGCAAAACCACAGGCTCAGGAATGTAATACGATTCTGAGCTGTTAGAAGCTACCCAATAAACTTTGTCGGAGCAAAGCTGAAGAAGTATCTGCTTGATCAAAGTCACTTAGTCATTAATCTGATTCGTCTAGTAGCTGAATTCTGGCTGAAAACTAGTCAACTGTTTCCATAACAGATCTCAAAGGAAGGATACAGTTATTCTGTAAATGGGCACTTTGTTAATATATTACTGCCCAGGAACCCAGACGCACCAGAGAGAGCAATGGGTAGACTCAGCAATTTTCTTTCCTGGATTTGCCCTCTCTGTGTCTCATTCTGTCTCGCGGAGCATGTAGAATCTTGTATAATTTTTCACTAACATCTGGTAGCTCTTACTGGCCTGGTATTCTTTACAGGGTTTACACCAAGTAAGCCATGCCCCCTGTCCTTTAACTGAGCTCATTTCAGTGCACAAATGCAAGGCTGACCAAAATGAAGCTGAACTTTTGTGTCTGTCAAAAGTTGTCACTTTCTGGATGTTGTTTTTATTGTATGTATATACCCAATATATTCTTTTATTAAATGTTATTGTCAGTGAAACTACTGTGTTTGAAACAATGAATGAGAAAGAGAGAGAAATATAAATACATTTCTCTCTTTCTCTCTCTCTCGCTCTTTTGGGCACTGTTTATACAACTACCGTGTGGGCGTGTTCATAAATTTTGTGGGAGAGACATCTGTTTTTCTAAAACACGGTACAGATGCCACACCCAGGGTTCAGGGGTTCATGCTTTGGTCTTTTTGATGCGCAACTTTTAGTTTTCTACCCTGAGCACATAGCTTTGCTTTTGCCCTCTACTCCTGTCCCGACTGTATGTATTAACACTTAGTTTTTTCCCCCTTTTCTTTATTGTACAGTGTACCATTTCCCAGAACTTACCAGTTGATAGCAGTGTTGTTTGTCCTGCAAACTACTTGAAAATCATGGAACAGTGTTATTTTTTTCTGTCAGTGTTCAGAGATCAAAGTATGGTTGAAATGAACAGAGATTACCTCAAATTATTTGTATTGGTGTTTTGTCTCAGTGGTTCAGCTGATGATGTCACAAACTTTGTCGATAGACTCCATAAACAGAAATTCTTAGTTAGCAGTTCAACATCCATGGTACAGAAATATTTCTTCTCCCGACATGGCCAGCTACACCATCTGTTGCTGTAGCTCTGCAGATCCTTCTCACTTCTGTTTCCTCTGTCACATGCTGCCGTCTCTGTATACTGTCGTATGGTATAAAAGTTGGGCAGAAAGATGTTAACAGTTGTTCCTGCAGCCATGGTCTGGCGAAACAAATAATACAGCTCACCTAAAAGCTAAACTGTTTTGTTTTTCTCACCAGTGACCTCACATTTCTCATGATGGTCAAGGAAAATAGTAGTTCAATTGCAATTCAAAGGATATTTCACAATATGATCAGAGCCACTGCAACACACTACCACTTGTGTGGTTTTAGAGTAGTGAGACATGAAAGGAAACGAAAACAAACCGCAATTAAAAAATGGGAAAGAAAATTAAACTCATGGAAATCACATCTGTGACTAGAAAGAAAGGAGTTTCCTTCAGGCTAATCCCTGCTTTTCTGTTTTAGGTGTTCTGTATCTGCAGTACCTCGACGAGACCAAACAGATCCGCATGCCTAATGAGATCACCAGCATCGACACAATCAGAGCTCTGTTTGTTAGTGCCTTCCCACAGCAGCTTAATATGAAGATGCTGGAGTCACCCAGCGTTGCTGTCTATGTCAAAGACGACATGAGGAACATGTACTACGAGCTCTCAGATGTCAGGTAAAGATACATGTTTGCATGTAATAAACAACAAAATGGGACATGAACTGTGTATTATAGTGTAACGGGATATTTAAAGTTCCCAAAAGTTCCCTTCCTCTTTTCCTGGTTAGAGATCCATCTGCTGAGTTGGTGCTAGATTCAGTCAACACTGTTGTGTGACCCAGTCAGCCCTCAGCACCTTGACAACCAATCACAGCAAAACAGCTGTATTGTTGTTTCCCTTCTTCAAATCTCTGTGTCCACAGCTTTCCATGAACAGGAACTGTCTCGTACCAGGAAACCTCATTTCCGTTTTATTGTTTATAAAAAAAATAGACCAAAATGATAAAAAAAAACATTTGAGTTGGAGCTTTATGACAACATAGTTTTGATGAACAGCAAAGAAGATCTTAGCATTTTCTCCTGACTTTAAAGTGAATTAATATTATTAAAGAACTAATAGTAAAACAGAGAAACTAAAAAAGTAGCTCACATCTTCTTTTCTCTGCTATGTTATTAGTTCATTTGAGATTTATTTAATTGTATTGTATATACTGAGGCTATTTTTAAAACAGACTGAATGAGACTCTGCCCCTTAGTTGACAGAGTTTCTGCTCAAGTGAGTGTGTGTACTTTGTGACTAATTCTTTATCGGGGCTGTAAAAAATTGTCTCGTGGTGCTTTTACGTAGGTGTCCAAGGTACAACGCCATTGTGCGATCAGTAAAACTAGACAAACAGATCTGCTTGCCATTTACGTATCTGAGTCAGAGCTCAACAAATTAGAAGTAGATTTATTTAGCCTTTTGAGATTTGGAGGAAATGTCCAGTGACAGACAACCATCAGAGCCTATTTCAGGATATCTGCCCTTAGCTGGGCTTTTAAAGCTATCCAGGCTGAGACAGGATCGTCCATTTTCTGATGGTGATGTATGGGCTGCTTTCTTACCCCCGAACACCTCCTCCTCTTACAGGAACATCACAGACCACTCCTGCCTGAAGGTGTACCACAAAGACCCAGTGCAGGCATTCAGCCATGGACCCCGACCTGCCAACGGAGATGCCCGGGTGAGTCCTTCACTGAATAGAGTGGAATGCCTTTGATGTCACTGTGTACATGTGCAATGAGATTAAAAAGCAGTGCAAACTGTGTCAAAAAATCGGTATAAACAATATAAACCAAAAAATTGAGCTATGGTTCACAGTTCTAATGAGTATGGGGGTTGGGATGGTTGGACTACGGAATCGGTGCATGTGAGAGTTCAGGGTGTTTATTGCTCCTGCTGCTTGAAAACCAGTGAAAGATCTCTCATTAACAGCCAAACTTTGGGGAGTGTTTGAGTTGTGTTGCTTTTAAAATACTGAGCCCAGCCTCAGCTCTTCTCATTCTTACATCCTGTTTGCAGCTGAGGGAAGGAATGTCCCCCTGCCTCTTGCTAATCTGTTAAAAGGGGGGTCTCGTATTGTTCTCTTAGGGGCCTGCATTTGGGCGTCCCTTACATGGTCTGCAGCAGCTTGTTTAAGGGACAATTCAGAGCAATTCTTGAGACTATTTCCCCTGGTCATTCTTTCCCCGATATAAGCCCTAATCTCTTTCCCTCGTTCAGTCTGCTGTGTTTATTTCCTGCCGATGTAACAAAACCAAAACCCAAAGAGCCCTTTCCTCGAATGTTCCTTCTCAAATCCTTCTCTAATCCGACTTACCCTTTGTCTAACCTTGCTGCTCATCTTTGCCTGAATAAGATTTACAGCCAGCATTGCTGCATTGTTGTGATACAGCAAAGACTACCTTAACCTCAGCTACAAACCCGCAGCCACAAGCTTGATTTCGTGTGTCAAATTAAATTAGTAACGAGGAAAGTGGTAAGGGTTCAGAAGTATACCTTTAGTCTATCTTTAGAAAGGACAAGTTTGAGTTGCAGCATGAATTCCAAACTGCTAATTGGCTTCTGTCTGGATCAGATTGTTCATGGACAGCTGGAGAAAAAGTAGTAAAAATGAAAAGTGAGAATGGAATTTTATTTAAATCGTTCAGTGTCTTCTAAAGGCATAATGTCATCTGATAGGTTAGAAGATATGAGTTATATAAGAAGTGGATTGTGATCAGCAAAACAAAACAAAAACACACTTGACAACATCAGACTTCTGAAGCAAACATTGTGAAATTGTAAGCATGAGGAAAGCGATGCAGAGGACTGATGTCTGAATAATTCTGTCATTTTTTACCAAAAAGCAACTGAGACAGACACAAAGGCTGGCTGTCGCCAAGCATGGAGTTCATCTTAAATCCAGAGGCTGCTGAAAGAAAATAGTGTGTTGACATTTGTTGTATGGATCCAGACTAATGTTTCTCTAACTTAAACCTGTTGGTATGTCCTTTCCATACAAATGTATTGACAAGTGTTAAGTCTTGAATGTGCACTTGAACACGCACATTGTAGACTTCTGCTAAAAGCAGTGTCTATTCTTAGCAGCTGTACAATCTCCATGGATTTTGTCTGTTTTGTGTCCGTCTTAAACAATTCTTAGTTATTATGACTGTTGTTGTTTTCATCATCATTATTATCATGTTCTTTCTTCTCTGAAGTTCAGAAGGTCTTTATGTAAAATTAAACACACATATTTTAAAATGCTACCAATCTGTATATGCTGAAATGGTGCAAAGCTTTTTCAAACAGCCATGTCAATAGAGGATTTCAGAGGTTGTGTTATGTCCACATTACTGAGAGATATTTTGTAAACAGCGGTTTGGTTCTGGCATATTTCCCTTCTGGTTTTCTTAACACACTTCACTGGTTCTTTAACTTTTCTGATAAAAAAAAAGATAAAAATGCATGGCTTTGTTTATGCACTTCTGTATTATTATCACAGCACAGCTCTTTATCTGTTGAGCTTGGCTCACTCTGAGTTTCTGCACTTTATGAATCAGTTTGGAAACCCTATCTATTGCTGACACAGCAAGAGATCGAGGCAACTTTGTGCAGAAAACCCAGACAGGCTGCCCCTATTATTGGAGGCTTAAGACCTCAGTGGAAAAATAAGTCTGCGTGTGAAACAGGTACAGATGTTCTCTGCACGGCCTCACATTCGTCTGATACAGGTTCTCACATGCTACTTTTTCGAACCGTTCTCGTTTTGTGTTGTTTCAAAGCAAACATATTTTCCAGTTGTCCAACAACATCTGTGTATTTCTCTCTTTTTTGCTATTACAGCAAAGCAATAGCGCTTTGTCACTGTACACTGTGAGCAAATGTTGTTTTCCATTTCAATACAAGCGCTCTTGCTTTTGCACACGGAAGGGTCACACCCACTTTATTGTTCTCCTCACACTGATAATCTGTCTTGCTGCTATGGAATTATTACACTAAGACAACACTGTAAGAAACACTTTGTGTAGAACTGTGCCTGGAGTTTGTTAAAGAACTTTTAATTTGAGTTTTTGACCTGACTGACTTCTAGGTGTAACCCGTGAGTCATACCTTGAGGAAACAACAGCTTGTTTGTTTGAGTAGATTCAAAATTTATCCAGGAAGCAAAACAGATCGGATCCAGCCCTGTCAGTGATACATTCCAGCACCCTCCAGTGGTGTAATACTTGATATGTCGAACATCCTTGGGTGTGTCAGAGTTTGTCTATCAAATTTTAGTTGTGCTGCTTCGTATTTAGTTCGGTGTAGGACTAACTATCAGGGGATGAAAAACTTTGCTGAATTTACTCACTTTGTAATGTGTTCCTCTGAGTGTCTTCAGATGAGCAGTGAGTTCACAGAATTTACCATGCATGCATTCATATTCTTACCCAATGCAAGCTGTCAAAAATGAAAAGTAACAGAAATAATACAAACTGTTTACAGTGATGTAGTTTAACATATTAAACAGATGTCTTTTGACATGTGCTGTGTGCCTGTCTGCAGTTTTCCCACTAACAGGCAAGAACATGCATTTTTTCGCCATCAGCAGCAGTTCAGCTTAGTTTACAGCATCCTGCAGTGGTTATTAAAGGTGAAGGCAGTTAAGATCAGTGTAAAATATCTGTTGGATGATTAAACAGACAGTGCTTGACAGGTCTTGTTATATATTAATCAACTGCTGATGAGCCCAGAGGACATTTTTTGGTACTTTTTTAAGGAAATCTGCCAGTGTTAAAAGCTGAAAAATGTGAAGTCTGAAAAGCAAAGCACTTTCATTCATGTGGTGAAATTTTGTTTTGAAGAATCCTCCAGGAATAATATCAAGGACTTGAAGGGAAATACTGTATGCACAGTGTTTGTATCCTTGCAAGTAACTACTTTCTGCTTCTGGAACGATTGCTGACAGTGTATTTCTTTTGAAAGGAAACAGTGTAAGCTGAGTAGGCTGGATGTTTTTGTTTCAAGGGCAACTTCTGCCCAGAAGTCGTAAGATACACAGCAAAAAGAGGCTGGAGCTCTCAAATGGTCAGAAGTATGCAGTCTCTTGTGTTTTAAGTAGTTTTTCTTGAAAGGGTCTGGACTTGGTTGCTCTGTTTAAGAACTAAAAGATTCTGAAATAATATTGTTGCATGTTTTTGTGGGTTTTCCAGATGCACAGTGAGATGGCGCATGTTGGACGGGATGTTCAGCACCCTCAAAGACATCCACCCATGGGTCCTCCAACCCACCACCCAATCCAGGGAGCACTCCCCCCAAGTCCTCACTCCATGCCCCCATCACCTTCCAGAATCCCATTTGGCCCACGACAGGGCTCTTTACCTGGGAGCTCTACAGTCCCAAGGGACCGGCTGTCCAACCCCCCGGCCCGCTCCATCTCTCCTTGTCCCAGTGCTATCCTGGAGAGACGGGACGTCAAGCCGGATGAGAACATTGGTGGCAAGAGCCACAGTCTCACCAGGGGTAACGAGGGGCTGTATGCAGATCCATACCTTTTGCAAGAAGGACGTATTGGCATGGCGACAGCCCATGGGCCACACCCTAACCCTGGGCTTGATGGGCCAGAACATGGAATGGCGGCGTTTCACCGTGCCTCCATCCGCTCCACAAGCTCTTATGGTGGGCCCAGCCCCACAGACACTGTGGATCACCCAACCCTGTTCAGGCAGAAGTCCAGAAACAGCCAGCTCCCAACTTTGGGTTCAAAGACTCCTCCCCCTTCCCCTCACAGGATGACTGAGGTACGGATGATTGACATCCATAGTGGGCCTCCTCATGGTGGGCCTCCTCATGTTGTACCTCCTCATGTTGTGCCTCCTCATGGTGGGCTTCCTCATGGTGTCCCTCCTCATGGTGTACCTCCTCATGGTGGGCCTCCTCATGGTGTACCTCCTCATGGTGTACCTCCTCATGGTGTACCTCCTCATGTTGTGCCTCCTCATGGTGGGCCTCCTCATGGTGGGCCTCCTCATGGTGGGCTTCCTCATGGTGGGCCTCCTGGTGTTCCGATGGAGAGAAGCTCACCAGTGCGCCAGTCCTTCAGGAAAGAGGAAGTTCCAGGGATTAAGTCCAGGAACATGGGATCACCTGTGGTGTCAGATCCCCAAGGCCTCTCCCAGGGGCCCATCCCTGCTCCTACTGACCAGCAGACACGGTGAGTTCCTTGGGCAAAAAGCCGGCATTTTGCCCAACGAGATGGTCAAACTCAGGATTGCGGTATTGCATGAGCGCATGGACTAATTCTGCATCCCAGTTTCACTCTAACCACGAGCTGTTGAGTCTCTGTGCGTTGTCCTGATACTATTTCATCATCCATGACTGAAGGCAAGAATACAACCTTTATTCTCACTGTTTTCCAGTTTGGAGATCTGCAAACTAAGTGTGGCAGTCTAATGCACATGTTTACTTATTCATTTGTTTTTGTTTTTCCCAAGTAGCTTTTACTTATAAATGATTATTTTCAGCCAGTCTTGAAAACCTGGACCTGATACAGTTGGTGATCCAAGAATGTTTAGACTCTGACATAAATAGCTACCACAAATGAAGCCCGATAGCACTTGAAAGCCCCATTAACCCACGGTATATTTTTCTGTTACTCTGTGAACACTGTGCCAACAGCAGTGGCTCTGCAGGGTTTACTCAGTTTGGAATTATGCTGCAGATATTTTTGTACCTGATTAAATTTTTCTGCTCTGACTGGGAGCACATAAACACAGACGAAGGGTAGGAGGGATGTTTGCCACTTAGCTGAGAAAACAAGACACTACTTAAAGTGAGTCTGCAAGGGTTATGTGTCTACCTAGAAAGAAAGAAAAAAAGAAAACATTACAAAAAACAAGGGAAATATTGACAATGTTGAGCAAGTATTTGAAATCAGTCAAACAGATCAGACAGGACCACCAGGGCGGCCCAATCTCTTATTTAGAAATGCTCACGATTATTTAAAAAGAGGAGAGGAATTGGAATCTGTAAGTCATACACTTAACTTTGAAAATAAACACAGTCCCTCTCAATTCCCTGTAGCTTCCATGGAATGTATTCTTGTGTAATAAGTTGTGTGATACTGAGGTTATGCATTGTTGCCATCACAGAGACTTTGTGTCCGTCTATTGTCTGTAGCAGCTGCGATCCGCCCTATGTCCTCAACATGCCCCGTATCCTTCCTCAAGATGAATAATTACATCGGAGCACAGAAGTTGCTCTCTTTTCAAACCTCTTGGCTTACAAAAGCATTTCATTGTAAGATTCCCTGTCTCCCTTCTGGTGTTTTTGCTTTCTGCGGGCAGTAAAATATTCAGATGGCCCGTTCACTCGCTCCACTTGCGAATCACTTCTGTTTTAGTTTTTAGCTATCATATGCATAGATAATTCCTCAGTTTTCTACATGTCATAGGTGTTTTCACATTTTATTATTTTTTTAGAAAAGAAGGGAGAACGTGATGTTTTGTTGTTGATACCTGCACACTATCACTTCATTTCAAACATCTTTAACATAAGCTAAAAATGCTAGGGTATCCACTAGTGTCTCCTCCTCTTCATATTTTCAATGAAAGTGACATTTGATCTTTTAATAGTGATTATTTTTTATGTTTAACAGTAAATAAGTAAAGCACATTATTTCATTTACACATTAACTAAACTTCAATTACTTGAAAAGGCAGGTAATTTTAGTAACACCATCTTTTATTTATGTATTTAACTGAGCAGGCCAGTCCACTGGCCTGGATTAAACATTCAGCAGAAAAAAATATGAATGGAACATTCTAACTGTAAATGAAATGTAATTGAAAAGCTGAATTTACATGTAATGCCCCAGTTTGCAAACAAATGTTTTAATGACTTACAAAGGCACTTATCTGTATCTACTGAAACATGTCCCGTCACCCTCTCAAAAAATATCGAAAATTATTTTTTCTCTGTTGATTACAGACAGTTATTTATTCTGTTAAAAGCCCTCTTGTTTTTATAATGAGCTGATTTCTACAGTAGCAGCAGCTGTGATATCAGCAGAATTTTCTAATGTTTCTGCAGAGAGCGAATGAAGGCTATGGAGCAACAGATTGCCAGCTTGACTGGTCTTGTTCAGCATGCACTTTTAAAGGGTCCAAACACTAGTGTCGCCAAGGAGCCTCCAAGGTAAGCAATCATGGCACAGGACAGGGTGAGGCATCCGGGGAAACTAAGCTTCAAAAAAGAAAGCAGGTGATTCAGTCAGTGCAGGGAAGATAAAGTATCCCCTCTGTAATGGTTACTATAAAGTTTGAGGAAGAGGATGTAGGCTTATCTGTGAACTGATACTGAAGGCATTTGCTCTCCACAAAAATGGCTACCGTCTTTGGTTTACTTGGCTGCGATTCAACTCTTTGCATTATGCCTTCTCTGTCAAGTCCTGATGTTAATGTTGACTTGACTGCGTTTGAAACGTCTGCGACTGCTTTGAATTTGTATGTTTTTGTGCAATGATTAACATTCATTAACATCATTTTAACCTCTCTGATTTTTCAGTCTTTCTCTTCATACTTCTCCATGTGTTTGTACTTACTAAAATTTTAATCTGTTCGCCTGTTAAGTGCCCAGAATCATGCCATAATAAATTTCTCTCAATGCAGTGAGAGACCGCAGAAGACTTCATCTCCTGCCCACGCTGCACCTAATCCAGGTGAGTATTGCTGTGGCTCTCTTTGGTTTATTTTGCTTGTAAGAGTTTTAATGCCGTAATGTTCGGTAGGGACAAGACCACACAATAGTGTCAGTCCACAGTCTGCAATGAGCCGAACTAAAGGGTGGAAAAACAAAGTTAGGCTTCTTAATATGACATCGGTTCATATTTCCTTACAATCCTCTCCGCAGCACATCTAGTTTCATTGGAGTTAAGAGACCAGAGCCAGCAGAGCTTAGTCAAGCCCCTCAAAGCACTACTTAAAACAAGATGCTGTTACTTTTCAAAGCCTGCCAAGATGATTCAGCGATCCAATCTCTGCGCTGTAGCTGTCTGGGTTTGATGAAAAGATCTGCAAGCTTCGTCGCCAGTGGCAGAGCAAAAACACAACGCTATTTACATTTCAGGGAAGCTAATCCCGTGAATCAGCGCACTTTTCATATGTAGCATTAGAGGGATTTTCTTGTCATGTTGTGATTGAGTGAATATTCAAAACATCTGAAAAGTTACAGGCTGTCCTTTGTTCTTGCTACACTGCACATACTGCCCAGAAGAAACTTTTTTTTGTTACCCGTAAATACTTCCCAACACAGTTGGCTCTCTTCTTTTGATAGACATTGAATCCCAAACGCCCAAACACAAAAAACAGTTTACATTTTAACCAGAATTTCTAGATTGAGCAGCTGTTAAGAAGATGGTGTGAATAGTTTTCCAGGATTACAGAGACAAAAGTATTCTCTGTTCCTGCCCCACAGTCTGTGACCTGTTGAAAGATTTAGGAAAGTTAAAGGACAAAAGAAATGCTCTCCCTGCTGATTCATCATGTATCCATCTGTGCAAAACTGTGTCTATTTTAGATATGGGTTTATTGACTCAAACATGTTTTCATTTGAGTAACTCACATGACTGACAAATTCAATTTGGAAAATTTAGCACATGCATGACTTTTTGGAAGCAGTCACCTTGTGCAATTTAAGGAACTTGGAGCAACTTTATGTCAGTAATGTTGCTAGGAAAACTATTTATAGCTGTAAATTTTCCAAGTTCATTGAAAATATTTTCCCTTGAGAGGTATGTCTCAGTAAAATAATGTGTAAATTTTCATTTCTGTCAGCATATCAGATGAAAGTCAACCCACATATAGTCTTTCCTTATCAATCTAACAAACCATTTTATCATAAAATCCAGAAAAAACTCGAGCTGGAATGAGAAAAAAAGGCAGTTATGTGTGAAATCTAAGATTCAGGCTCCTCTCATCAGCTCATATTAAATGTTCTCCATGAGAAGTAAGCAGTCTTTATGAAAACCACCAAAGGTCCTTAAAGTCAGAACTCATGCCGCAGTTTGAATTGAATTATTGTTTTTGTCAGCCATTTAGAGCCTGTCACCCAAACCACAAATATTAGCCCCTTTGGTTTCCATGGCTCCAGCCTCCTCTCCACCTCTGAAATGCTCCTGATAGACAAGTAAAAGCTGGAGCCAGCCAGTGCCGGGATTTCTGTGCTCATTGTGCAAAGAAATATAAACTCAAAGGAGTTGAAACATATCTTTTCTAAATATTTGAATATTGTATTAATCAGTTTAACCAGGAAATGTGTGTTTGAAAGTCTAACAAATAATGCAAGGGCCATGCAGACCAGATACTACTACCAGATTTGGATACTACAACCCAGTTTGTACACACAGACAAACACAGGCAAAAGCTGCCATTTTGTTTTTATAGTTCTGTCATTTTACCTGGGATTTCTTTACTGAGTACAGTTATGGCCAGCAACAGAAATGTTTACAAAGGTTTTCATTTTTTGCCTTACCCCAGGTGGTTCCCCTGTCTTGGCTACCAAAAGCCACCCAGCTCCATCTGACAAGAGTTCAGTTCCTCTCAAAGTCAACCTCCTGCAGTTCAGAAAGAATGTTTCTGACCTCAGGATGCAACTCCATCAGATGAGACAGCTGCAGGCAAGACCTTTTCCCCTTTTAATTGATTTGGACTGATGTAGTGCCTGTTCACATGTCCATCTGTATGCAGGCATGCAAGTATGTGTGCATCTGTGTACTTTCAAAGACCTGTGTGCAGGTTGGTAAGTCTCCTAGGGTCCCATTATATCTCATTTCACTGTGCACATCCCCCTGCAGCTCCAAAATCAAGAGGTGTTACGCGTGCAGCTGAAGCGGACAGAGCAGGAAATAAGTATTAAACTTGCAGAAGTCATGCGGCACCTGGAGGACCCTGTCCAGAGGCAGAGGGCTCTGGTAGAGGAGGACAGGCACAAATATTTGGGTCTTGAGGAGCGAGTCCTCACACAGCTCAGGTGAGATTGCTTAAAATCTTCTTTTGAATTAACTGAAAGCATATATATATAATATATTCCAGTAAATCCAAGTGAATTAAATCTGAAAACTGGTCTGGAAACAGGGTTGTACATACATAGGAATTACTGTGTTTTATCTAGTCTAAAAGGGACACATACAAAAGTTGGTTGTCCTTGCATCAAAGCCTCTTACCAGCTTTAGAGTTGAAAGGAGACACACCCACGTGGCCCTAGTTAATGTTATTCCGTTTCGTAGGAAATCCCCAAAAGGTTTTCTCTTCATCAACTCACCTGAGATACTCAACCCTAAATTCTTTGATAGCCAACACCCTCAAAATTACAGTCCACAGGTTTATACAGGCAAGCACTGCCTCGGTCCCGGAGACTGCGCTTTAAAACAATAGACCCAATTAAGGAATAATTACTCACTATCCGGCTCTTATTTTGATTTGCCTCATCTTGCCAACAGGGAGGAGTAATTGAATCCTGTTCGTTTAGTTGTTTTCAAGACAAGGTCAAACTGTGTAGTCTTGCTTGACAGCAGTGAACATATGCTTCAGTAAACACAGTGATAGCAGCTCATGGATTCCACAAACTGAACGGGCAGAAGTCAGTGTATTGAAGCTAGATTAAGCCAAGTATAATTCTTGGTATCCAGCCATTTGTGAGTCAGCAAAACACGTCTGCTGGCACCTTTAAAAATGCCTTTTTTTTTTAGGGCTCCTAAGCTGTAAAGCCATTTGGTGAACGTGGTGTGAAAACTAATCCCGTACTTACATTTCACCACAGTAAAAAAAGGCATGAAATCCAGAGACGGAAAAAAAACATGAATATTTCAAGAGGTATAACTCATGAGTTTTACACATTACATTTTGATAGAGTGCAAAAGCTTCCACAGCATGTAATTCTTTACAAGAAACCTATTCATAAGTCAGTATTCTCAACAGTGTCAGTATGTCAAGCTATTATAAACTTTAATTTGATGATTGTAATTTTAATATATGGAAGAAGACCAAAATAAACAGTCAAACAACTACCATTTATGCTCTTACTCAGAAGCAATGTAAAGAAACCTACAGTACTTTCCTTTTTTCATTGACTTGGGTTCCAACTTATACAAAAGGCAAGTCTGTGCACCCTGTCCTCAGCTAAAATTGCATTGAGTCTTTTTACCAGTAGACCTTGGCACAGCTGGCCGTGTAACTCACTGCCTTTGCCACTCCCATCAGGGAACCTCTTTTAAAAGAGTTTCTCTAGGGTACCTGGTCACAATGCAACACCATTTTAGCTTTTCTCATTCAATCCCACACTGAACAGAATGTTATCATCCAGCATATTTCCCTGTGGAATAACCATCTTTCTCTAACAGCCTTTTGGGATGGCTGTGATATGTTTGCAAAGGGAGGAGTTACTGTCTCATAAACACGCCCTCTTTCAATGAGTTATCATTTGTGGTTTTTGGATAAGGCCAAATGATTCCTTAACTCTGTAAGGCTGTGCTTTAGATAGGACATACTTTTTTCTCTGTCATAAACCATTCCGAAAGTTTGTTCTCAACTCTATCTGTTCAGTTTCATGAAGGTTTTATAAAGATAAACGATGGTAGCCTGCCCCCTGGTGTTCAAGGACTGTAATACTTCCAAGAGATGGTGCTTTAAAAAATGCATACCGGTATATCTAATTTGTCTGCTGTTCAAAAAAGTACTTGTGATGATGGCTGCTATGGTAAAAGAAATTACTTCTACGTGTTTTTTATTAACCCGCTGAAAAAATTACTTAATTACTTCTTTAATTCTCAGATTCTTGTTCTTTTATTTCTCTGCAGCGAGCTGGAGCAGTTTGTCGGTTCTCTGCAAAAGGACTCAGCAACAACTCCCAGAGTCGTCACCCTAAAGGATGTGGAGGAGGGAGCCATGACTCTGAGGAAGGTGGGAGAATCTCTTGCAGGGCTTAAAGGTAAGATGATGATGATGATGATTAATTAATTGTTGTTTTTCACACAATGGTTACTTGGAAAAATAGTTTTATGCATTTCTTCAGGAGAGTTTCCAGCACTGCAAACCAGGATGCGAGCTGTGCTCAGGGTGGAAGTGGAGGCTGTCAAGTTTTTGAAGGAAGAGCCACATAAATTGGACAGCATGCTGAAACGAGTCAAGAGTCTGACCGACACCCTTAGCAGCCTTAGAAGGTGGGGCAAAAACAGAGCTATAGGAGGGATCTGTTTCACAGGTGCTGGAGTATGAGAGCTGAGAGTGAGAAAGTGAACAGAAGATTCAATCAAAGAGGCCACTGCAGGGCTCCTTGCTAGAGTCTGTGATGCAGAAGATTGTAGTATTTGATTATGCTGGCAAGCCAGCCTTCATCCCATCAAAAATGTTATTGCATGAGGACAAAGGCATGTGGCATTCAGTTTGATTTTCTTCCATCACCTTCACTAAACCGTAAAGTGAATGAATTTGGTGGACATTGCTGCACATCATTACCACTTGTATACACCACACATATCAACTCATTCTTGGCTTTTCTGTCTCTCTGTGACTTGAGTCATTTAAAATCCAAAAGACTTATTATGATAAAATCTGATGGGGTTCTTCCTACGATGTCAATAGATATTATTATTTGTCTTCCACTTGTTTCAGACTGTTTTCCTTTTCTTTGCAGATCTGCAAGTGAGTTTTCTCAGAAAGGACCTGATCCTCCCAATAGTGTTTCAGTGAGAAGCAGCCCTGTAGTAGCAGCAGAAGCCCCTGTAGAGGCTCCCCCAGCATCAGTCAAGGCCAGCCCAACTCCAGCCCCTCCCGAGCCCCAGACCTCCACCATCAGGTCAGAGGTGATGCCTTCCTCCCCAGTGGTCATTCATCATGTCCAGAGTTCGCCAGTCCACATGCAGCAGTCCCAGCAATCTGCTGCTTTGACAGCTCAGCCCAGTCCTCCACTCACCCCCAGTCCCACTCACACCTCTAGTCCCCACCTGAGCAAGAGTCAAGGCAGGGAATCTCCCAAAGGTGCCACTTCAGGTCCACCTAGTCCTGCTCGCCTTAAGAAGACTCACGGAAATTCAATAAATAATGGCAACAGCAGTGCACAGCAGGATCTTATTATAGAGGAGCTCCAGAGCAGTAAGGACAAGAGCAAAAACCGAGCCATGTCCATAGAGGTGAGTTATCTGCTTTTTTAAATATCCTAAGAGAAGTCTGATAATTTCACTCACTTGATTCAAATAACATTAATTAGCCTTTACCTAAAATTAACTTATTCCACCTAATTTGAGAGCTTTAATTTGACTTTCTGTCTTTTCCCCTGAAACTTGTAGGTTGCAGAGAAGGAATGGGAGGTGAGGAGGCAGAACATTGGTCATTATGATGGGAAAGAGTTTGAGAAGATCCTTCAGGAAGCCCAGGTCAACATGTTGAAGGGAATCCCAAGTCTGGAGGTAGAAGAAAACCAACCACTGCCTTCTGCTGATATTGTGGAGCAAGAGGACAATCCAAGTCCTGTTGAGTCACCATCAGGTACACATCAGACAAAAGTGTTAAAAAGATATCAACAAGTCATAGTTTTAAAATGAACACACATTAAACTTATTTTGTACGCCTTAATTCATTTGTCTTACAGAAGAACCTCAGCCAGGGCCTTTCTCAGAGAAAACATCCAAGAAGGGGCCTGAGAAAGTTCCACGGCCTTTGATGGAGAAACCTACCAAGCCAGCCCTTGAGAGACCCTCCAAGACTGCCATCAAGCCAACAGCCACCGACAGTTTGACGAAACAGGGCTCTGAGAAGGCAAATAAGTCCCCACCGCCGCCTCCTCCAAGGAAAACCTATAACAACTCTGGCACGGGCATGACCACAACACGCTCTGGGGAGGTGGTGTACACCAACAGGAAGGAGAGTGTCTCTGCTCAGGTCAGTTTTGATGGTTACAGAGAACAGTGAAGATTTATGTGTGACATCTGTCTGCTAAGTAATAAGCAAGAGGCAGGCAGCAGTTACATTAAAGAAGTTCATGTCATGCCCATTTACAGAATCATTGTTTCCATCATCACATGCTTCAATTGCAACAGAAAAAAACTCCCATCACTACACATTGTTACTCCTGTCTGTTTAAGTACCCCTCTCAATAGGCCCAATCTGCTCTCAAGTGAATCCCGATCGTGTGATGTATGAGCGCGTCATAACACATTATATATAACAGGCCGTCTTATTTATGGCTACATGACAGGAGGGTGAAGAGGACTCTCTGCCTCCCTCTCCACAACCTAAGCACATCAAGGTTCCACAAGAGACCAAGCCAAAGCCTGCCACGCCACCCCCTGTCACTGCCTCTGTCGCAGGAGAGGAGGAAGATGAAGGGGATAAGATCATGGCAGAGCTCCAGGTAAGATGCATGTCAGCACACTCATGCACACGTGCACAACCTTTGAAACATGCACTAATCCAATCAATGGATGTGAGGCTATCTGATTTCTGCATAGTGTGAATTGGTTGCTTAACTTCTTCCTATGGTGGCTGACTTCCTCAGAAGTGGCAAAATATGGGCAGGTCATCACACTTGGTACAGCTGAGGCTGTGGTCTAAAAACTTAAACCTCTTCCCTCCGCAAAATTGTTGTTCCCATCTCCTTCTCACTTGTTTCCGCTCTTCAGGTTTTCCAGAAGTGCACAGTTAAGGAACTGGGGGTAAAAAAATTGGTAGAACCCACCCCTCGAATTGAACCCCAAATCAAAGAACTGAGACCGGGGGCTTTGTTACCCCTCAAAGAAAAAAAGGTAACATATACGCCTCAATGCAGCTGCCCAGCTAACTCCCTGCCTGTGCAAACCATTTGAAACGATCCGTGGCTGTGCCCTAACACTTCTACAAACCCTGTGCTCTTGTTTTGGCTTGAGAGAAACCTTTACCAGCTGCCTCCACAAAGCTTCTATCCTTGCTACCCCTTTTCCTTTCCTCTTTTGATCCTGCTGAATATCACTGCTTGGATTTTTTTCAGGATTAAGTCTGCATAAAATCGAGCTTTTGAAAAGCTTCTGTGTCTTTGTATGATGTGTTCTACAGCTGATTTATCTATCACTTGTTTTTTTTCTTTCTAATCAATAAAGACCTGTAACCTACATTGTATTTTACAGGCAATTAAATTGTCTTGCGTCTTTCTTTAATGACATTTCCTCCTACAAAATCAAAGTTCTTCACAACAGACTTAAAAATTTCTTTGTTAGACACAAACTGTTTTTGCAGACTTGGTTCACCAAAGGTCAGTCTGGCTACTTTGCATGCTCTTCTCCCTCACTTATTTCCTGAAGAATTATTTCTCCATTTCTCTTTGTCTCTGCACAACTGCACCTTAATTTGCTTTTCAAACCTTTACTCTTTTAGAGCTATGTAACAAAACAATTAAAACATTTGTATAAAAACTAAACATATTTAGGCATGCTAAATGTATACAATTTTGTTTCAAGACACACTTTAGAAACAACTCTCTAAGATTTTTCCAACATAAGATGTGCATAATGAGGGTAAGTTTTGCAGTGTTAAACACCCCATAGGAGAAAAAAAGTGAAGAGGGGCTTCACTGATGTACTGTATAAGCAAGGGCTAGAAAATAACATCCTTATCACAGACAAAAATGGAGAAAGTTAGTGGACAACATTAAAAAATGTAGAAGTAACTCCTTGTGCTATCTTTTACAAAGTTAAATGTGTTTGTTCCGCATGCATTTTAATGCAGCATTTAATATCGGAGCTGTTTGAAAAGTATCCAACTAAAAGTACAACAAGTTAAAATTTTACCATTGCCTTGTAAAAGGTATTTGGCTCATGGATTCCATGGTATTCAATTTTTGTGAGTTCACTTAAAATAGCAGCAACTTGCTGCACCAGTTGCACAGTAATATTATTCCCTCACACACTGTTCTAGCAGAGTTCAGAGCCCAGTCGAGATGATAAAGATCCAGACACAGATGAAAATGGCAACTCTACAGCGCGGCAAAGCCAAGGAGTATGTATGATTTTCACTCATTTAAACCATGTTCATAGTTATTCACTGTACATTCAGTTTTTAAGTTTTAAGATAATGACAGATTTTAAATTTCACTCTCCCAGGTTATATATTACGTGACGGGCCAGATTCCTAAAGATCAATCGCCCCCTCCAGGATTGGAAGACACCCCAGAACTCAGAGAACCCACACTGCCTCCAACACAGGTGTCAAATGTCAATGTTAATGACAACTCTTCAAGCCAGCAACAGCAGCTGCCACCCCTGTCTCCACCACCCAAATCCCCCCCTCCTGTCACGCCTCCTCCTATATCTCCTAAGCCTGTTGGACTCAACGGATTAAAACTACCCAAGAAGCAAGTTAAACGTGCAGAATCCTTGAAGACCGGCAAGGAAATGCAGAAAGGAAAATTCTTAAACAAAACAAACACCGAAAAGAATAACAAAGTGATTAAGGGGCACTTTTCTTTCAGCAAGAACATGTCGCCTGAGCAAGTGGAGAAGACAGCTAAAGTGGAGGCAACTAAACAGTTTGTTCCTCCACCCAAAAAGACTTGCAATGAGGATAATAAACGTCCTAAGATTAACTTTGATGAAGATGACGAATGGACTGGCCTTAGTCCAGACTTACCTGGAGAAGAGGCACCTCCGCCCCCAGACAACATTGCATTTATGATCACCAACACCAAAGTTCAGGCCCTGTCTTGTGGCGAGTACCAAGAACTGGTCAGTGCCAAGAAAGGGAGCGTCAAGACCGTTACTGTAGGCAGTGCAGCTAACAGATTGAATCCTTCAGTTGATCCAACAGTGCCACAGGACAATGGCTCAAACAAGAAGCCTGTCATCATTATCTTTGATGAGCCAATGGATATCCGTTCAGCTTACAAACGCCTGTCCACCATCTTTGAATGTGAGGAAGAACTGGAGAGGATGTTAGCAGAAGAGCGCATTGATGAGGAAAGTGAGGAGTCAGACACAGAAAGGAGTGGTGGATTGTCTGTAAAAGCAGTGAATGCTGAGGTGGCTGGTGGGAAAAAAGTTGGTTCCTCACAGGGTACTGTAGACCATACCAGCTCGCCATCGTCGTCTTCATCTTCGATATCTGAAATAACCGACAACTTAGAGGTAAATGGGGATGCAAAGCCAGATGGCAAGAAGAAGTTCAAGTTTAAGTTCCCTAAGAAACAGTTGGCCGCGCTGACACAGGCGATTCGCACGGGCACCAAATCCGGGAAAAAGACTCTACAGGTGGTTGTGTATGAAGATGAAGAAGAATGTGATGGTACAATCAGGCAACATAAGGAGGCAAAGAGATTTGAGATTGTGCGCTCAAAATCCTTTGCCGACACCAGCAAGGAAACTTCCCTTCAGAAAAAGCAGAACTCTGATTCCCTCTGCAGAACAGACGATATTCGTAAGAGCACCTACAAGACTCTGGACAGCCTGGAGCAGACCATCAAGCAACTGGAGACCACTATTAGCGAGATGGGACCACGTTCCCCTGATGAGCCAGTCAGCATTGAAGACGCTAAGGCAATGAATGGGAAAAGCTCAGATAGAGTTGGGCTGAAGAGGTCCTCCTCTCTCCCGACCTCCAGAGGGCCTGGCCCTAAGTTAGCCAGCAGAAATTCACTGAAGAAGACTAAACCTCAGCTCCTTCCTCGTCCTGTAGTCACCCCTTCTACCACCACAACCAACACCACCACTGTCCTCAGTGTCCCCAGCACCATACAACAGGTCTCTCTCTAGCTTTTGTTGCTCCAGGAGACTTTGGGTCCTTCTCTTTCACTTTCCAACCTACCTTCACTCCAACGCTAACCACTGAATGTAAAAAGATCATTAATCAACTCCACAGGTGCTCAGAAATGTTGGAAATGACCCCAGTGGCTCTCTGCCTCTGTGAAATCATGGTCACATGATTGGGGTGGCATTTTGTTGGGTTCCTGGCTACCATCTCTCTCCTGCAGTTCACTGCTAAAACTCTGAGGTTTTCAGCAAGTGGCGCTCTGATTATCAAAGACATCGTCACGATGCTCTGGTTACTTCCTTGTTCTTGACTGCATGTACTATGTATACTGACTCTAAAGTTTGTGGTCCCACTTGGTGCATGACCTTTCACTGGTGTTGATTGTTGAGGTTTTTATAAAGTTTTTTTTTCTTTTGTACCTGTTTGTGCCTTGACTTTTCATACTTCCTATGTGGTGTGTTTTTCCTATCTTTTTTTTATTTCCTGTTTTGTTTTTCATTTGGATCCCCTTGCAGAACACCAGTGTCGCTTCCCCTACTAGTCGGATGCCCGTCCCTATGTCTGCGAAGGCCAGGCAGTCGCCGGGTACAACTGACAAAGCTGGAAAACAGCAAAAACTGCAGGACGCTCAGAGGCAGTTTCGACAGGTAGTTTTACTGTAGGGACTTACCAGAGACTAGAGGAAAAAAAACATAGGAAGCGGAACGCATGAGGCATATACGGGGGGAAAAATGACTACCAAAGCTGTGAGATTTCAAACGTTTTGACAAAATAAAGCCATCATTATGGTGACTACGGATATATAAATGTTTCTCTGAGTCTGCAGCGACAGAAAGGCATGTTCGACTCTTGACTGTTACCCCATAACATCACTGTACTGTATGCTTCTGCATGTCCACACTGCTCATGGTTTTCACTGTGTTGGTGGCTAAAAAAAATGGAGAAAAGCAAAGAAAACGGAATCCTATCCTGTCATCATCTGAGTTGTCATCACATCTCCAGATCCCATCACAGTTGAGTTCCTAAACAGTGTTGCCAAGTCCTAAAATGCTTCTGGCAATGTTCACATACACACTTAACTGACTTTTCAGCTATGCTCCTCCCTTCTCACAATGCACCCTTGCTCAAACCCAACTGCACAGCTTCCTTAACCCAACGGTGATATATTTCCTTACCGTCAGGACCTCAGCATAACCCACTCATCTTGCACCATCAGCTCAGTGGAATTAAGGTCCACAGTTCCCCTGTCTGTTGTTACTCTTTAAACCCCTAACCCTGTTTTCCAATTTACTCTGGTCCTTGTATGCATCTTTGCCTTCTGAATTGTCTCCCACAGTCCCTCACGATGCCTAACAATCCCTCTAACACAAAGACATTCTGTCGAGATCCTGTCTTCCATCGTGCTGCCTAACCTTTGCAGTGTTCTTTTTCTTGGTAACATGTCCCTCCTTTCGGTACATCTTGTATTTCTAGTTTGACAAAAAAGCTTCTTTATATGTTGTTTTTGGTGTCTTTAAGTTGCGTCTTGTTAGTTATATTAATGTTTGTGTAGTCATAGCATTTGTCCTTGTGAATAACTTGTAGTTTTATTTAACATCGTCCTGCCGTTTTCATGTATTAATTTACCAGTTTTCTTTTTTGACAACCAGTATCTGTTTTGGCATCTGTTTGCAGGCTAACGGAAGTGCTAAAAGAGTGGGAGGGGATCATAAGACTACTTCCCCCACTATACCCATCTCTAAAATCCCTGCTTTTTATCCTAGCTCTACTAAAAGCAGCTCACAGCCTGCACAAAACTTAGATGCTGCTAATCCCATTAACCCATCTTCCTCCTCTTCCCTCTCCGTGACAAAGTCCTCCACCCCATCCTCTCACACTCCTCGTTCCGGTTCCCTGTCCTCTTCCCATATCCCTTCACTGTCTAACGGTTCCCTCAAACTCCCATCAGCCTCACAGCACACAGGTAAAGCTCTTTCGTTCTCCTCGCAGAATCAGAACGGTCGAGTGCACTCCTCCTCCTCCTCCTCCTCCTCCTCTTCATTCTCCTCCTCCTCTTCCTCCTCCTCCCCCTCCCCTCTGTCGCCCACACCTTTGGGCCCAGGTGGAAAGAGCATCCGCACCATACACACCCCCAGCTTCACCAGCTACAGATCCCACAACGGCAGCAACGGCAAATCCTGCATCCCAACAGCCACAGCAGCTAAGGACACCACTTAGCCCCAATATCTCCCCTCTGGCTTTACAGCCCAGCAGGTAGAGCTGATCATGTTTCATGTATTATAGTTTTGGTTTGGGTTTTGCTTCAGTCTTTTTAAAGGTTTTCTTAGAAAAGTATTAAATGATGCACTCCCTCACTTAACCTTTTTTTCTGACACTGGCATTCGCACTCTGTTACTTTCCTCTGATTTTTGGTTAATTTTTAAACATTTTTTGGATTTGAATTGTATCTAAAGGGTGAACCAGATATTCTGAAAAAATATTTTGTAATGAAAAACGATAGAGTTTTGCCACATCATAGTTGAAGTGGAAGACTTTCCTTGTGTTAAAAGTATATTTTCTTGCCGTAGCTATGAATGGGTAATATAGAGTTGATGTACAATCACAAAATACCATGTAAAATTTGTTTTATTTTTTAAATAAGAGATTGAATAACCTTAGTATATTTAATCATCTATATTTCTTATGTTTCCAGGCATTTAACAAAGCTTTTGTAAATGCCTTTAATGAATGTATACAATATGTATACACGCATTTTAATTATTTTAGTTTTCTAAGAGTTGTTCCTTGTTTTTACCCATAAAGAACTGCCAATTCATTTTCAGATTTACAATTGGTGTCATGGTTAATGCAAGTTTTCATTTTCTTGTGCCTATTTGCCAAAGTTGTTTTAATAATAACTCACTTCAGGCCTAACTCAGTCATGAGAATTAGCGGAAATTACATGCACTCTCTTGGTTTGATGCCTGAAGTGTTAACCTCAGTGTTTGTACTGCTGGTCATGTTTTGTCAAGTTAACATGTATTGTTGCTGTTAACATAATCTGTGCTAAATAGAAAAAGGTTAATTTGTTCAACTATATGTACATACAAGCAAACACTTCAACTAAAAAAATGAGTAGTTTTTGTAACCTACCAAAGTTTATTTGTATGCATGCCTTTCAAAAATATTAGGAGAGTGGTGTTAAATAAGTACTGCGTTTGCACAAATAGATTTTTGTAAATAATTGGTTTTCTCGTTTCTCTTTTTTTTTGTAAAGCTTTAAATCATAGTACAAATGAGCAGTGTAAGACAAAGTGTGTTGGAATAGCAGAAATAAAGACTTGCATGCTTGCAGTGCATTCTGTGTTTTTATTTTTTGTGTTAGACTTCCTGTTTGTGTCCACTGTTCACAATAGATTTGTCTGTGTGTGTGTGTATAAATACACAAGCTGCCATTCACCGCACAACAGTTAGTCTTTTACTTCCTATTCACCTCTGTCTTACTCTCACATTTATGGTGAATATATTCCAGGATCGTGCTTCACTGCATTAACAGGTAAGAAAAAACTTGTTCTGAAATAATTCTACATATTTGAAAGATTTATGTTTTACACGTTCTTACTGGCTTCCCTTTTAATTAATTGTGAGTCATTAAAATGTCAGCATTTGCGATGGTTCTGTGTAGAGCTTTTTAGTACATTAGTTCTTACAGTAAACATGTTAATTTTATATTACATAGCACACAATGAATTCATTTTTTAAAGGTTTAATTGAAATTAAATTCTACAGCTTTTAGTTAATAATTTATGGAAAGTAAAATCATCAGTGTTTGTTAACTTTCGAAAATCCTTTATGCAGGTACTTCCCTGCTCACACTAAAGTAAAACTTCCTCTTTCCAGAGTTTCACTGACACATGATTTTGCATGTGGTATTTTCTCGAGACATTTTTGTCATACTGTCTCACGCTCTTCGTTTTCAGTCTAAGTTTTGTTACAGATTAAGATGATTTTCTTCAAGGTTGTGTGATTGCAGAATACCACAAGACTAACAGCTGTCATGTCTGGGGACTATGTGTACTTATATACCCCTCTCATAAGTCACTTGGGATGAAAGCATCCTCCCAATGACAACTTTGTGCTTCACCAGGTTGATCTTCAGCCCGACAACAATGAACCTTTCTAAGGAGGACACAGACTCCCACCACGGCACATCTGTGGCATTGTGGGATATCATCCTCTCCTCATTTTACATCCTGATTTTCATCATCGCCATACCTGGAAATGCCTTGGCACTGTGGGCATTCCATCACCAGAAAAGCACATCTCCTTCAAAGATCTTCCTGAAGAATCTGTCGATTGCTGACATCTCTTATGTACTTATTTTGCCCATGCGCATAGTTTACCACCTGTCTAAAGGCCACTGGTCTTTTGGACACATCCTCTGCCAATTGTCAGGCTTCCTTTTCTACCTAAACATGTACTGCAGTCTTTACTTAATGAGTTTTATCAGCCTGGACAGACTACTGGTAGTGGTTTTACCTTTAAGATCCCAGTCGGTTAGGAAACCTTTGTATGCAAAGATAGCTGTTGGCACACTGTGGATATTAGTTATCATGTCCATGAGTCCAACACTTTTCTCAAAGAAGGACAACACCAATTCATCGAGGATATGCAACAAGATGTACCTGGAAAAGACATCTCACACAGCTTTAATTTCTACTATTGTGGCTTTTCTTATCCCCCTAACAACCATAGTTATCTCCTACATAATCATTCTGTTCAAACTGAGGAAACTCAAGCAGCAGGAAGAGCGCCCAGTGAGACACAAAGCTATAAAAATGATCATATTAATAGTGCTGAATTTCCTACTGGCATTTGTGCCCTATCATGTGAGCAGAATCATATACATTCAAAGACAGTTTACTGCCACGAACGGTGAGTTGGAGACACTGAGAATAACCAATCAGATCACATCTGCACTGACTTGCATTAGTGGTGTACTGGATCCAGTGATATATTTCTTCTTAACTCGTGCTTACAGGGACACATTTCTTAAGCTCTTCTGTAAAAATCATGAACTTGGTCAGTAACCACTGATCCAAGTTTTTATAGAAAACTTTTTCTTTTTAATATCTTAACAAGCTAGGATTACGGACATATGTGAAAGCATTCACTTATTCAATAATATACTATGATCTATACTGTGTAGCACTAGAAACATTTACTTGAAACATACTCTTATCAATATGACATGCTAGTTAACTAGCATTAAGAACAAAGCTTGAGAATATTCAAACCTGTTTTCAAGAGAAAAAGGTCACTCAAAATACATGAGATGTGGTGGTTAGTTTCCTGAGGAACTAAAACCACTGGTAACCTTAAAAAGGCCACGTTATTTTACAGCTCCCAGGTATCAAAATATATTTTTAGAAGGTGTAAAAGGAAATGTTTCTTCCTACCTTCTCACCAACTTCCATAACATGTTAAATCCTGAGCTGATTATCACAATTGCTTTTTCCGTCAAATATGGTGAGGAAATATCACTATAGCAAATTAGTTTCACAATCGTAAAAGTGATTTTAAAACACAATTTTTGTTCCACAACTTTAAATTGAAAGTCTAAAACCTATCAATGTTAAGGATTTTGGAAGTTTTGCATGAAACATTTCCATTATGAATGGTGTGTTTTTTGTAGATACAAAAATGCATCAGAACTAATCTGTTGTGTTTCAATTAACGTGTAAGTGAACTGAAATATCAAGTGAGAAGACAGCTGTGACACTGTTCTTACTTTAGATTCATGAACTTCCTGAGGAACAACCTGATTGGAGACAGGTTTCATGATTGGCACTTCTTTTGAGTCACAACTTTGGTGCCCCAACTTTGAAACATTTGGAAATATTCCATTAAGCTTCTACCATTATGAATTCAATTTTTCTTAAATAAGAACATCCATCAGTCTTTATCTATACAGTATCTTAATTGGTTATTATATCAATACAGATCAAAGACATAGTAGTTCTGACACAAAAGAACAATCATGTCTGTGTGATTGGGGAGTTAAATCTCATGAATCAAAGCTTACCTGGAATTAATGAGGTCACTTTACTCTCAAGACAAGTCAAATTTTGTTCAGCTTGACTTTCTTGGGCACCCGTATGAGAGCCTTGTTACCAAGGCAGCCAGGAAGAAGCTGTGAAGGGAGCGGACCGTTATGGCTGTTTTTCAAAGTTAGCTTCGTTTTTCTATAACTGGACCTCACAGTTTTGTTTTTGTTTTTTTCGAAGCAAAAGGACTATGTACAATATATTATTTATACACATAATATGTTACCCTTAAAATGTCACCAATTGTTTATTGTCCGAATCGAAACGTTGCGTTTTGTTAGCTAATCAAGTGTTACTGTGAGTTTCGCTATGTGCGAGATGCGAGTACTTAAAGTTTGTGAAACATGAGAAATGTGAGTTACGTTTTCGTTTATTTAAATCTTTGTCATAGGCATGGCAATCGTCGCTTTTGTGGAAAGCTTTTAGCTCCGAGGTTTACGATTTTCTTTTGTGAAACAGAGATCTGAATAACAAACACAGAAGGTTTTTTTTCTTCTGAGGGCATATAGATTTTCCATTATTTTCACTATACATCCCTGTATTGCTTGTCACTGCACTGTGGCAGCTATGGATGTTAGAATTGATTGAATAGCCTGTCAAACTGGCGTCATGGGCACAGCATCTTCTTTGGTGAGCCCAGGAGAGGTGATTGAGGACGGTTATGGGGGTGAAAGAGGGGAAGCCTGTGAGATACCGGTTGAAGTTAAGCCCAAAGCCCGACTCCTGCGCAGCTCATTCCGCCGAGGACCCCGGGTGATTGGGGCTAGTTTCAAATCTACTGGATCTGTGGACCTCGAGTACGCTGCAGAGTATGAGAGACTCCGCAAAGAGTACGAAATCTTCCGTGTCAGCAAGAATAATGAGATCTCGTCCATGCAAAAGAAGGAGGCCAAGCTGGATGAGGAGAACAAGCGGCTGAGAGCAGAGCTACAGGTAACCAGAGGGAGGCCTCTGCTTATTTGGACACAGCTTTAACAAGAACTGAGATCCTTTAACTCCCATCATGACTGTGACAAACAGGCCCTACAGAAGACCTACCAGAAGATTCTACGGGAGAAAGAAGGCGCCCTTGAGGCCAAGTACCAAGCTATGGAGAGGGCCGCCACATTTGAGCATGACAGGGATAAAGTAAAACGGCAGTTTAAGGTAAAACTTTTTAAATATTATTATTCATGATTAAAGATGTACTTAAGAGTGCAGCTCCAAAGTTCTTGCCAAATCGTACAGATTTTCCGTGAGACAAAAGAGAAGGAAATACAGGATCTCCTTCGGGCTAAGAGAGATTTGGAGGCCAAACTGCAGCAGTTGCAGACTCAAGGCATACACATCTATGATCCAAATGACTCGGACTCAGATGACAACCAAACAACTGTGACTGGTAATAAACTTTTGCACTAAGTTGGTACCATTGCTTTGTTTTTTTCATCTGTTGATGTGCATTCTGTACCCGTTTTTTGTTTAGATTGTTTTTTTTTTTTATGTGTGTTTCCTGTAGCTGCAGGAACCCAATGTGACTATTGGACTGGTGGGGTGCTGGGAAGTGAGCCCTCCATGGGTAGTATGATGCAGCTGCAACAAACCTTCAGAGGACCCGAGTTTGCACACAGTTTGATAGATGTAGAAGGACCCTTTGCAAATGTGAGCAGAGGTATGTTAACTGACAAACGAAACTTTACACTTTTTATTTTTATAACAATGAAGTAATAATAATATGCAATAAAAGTGTTTTATTTTTCCTGCATTTTTTAAAATCAATTTAGTTTGTCTTTCCTGGTTTTAAATGCACATTATTCCCATATGTGTCGGTCATTGTCAGACGACTGGGACGCTGCAGTGGCCAGTCTGCTTCAGGTATCACCTCATGTGCCTCAGGCCTTATGGAGTAACACAGTGCGCTGCTACTTAATTTCTGCCCAGGACACCAAAGCAGAGCTGGATATTTTTATTAAGGTTTGTTCCATAAGTACCTTAATAAACTTTCTGCTTTTATTGAATATTGTTGCAATACTTTTTACTTTTCCTTCTTTTTGGGATAGTTAGTTGATTTGAGTTATACTAAGGCAGCAATATGACTTGATTTTTAATAATTTAATTATGTTAACAAGTGTCTTTCTGTTGTCCTCCTGTGATAAAGCTCCTGTTTTGCTTTTGTCTACCTAATTGGCATCCAAAGTTGTGAATGTGTTTATTGACTAACATTGTTTTAGTCAAGTTAAAGTCATTGACACATTTGTACTGTAAGTTTTATAGGTAATCTACTTTTTTAAGCGAAGTTTAAAGTATAAACCTCTCTAAAAATCGAAGGGTAAACCGTCTGTGTCAAAATGACTTTTTTTTGGGAGCTACCATTAATCATCGTCTCAGAAACCTGTGGCTATTGCTTCATTGACAGAAGCACTCTTGGGCTCTAAGGCGAATGTGTGAGGGTCTGGGCCATTTCTACCTGAATGTCTGCTTCTGTGAGGAGGCTGCCGCTTCATATGTCATGGAGCGCAAACAGGAGATCGAAAGGAGTTCTGTGTGTGTGCTTCTTCTCAAATCTACTGTCACCAGGTACAGTATGATCTGCCCCAATAGAATACATGTAATCTGTTAAATATAATTGTTTGTTTTCAAACAGACAACAATTTTGTGTTTAGCTCAATTGTAGAAGATTGTGAAGAAGCTTTTGTGAAGAATCCAGATGGCCATTCACTGGTACTATACCTCAGGACTGAAAAAGATCACAATTTGCCTGGACCCATTAGACAGCTATTAGAAAAGGTTAATGCTGCAGACAAGGCTGCTAAAATCAAGGTGAGTAGCCTTATATTAATTGACAAGAATATGATAAGTGTGATGGAAAAACCTGTTTGCCAAGACCTGTTATAGCCTGTTAGTATTTAAAAGGCCTCTTTATATATTGAATGAGCCACAAACAAGAAAACTATGAACGAGAGAATTGGAAAATTGAATTAAGTTGCTTATGAGTAAGCACTTAACCCCTTTACTCTACTTATACTCTTGTTATTTCAGATCATATTTTATGTTTAATGTCTTGGTGACCACATGGCAAAATGTGCTTATACTGATTGGATATTACTCAGGTGATTGATCATTGTGGCACAACAGAAGAGGGGGCGAACCTGATTCATGCTCAACTAGAGAAGGTCATCAAGCAGGTACATATCATCTGTTATTAACGCCGGTCTTACAATAGATTAGTGAATCCAAAAGAAACGTTTGTAAGGAAATGATTTCTACACTGCCTGTCCTTAAATTGGTATCCTGTGTTGTACCCTGACAATTAAGGAGTTGCTGGGTTTTGAAGGAGCAGATGTTGACTCTAAGGACTCTGCCGTAGATGAAGGGCAAGAAGAGGACTCAGGAGATGTGCTGTGGGACCTGCGTGATGAGCAGGAGCAGACTGAGGCATATCATCAGGCTTGTAGCAGCACCACCACCCAATTAGGCTTCCAAAAAGTTTGTCAGATCCTTTTCACTAAAAGTTTGGCCCAACTCTTAATATTCAGTATTTTTCTCTTTATTCATTTGAGTTTTTCTTGGTTGTGTGTGATGGTCTTCTTAGTACCTAGATCGTTTGAATGACATGATTGCTGCCCCCCCTCCCACCCCACCTCTGCTAGTATCTGGTGGTCCAGGCTCAGGGAAGTCTCTGTTGCTCTCCAAATGGTAAGAACCAGCTGAACCCTCTGTTGACATTGTTTGACTCATATTAAAATGAGTGTATGAACTTTTTTACTGGAAGCCTTTTGTTGAATATTGAATTAACAATTTCCTTTTTTTCAGTACAAAGAGGTACAATGGTAAAATAAATGTAACTTCAGGTCCCCTTTGTTTAAGTTGCAGGTTTTGACAGTTTCATCGTGGAAAAACAGCATGTGTGTGTTTTCTTTTTACTTTGCCAATCGTTATTTGATTTTCCTTAGGATCGAGTTGCAGCAGAAGCAATCCCCCAACACCTTGTTCCTTTATCATTTTGTTGGTCAACCTCTCTCCGCAAGCTCAGAGTCAGTTCTCATTATCAAACGTCTCACAGTCAAAGTAAGGAGTCTCCATCAACACCTTTCAGGGACGGCGCACATCGTCAACAAGTGTGAGAACATGTTGTCTATCTGTCATCACTTAGCTGCTGCAGCACTTTTGGTCCATTTCGGGTTTGTCCATGGATCCCAGTAAGATCTTGGAGGAGTTTCCACGATGGCTCGAAAGATTATCAGCACGCCATCAGGGAAACATTATCATTATTATTGACTCTATTGACCAAATACAGGTATAACAGAGGAATGCTTCTCCATCATTGATGTTTTTTCTCTGTTCTCCTAGAACAATTTGCATGACACTAAAGTTTTCCTCTTTCTGTTTCAGCAAGCGGAGAGACACATGAAGTGGCTGATTGACCCCCTCCCTGTCAATGTCAGAGTGGTGGTGTCTGTCAACGTAGAGACATGTCCTCAAGCTTGGCGGTGATGCATGGACTTTTAACCCAATGCCATTTTCACATATATGTGCTGTATAGATGTGAATGATTAATTATTAATATACCACGCACTGTATGATTTACTAAATATATGCTAGTTGCATTGCATTTATAATTTAACGACAATATGTGTTTAGGTTGTGGCCCACACTCCACTTAGACCCACTTAGTCCCAGAGAAGTGAGGAGTGTAGTCAATACAGAGTGCCAGGCCATGGACCTCAGACTCACCAAGGATCAGGTAATATATTTCTATCATGAATCAAAATGCTTAGTAAGAGAATGGTTGTTTGTGTTTTGTGAGACCTTTACTTAAGAGTTTATTTTGTTTTCAGGAGAAGAAACTGGAAAGGCATTGTCGCTCCGCATCGACCTGCAATGCTTTATATGTCACACTGCTGGCTCGGATGATCACCAGGTCTGTGGGTTTGGAGGTCTTGCAGTGCAAAAACTGACTTTACTTTAGAATAAGCTATCTGTTTTTAATACCTTCACATGCTGAGGAAAAAAGTTTTACTAAATATTGACAACTCTGTCTAATTTTCTAAAAAGTTTCCAGATTTCAAGCGTTTTTTTTAAGGATACCAGACACACAGCAAGATAGTTCCTGAGAGTTCTTTTAAATGTTCTCTACCACATTATCTGTTTTTCTTCTTAGTGCTAGATCTTGCTGGTCACTGGACGAGAGCCTGGAGCAGTGTCTACAGTGTCACGACACCATGTCACTCTACCGCCTGAGTCTCAAGATGATGTTGAACTCCTTCAGCACAGAAAGAGAGCGACTTATAATGAGAGAGGTGGCTAAAACATAAGGTCATAAGTACTGGCCTTATTTAGAAATACATGTTTTTATACAATCACCCTATAAAAGATCCATAGTATGAATTTATTTTTATAATCTGTTTGTGTTTTGTCTCTCCTTAGATGCTGTGCATTGTATATGCCAGCCACAATGGAGTAAGTGAATCAGAAGTATTAGATCTTTTCCCAGAGCTGGAGTTGCCTTTGTTGTCCTCTCTGCTTCACCACTTGAATAGACTCTGCATTGTAACCCTTCGTTGTGGACTCATCAGGTATCAACACCTGCAGGTAAAAAAAGAAAAGGCCAGAAAGTTTGATGACAAAACATGCATCAAAGAATTCACTACTTAATATGTGGATCTTTTAGGCTTGGGAGGCAGTGAGGCTGGAGTTCCTGGGTGGAGGAAGTAGCTCTGCTGCTTACAGGGAGAAACTCATCCATTACTTCAACCAACAGCTCAGGTCCTCACAGCACTCCCCCCACTCAAACATTCACGTCATCAGTCCTCTGTAGGGATCGATCATGCCGTTTTGTGTGCAGCCAGGACCGCGTGACATGGCGTGTTGCAGACGAGCTTCCATGGCTGCTCCAACAGCAGGAGGACAGAACTAAACTACAGCTCAGTCTTTTGAATCTATTTGTCTCCCAAAACCTTTACAAGAGGTAAATATTTGTGCTGCTAAAACATTGACACAGAAATGTGGTTTTACACACCTCCTGGCGTTTTTAATGAGACATTGCCGTGTTTGTTTTTTCAGGGGTCATTTCTCTGAGTTGCTCGCCTATTGGCAGTACGTGGGCAAAGACAAAAACTCCATGGCTTCTGAGTACTTTGACTCTCTAAAAAGCTATGAGAAGACCTGCGAAAGTGAAGATGGCATGACTAAACTTGCAAACTTGTATGAGACTTTGGGACGTTTCCTCAAAGATCTTGGCCTTCCTAGTCAGGCAAGTCTTTTTTCTGCTTTGACAGCTGTCATTTGAAGAGTTTTGGGTATATCTGATTCGGTGTGGTCGTTTAGGCTGTTGCCCCGTTGCAGAGGTCTCTTGAGATCAGAGAGACAGCCCTGGATCCGGACCATCCCAGCGTCGCTCGCTCTCTGCACCAGCTGGCAGGACTTTATGTCCAGTGGAAGAAATATGGCAACGCTGAACAGCTGTACAAGCAAGCACTCGAGATAAGTGAGAATGCCTACGGTGCAGAGCACGCCAGCGTGGCACGAGAGCTGGAGTCACTCGCTATGCTCTATCAGAAGCAAAACAAGTAAATATGACTTTTGCTTTATGTTGTATTGGGTAAAAAAAATACTCTAGCTGTTGGGATGGCCTTCTATAAAATCTGCTGAAGTAGAAGCCAGTTTAACAAATTAAATTGCTTACAATTTCTGCTTTTTATACCAGGTTTGAACAAGCTGAAAAACTAAGGAAGAGGTCGGTGAAAATCCGTCAGAAGACCGCTCGACAGAAAGGTCATATGGTGAGCATATTACCAAGATAAACTGAGGTTGTGTCAGTCTAACCAGATGTGTTGGTAATGCCTGTTTTCTACTCCCTTTTCAGTATGGCTTCACTTTGTTGAGGCGCAGAGCCCTCCAGCTTGAAGAGCTAACCCTGGGCAAAGACTCTGCAGACTGTTCCAAGACTCTCAATGAACTGGGTGTCCTGTACTACCTCCAAAACAACCTAGAGTAAGGAACTGACCTGCAACACATTATCTTATTCAGTGTGATAGTTCAAACATTTTACTTTGGCCAGGACAATTAGCAATAAAAATACGTTAGTCAAGAGTTAGTTTCTCATTTTCCCCCCCCTTTTATTGTTTTTACCAGTGCAGCCAAAGTGTTCCTTACTCGCTCTTTAGAGATGCGTCAGCGCGTCCTTGGGCCAGATCACCCAGACTGCGCACAGTCCCTAAACAATCTGGCAGCACTGCACACTGAAAGGAAGGACTACAAGACAGCAGAAGACATGTATGAAAGAGCGCTGGACATCCGCAAGAAAGCCTTGTCACCAGACCACCCCTCTTTGGCGTACACACTCAAACACCTGGCCATGCTCTACAAACGCAGAGTGAGACCCGAGTGCCCCTCAATGCTGAAATGTTAATCATGTCTCCTTCACAGACTCACCTGTTGTTGGTTCTTGGCAGTAATTTGATGTCTGCTTTTCAGGGGAAACTTGAGAAGGCAGTTCCACTTTATGAACTGTCTCTGGAGATAAGAGAAAAAAGCTTTGGGCCTAAGCATCCCAGTGTGGCCACAGCTCTAGTCAACCTAGCAGTAATCTACTGCCAACTGGTGAGAATTGCAGTATATGTATACGATGCGCATTCTGTTTAAATACGTAATTTACTCAGTTATTATGTGTTTATATGGTTATAAACATATGATTTAATCTTGAAAAGTGTTTACTGAAACAGTATTTTGTCTTTGGCAGAAGAAACATGGTGATGCATTGCCTCTATATGAACGGGCTCTTAAAGTCTATGAAGATAGTTTGGGGCGCTCACATCCTCGTGTTGGAGAGACTCTGAAAAACTTGGCAGTGCTGAGGTAAAGAGTTTGACATTTGACTAATCATGATCTTAATCATGAATTTTCTGTTTCATGTTTGAATGTTTTTTTTTTCTCTACAGCTATGAAGAGGGTGACTTTGAGAGGGCAGCAGAACTTTACAAGCGTGCAATGGAAATTAAAGAGGCAGAGCCGTCATTAGTGTGTGGCAACGCCCCATCTCGTCATTCCTCCAGTGGAGACACATTCAGTCTGAGGGGGCCAGCTCCCCTCCCACAAGCCCCGAGGTGACTCTGTTAGTAGTTATTGCCAATAATCAGTAAAGGCTGTTCTGGCAGCTTCAAACTGCGAGAGAGTCGCATAAATATAAAATGCTGGTTTTCCCCACAAAGGAAATCATGCGGGGAGAATTCACACTGTGAATATTGTTTAAGACATTTCTGTGAAGCAAAAACACTCAAGCGCACATGAGGTTTTTATTTTTTTAAATAATCAAGTATTTAGCTTGAAAAGCAGTAGAAGATAAGTTTGACAAAGCCATATGTAGAGAGGCACCCATTGTGGTAGTAGGACCTATGGCTGTACTTTTAAGTCAAATGTATGGTTTTGCAAAGATGCAGTATTTAAACATCGTTTTCTGGTACTAATTTAATGCTGTGTGCCACCACGGGGATCGGGCCAGAAACATAATCAAAATATATTAAAATATTTACCATTAGACAGATGGTACTTTTTGCCCAAAGGGAACTTTCATACATTGTCTTATTGGCAAAAAATAAATAATGCATTTGTTTTATGTAAAGCATGTATTAATATTATGTTATTGGAATCTGTAAAAGCTGTACAGGACAACAGAAATCCACCATGTTAATGTTATATACCATTTAATAAATATTTTATGGACGATGTTGATTTGTGCAACAGTTGTTTCCTTAAAGCTGAATAGTACTATGCAGATGGGAGGAATGCACACTCAACTAGTGATCAAAACTTCAAAAACACACATACGTGATGCACTGATTGCTATTTATTTAAGTTTGTTGACATTTTAAGAGAACCTTTACCGTGTATATGTGTGTAAAATGCCTTTTGCAGCACTTTTCATGCATTCTCTATATTAAGCTGTAATGTTTTAGTTTCCCATTAGAACTTATCTCTATTCTTAGAGGAGAATGCTATCAAATAACTCATGAAGGAAAGCATGTTTAACAAAAATGTATCTTCCGATTGTTGCCTACAACTTTTTCATCTGAGCCATCAAGTCTTCAAGGCTCTGTTCAGTCTCCTCCACCGTCTCCCCACTTGTGTTATCCTGTTACAAACACAAGGAAACATTATAATAGAGCTGGCAAAAGCCATGAGCAAATAGAAATATTTTATACATATATTGCCTTCTTATCGTAACATAATCTAAACAAAGAAAAAAGTCATTTGGAATACTAACTTGAGCTGGAATGGTGTAAGCCACAGTGATGCCCTCGGGGAGGTCAGGCACAGTCCCTGATGCAGCCTCTAACTCTGCATCCGTTTCCTCTGCCACCAGTTCAATTTCTGAACAGCACAACTTTGTGTTAGCAAACATTGGGAGGGACGGGGAGATCCAGGCAAACAACTCTATGCAACATATCAGTCCCTTTATTCTCCTCTAGATGTTTTTGCTCACCCCAATCATTGTCTTCATGCACAACCTCCTCTTCTTCCTGCACAATTTCCACCTTTGGTCGCTCTGCTTCTTTCTTCTAAACAGAAAAGATTACACAGACAGAAACGGTCTAAATTCCCAAATTAATGTCAAAGTCCCACTTCCCCAATCAAACAAACGGTGAGCACCTTGTACTCGCCCTGCTGTGTCCTGCAGTGCCGATCATTACACTGGGGGTTGGCTTTCATGGTCATGGAAGGGAAGAAGTCCTGCATGGCATTGTAGCCAAGATAGTAACTGACCGTTCCAAACTTCAAGAGATATCTGGAGGGCAGATCCTTTCATCAGCAATATGTACTTATACAGAATTTAATATGACTGTATATTTTAGGATTCAACTTGGGTGGAAATAACAGCAACATACTTGAGGACATTTTGAACCAAGAGGCCTGCAACAACTCCCATTGTTGTTGGTAAGCTAGCAGCACACACTCCCTCCCGCTTAAGGGTCTTCTCATCAATGTTAGCAGCGACCACAAGTGGAGGCGCACACTAACAACAGAAATCACACCCTGTTACACGTCCACTATCTCAGAGGTGAGCAAAGAGCTGTTTGTAAATTCACTTACAGCGAAGCAGGCCGTCTCCCCAGGAATTATGAGCTGGATGTGCCCAGATACAGCATTTTCACTCACACCCGACTCCATCCAGGTCTGACCTAGTTCATTACAAGCCTGAAAAAAAAGGAAAAAACTAACACAATATCCATATCAGCAGTTTTCAAAGTTACGTTTTTTTCACGAGACACTGATATACTGACTGTATTAATGGCCATTCTGGCTTCAAAGTTGTCGACACAGCTTAGGACCAAATCCACTGGTTTCCCTTCTTCCATTCCTCCATGACTGGAATAAAAAGAAAAATCTGTTGTAGTAGAAAATAAAGGTGCGTGGGCTGGAAATAGATAACAAACAGGAATGCAAACCTGATGCGATCCATGAAATGTGTGAAATTTTCCATTGTTGTGATGTTGTAGTTGTGGATCTCAAACGCGACATCTGGGTTAATGTTTCTGTTGGGAAAAGGGAGTCGTCCCTGAGTAAAATAAACTGAGTAGAAATGGGTGGAGGGAAAGTGGCCTCTGTGCTGACCACAGCGCACCTGAGAGTGTGCTCGGCCGCTTCCACCTTACTGAGGCCTGCCTGGTGAGGCTGGAAGAACAGTCGGTTCATGTTGGCCAGTTCCACTTTATCATAGTCGAAGAGGAGCAGCTATAACACCGAGAGGGATATATGAGTGACACTACAGCCACAGGATCATAGACCAGACAGTGGCACATTGATCAGCATTCACAAAAATGAAGCATACAAAAAGGTAAAGCTTCTATTACCTTACCAATGCCACATCTAGTGAGCATTTCAGCTGTCACGCTACCGACCCCCCCGACTCCAACTACTGCGACGGAGAATGTCCGGATTTTCTGTCAAAACAAATTTATATTTAAACTGTCTGCTACGCTAAAATAATTTCTGCACTACCTGTGATGCCACCTAAACGTAATAGATTATGAATAGAAATTAAGATCAGGTAATAAACACATTGATATTCATATGAAAATTGCATTAATTATCTAATTTATGCAGGATGATGATCTTGTCAGTGATTACATTATAATTTGAATGAAAGAACCTGACAGTAAATGGGAATTCAATTCAGCTCTGCATAATTTAGCCACAGTCACCTCAAATGCATAGGCTACAGGAATAATGAACATCTGCAAATATGTATAAAGACAAACTTTGTTCCTTCCACATCATGACATTTCTGACCATATCTTTTCTACAAACAGCAGTTACATACCTCATAATCATCAACGATTCCCATCCTTTTTAAAGCCATTAGCCGACTGAAACAAAAACACAACTGAGTTTAGATTGTATTCTATGAAGTACATCCATTTGAAAAATGGGTGACTCACTAGGCGTTGCCTCTTAATGCTGTAAGTAAATAAAAGCCAAACTAATAGAATCAGAGAGAAAATCACCTGTACGGATTGGAATCCACGACCTCGGCACTCATTTTTTCAATTTTGGGTCTATTCAGAGCCAGGCTGTGAGCATCTTCTACAGCACTCTGCTTCTGCTTGCATTTTATCAGTTCATTTTCCAACTCTCGCACCCTCAGCTTCAACTCCTCCACGGTCGCCATTAGTTAAACTAATATCAACGGAAAATGGCAAGAATAGTAATGCTATGGGCGATCTACCCGATGTGAATACGGAATATAACCGGTACAGAAAGTACACGTCTTCTCTTCCCAAATCAGCTGTCAGGATGTGTGCCCCCAGAAACATAGTCCGTGTTGGAAACGAGTGCAAACATTCAAATGTTCCTACACCAATGGTGAGCTGTTTCAAAGTGCATTCAAACATTTTAAACTACTGTTTTTAATACCGTTTTGTAAATAATATTTTGACCCTCAACCTAAAATTTGGATGATATTAAGTTCTATTTACTACTTTTTGTCGGTGTGTTTATGAAGAGTGGTCCGACCGCTGTCAGTCCTGATAGTGGGAAGTTTGCTTGCTAAACCAGCTCAACAGCGGATGGCAATAATTAATCCCGAAAACCTCAACATGGAAGAATTGACAACTCCAGTTCGAGAAAAACATAAATTCAATGTTGGCAGTCTTCAAAGATACTTGTCTTTCGAGATGCAGCTGTCTAACAATGAAACATTCACTGTCAGACAATACAGGTAATATGATACCCGATGGCTTGTTTAATTTTTTATTCTACGTTAACGCCGTGTAAAAGTTAACTGCTAAACTGCATTCTGACGACCTTTCTTTAACCTTTTCAGCGCAGGACAGTCAAACCCAACTTTCCTAATCCAGACACCCACGAAAGGCTTTGTCCTCAGGAAGCGACCGCCCGGCCAGCTTCTTCCCGGGGCTCACAAAGTAACGCTTTACGGTTTACTCACTTTAAACATTAGTATAAACATTAGTTTAGCAGAGGACTGCTTTGCAGCAATAATGTTGTATGTAGTTTTGTCTTTTCTCCAGCAGAGGGAGTAGCTGTGTTTGGATGAAACATTTTCACATTTGCTGTAGGGGACGTTATGAGAATGCCACATTTGACAGAAATACGAGAGTTTTACAAGTCGTTGTGAAATGTATAAGTGCTAACGTTATGAAAGTTAAAGTGTGAATTTGAAACGAATTTCGCTCTGTTTTTCTCAAACCTTTTTATCTAGGGTCTTGGCAATCGTGTTTGATTCTTAATATTGATTGACATCTTCAGGACATTTATTTTGTCCCCCCCCCCAGTAATAAAAAATAAAAGCCCTTTACTAAAACTGTCCCGTAAAGTTGATTTGCTGTTCGGGTATCTTTTTGTTTTGAATGAAATAATTTGAAACTCATGGGAACTGTGAAAGAACTTTTGACCATGCTCGACTTGATGTGTAGGTGGACAGGGAGTACCGGGTGCAGAGGGCCCTGTTCTCGGCTGGTTTTCCTGTGCCTCAGCCCCTCTTACACTGCACTGATGTTGAGGTTATAGGCACAGAGTTCTATGTAATGGAACATGTGAGGGTAAGTCAGTGCACCCGACGTAATATGACACAGCTGTCAAGTTGCCTATCTCTGCTACGAATATACAATTACAGCTATCTCTGCTACTTTATACTAAATCGAATTTTCGTTGAATAACTCTGAAGAAACAGTCATTCTGTCATTTGTTATGGATGTTCAAGTGTCTAAATTAATGTATTTTACAAGATAATAAGGATTTTTTTTAATTTTTTTTAATGTTTTGGGGAAAATTCTGCTGTTGATCTGTTGAGCAGGGTCGTATATTCAGAGATGTGCGTCTCCCCGGAGTGAGTCCAGCAGAGAGAGCTGCTCTGTATGTAGCTGCAGTGGAAGTGCTGGCGAGGATGCATTCCCTGGACCTTGCGTCACTGGGCCTCGAAGGCTTTGGACGAGGACCGGGTTACTGCAGGAGACAAGTGAAATAACACGTTTTATTCATTGAACTAGAAAAAAATAAATTATTTATCAACTCAGCTAAATTAATCAAATGAGAAGCATCAGGAAATATATTTCCATCTTGAAGGTATCCACCTGGACAAAGCAGTACTCTGCGACAGCCCACAGAGACATCCCAGTGATGAATGAACTCTCTGACTGGTTGTTGAAAAATCTGCCGGAGACAGACGATGAGGTCACGCTCGTCCATGGAGATTTCCGACTGGATAACTTGATTTTCCACCCAACAGAGGTTTCATTTTTGTGTATGTTATGATTACCTCTATGTTGCGTTTGTCAGCCGTTATTCCACAAATTGTGTGTGATGTGATAGGCACGTGTGATAGCGGTGTTGGACTGGGAGCTGTCTACCACAGGGAACCCATTCATAGACCTGGCCTACTTTCTGATGCTTCACTACTGGCCTGCAGAATTCAGCATTGACAGCCAGTTGGGCAGTGTTAAAGGAGTAGAAGGTGACAAATACTAAAAAACAACAATGCACTGATTGAGCTGATTAATTTATATTATTGTAATACCTTTGCCTTTATTATATTGTCAAGCATTTGTGCTGACTCGTGGTTAACCTTCAATGTGCAGGTGTTCCAGCTGTTGAGGATCTGGTCTCCATTTACTGCAGGTGTCGAGGGATCCCATGCACTTTGCCAAAATTAAATTTTTATCTGGCCCTTTCAGTCTTTAAAATTGCAGCAATTGCCCAGGTTTGTAGTTCATTTGTAAACCCTCTTGAGATCCTAAATACTGAGAATACTGATCGATTTATGCCTTAGTTCTTTTTTGTCTTTCACTAGGGCATCTATGCTCGCCACCTCCTGGGTAATGCCAGCGCACCCAATGCAGCTCAGTTCGGACAGTGTGTGGAGCCGGCTGCTCAGATAGGTTTGCAGCTTGCAAAAAGGTTAATTTTGGTAATACATTTGTTAATTTTCAGTAGTCAGTGTTATCCATATTAGAGTGTTATTTGATATTGTTGATTATTATTCACACTTGTTGCGACTGAAATAAAACATATCAATATTCATTGTTATTGTAGTCCATTGATCTGATTGAGCCCATCTGCTTACTGATCTTAAGCCAGCAACTGTTGGAATTTGGCACCTCACCACTGCCTCCAGTTTACCCTGCTGTTTTTTTTAAACATTTGAGATGTGTTTTCATGCCAGGCCTCTCACAGGTCCAACAAGAGACAGGCTGTTCGTCCAAACAGCTAAAGGCCAGGCTGTTCTCCAGCAGGTTAAAGACTTCATGCGACAATATGTGCTTCCTGCTCAAGAGGTGAGTGCCAAGAGCATCCAAGAACAGAAGAGATTTGTTTTCTCTGATGGCCATTTACAGCAGACGTGAGAGGATACGACAGAGCAGTTCATTCATGCAATCGGGATTAACGAAGCAGAGTCAGAAAACAACCAGTCTATGGATTATTCAAATAATGACTGGGAGTAAGCATTTGTTTTACCAGTGCTAAATGTGTTTTCCCTAGGCAGTTGCAGAATACTACACCAAGCACGCTCAGTCTCCACAGAGGTGGGACACCCCCAAAGTAATAGAGGATCTGAAGGTTTGTGGTAATAATGCTGTTACTCATTTTAACTTGTAAACCATTTGCCCATGTGCCCTGAGCAAGAAAAAAGGAACAAAAACAAATTCAGGCATATGAGACAAAGCATTGCAGAAGTCACAACACCATTACATGTCCCGTATCCTGGTTTATTTAAGTCATGTATAAATGTGCAAAAATTTTATGTATATAGCAACATTAATATCAATTTTAATTCTAATACTGTTATAAAATACACATACTGGTATTTCTCCACACCTGTTATAGTTTTGCATTTTTTTAGTTTTTGGCATGATTTTCAACTTCAGTTTTCATTTCCAGGTAAAAGCCAAGCAGGCGGGGCTGTGGAACCTTTTCCTGCCTTCAGTCAGTGGACTCACTCAGCTGGACTACGCTTTTATTGCAGAAGAAACAGGACGGTGCCTCTTTGCCCCAGAAGTCTTTAACTGCCAGGCCCCTGGTAAAGAATCCTAACATGTTTAGTCAGTTATGTGACTATACCTAAAACACAATAGTTAACATCCTCTGTCAAAAGGTCTAATCATTCTTTTTTTTTTACAAAACAAGTTTTTTGTTTATTTACTGGGTGTTAAAAATAACTTTTCTGAGGTAAAAATCATAAATCATGTTTTTGAGTCTGCATGACCACATTCATTTCCTAATTTAAGCCATAATTACAGGGTGATGGATTCTATAATTCTTCTCCACAGACACAGGAAATATGGAAGTACTCCATATGTTTGGCAGTGAGGAACAGAAAAAGAAATGGCTGGAACCTCTACTGAGAGGAGAGATCCGCTCCTGCTTCTGTATGACAGGTACTTTCATGAAAAGAACACATCATACATCTATAGGATCAGAAAAGTTATGTGATTTGAAAGTACAAATTTATGAATAAATGTATATTTTATGGCACTGTTTGGGATAGTTATTGTAATCTCTCCTTTCATAGTTTTACTCCTCTGGGAGCTTACTGTAGGTTTCTTCTATGCATTCCAGTGAGGATTGTGGTCTAAAAAAAATAAAGCCAGTTTGCACTTGGCACAGCTGCTGCTGACACTGTAAAGAGCTTCTTAGGAGGCGTTACCTGCTAGAAAATGTAAACATCAGTTAACAATCAGTGATTATTCCGTTATGTTCTCTTTGCTTTCCACACTGCCGGGAAACAGCACCATGCTATTGCTAGAGGTAATTTAAATGGGTGTGAGCAACGCTGTGGTTTGTTTCTTTGTAAATGCACCATTCCCAACGTGTTACAGTAAACAGTCTCCAGTTTGACTGTTATTTGAACTAAACACATTAGTGCACTGTATTGGCATTAGTCACTAGAACTGTTAAAGTTTAGACCGGAATTCAGACAAAGGACAAAACAAAGGCTGGAGACTTGTTTGTCTCATTGCTAATTTTCTCCAGTTAAAATCTGAATGTTATTTCCCAGAGCCCGACGTTGCTTCCAGTGATGCAACCAACATGGAGTGCACTCTTCGCAGGGATAAAAACAGCTACATCATAAATGGCAAAAAATGGTGGAGCAGTGGTGAGTACAAAAAACGTCATCCAGTCCTGAGCAGAAACTGATTCTCTGGTTAATTTAAGATTTAAATTGCCCTCAAAGAGCTTGAGACTCTATAAACTTTAAAGAAGTTTTATTTGCAATAACTGAGGAAAACCTCATAAACTGTGGAATGTTTTTGAAAGAGTAAATCTGATAATGCTCTTGTCTAGCCAAAGCCTTTTTCTGAAAAGGTTGAGTTTATATACAAACAAGATGTTAGTGTAGCTAAAGCCCTAAAGAGATGCCTTCGAACCCAAACAGCCAGCATATGGGCTATATAAAAGTGCAGATGAGTCATACAATAAGCTTGATGTAACGTAAACACTTTTTAATGATCTTGAATGTATTTCATTCAGGAAATTCTGGCATTGGTTTTCCAGCTCATTGAACCAGTATAAAGTCAGAGATTTCAGCCACAACACATAATCACTGTATGTCAGTAAACTGATATTTTACCTCCAGCGTAAGAATTTACAGATGATACAAAGTTGGACAAAGTATCTAAAAGTCAACAGAATAAATGCAATTGCATCTACGTTTGAATGATCTCAAAATCATAAAACTGTCTTTTAGTGCGTCTTTGATTAAGTTTCAACTTGAGTACCTGACAACCTGACCTATATTCTCATAAAAAACAGAGCAATACAAAGCAGCACACAAACATGTTTTTCACATGTACAGGTGAAGCACCAGTGCTTACAGATGATTTGATAGTAAACTATAAATATTCAGAGTTTCTTTTTTCAAGGATTAGTATGCCACACATCAGTTTCAGTTGAGCTCGAATATTTTTTTGTACTCTTTTTCACATATGTATATCCTCCCAATTTAAACAAAAATTTCTAGGAAATGCTTGGCTGGAGTTCTTTCTTACTGCCTAATTTCGGCTTTCAAGTTGTTGTGCGGTTCATGGTTTTGTCTGTCACACATGTGTAGCAACACGCTACTTTCCTAAGAGTTGTCTTCTCGCTGAGAGTGAAATTTCCAGGAGTAGGAGGAAATCTCTGGGCTGGGAGAATAACCCTGTGCCAGTATGCGTATAACTTTGTGCTTGGAAAGAATGTGGGTGGGTTGATGGCCATTTTCATATTTTCGGTGACCGGCCGTTGCTGTCATAGCAAACAGTGTTATTCAAGAGTGGTAATCAAATGTTTTCTTTTTCCTTTTTTGTTGTTGCTGTGACTCACAAAATCCAGACCCATACAGTTCAATTTCACTGAAGTAAGAGGAGAAGTGAAACCTGACAGGGTTGTTTTGGTAATAATAATTTCAGGGGTAACGTTGCTATGAGAAAGTAATTTGTTCCATTTCATTAAATGTCATGTTCCCCACATGTGTTTCGGGTGTTTCCCTGTACACTGTCTTAAGATGCTTGGAATTCATATGGATGTTGCTTTTTTATTTAAGAAAAAATATTTCTGGAGAATGCTTTGCCACTCTGATGCAGAAACCAAAGTTTCCACAACTGAACTCCACAAATCAAACTTCCACAACTGAAGTTTGATTTTAAATACATGCTTTGCAAATAATAGTAACATATGTTTATTTCACACTCCTGCTAGCAGTAGGTGTCTTACTACTTTTTTAACATGTTCTTAATCAAAATAAGAAGAGCCAGACATGTACTGTAAGAATTTAAACAGTTATGCTTAGTATTTGTCATTCCTCTGCATCTGTCATTTAGTCCACAGTTTTTTTGATCAGGTCAAAAAGGAGGAAAAGCAACACATGAAATGTAGTTTAGTAAATTTAGAAGTTGAAGCAGAGCTTTGTACCCGAGTGATGCAAACGATTTTCCGAAGAACCGTGTGCAGAACCCTCTCTCTGATGGGATTCACCTCTGGTTCAAAAGGCCCTTTATACAGACTTTGTTTTTTCAAATCCGAGATCAAGTTCATATATCATATAAAAGATTTTAAAAAGTTTGTGTCAGAGATTTTCCTCACGGGTGTCATGGAATGCCCACGGAGGAGAAGTAGCATAAATCACACAAACAGATTTTGCTGTCCATACACATCCGCCATTTTTGACAATTTAGGCCAACGATGTTGGCCGTTATGCAATATCTGTGACAGGCTTACTTATTTCTGATTTACTTTTATTTTAATACTGAATGTGATTATATTGACACAGTTGGTATGTAATTATAGATTATTTCTTTTTGATTAACTGCTACTTCCAATGGGATAACCAAAACTTGAAATCCACAAAGAGCAAAGAATGATGCAGTTTCTCCCTCACCCGTCCCACTCACTGCAGAGCTGCTGCAAAGACCCCGTTGCTAAATGAGAGGGTGTGTCGACCTTGCCAGTGCAGCTCTGTGGTGTGGAGGCTATATAAGCCTATCCCATGGGCATGATAATGCACGGAAATTACTCCCAGACCTGCTATCTTTTATCTTTGTCCTTTAGGCATTTGTGCTGTTCTCCCACTCTCACATATGTAAACCAGTAAAAAGATGGTAACCATTATCAGTAGTTTAAAGTGGAATCATATGATTCTTGCGAATTTTCCTCTAGTTTTTTTCGACTGAAGAAAGATTTCAAGAGTGAAAGCGGATCATGTGACTTCATGTTATGCTTGAATTTGAAATATGGGTTTAATTCTGATAATTGTCTTATGGTTTCATGTTTAAAACAGTGTCACATAAATTTGGGAATCGATGTTCATAGTTAACTGAAGATTCATAATAAAAGTGTTACACTGCATTGTTAACACAGCTCAAGTCCTTAGAACTTATCTGGGTGCTACTAAAATGTTTTTTTCTCGTAGCCTGTTTTTTTTATATCTTTTCACATTTGGTGTGAAGGCTTTTCTTGTCCTTGTGTGGGATTGTTTGGGGTTCTAAGCGTTTGTTTTTCCATTCACAAACACCTGGTTTACAGTCATGACATTTTTCTTTCTGCGCTTTAAAAACATGTTACAGGGGGAGATTCTTTTTGTTTCACAAAGGTGTTTAGATTGTATCTGTGGGGCAACAGGTTTTAAGGTCTTTTAAAAGCAGGCTGAATCCTCTTTGTCACAGTGTGAAGGGTAAACTGTTGGAAAGAGGCCATCCAACTGAGCCAAGATTTGATGTGCTCTGAGTCTATGAGGGTTAGCTTGGCATAATATTATTTAATGGTATTTAATCATTTAAAGGGGGACAACAGATCTGAAGAAAACCCTTTAGTGTAAATGATTGTTTCTTTGAAGCCCATATTATTGAAACAAACAATAAGAAGTCTGTGAAAAATGTCGGTTATGTTTTAAAGATCTCCAAGGAACATGCAGCTTTGCTGTTTTCATGTCTGATAGCATGGAGCGCTCCTTCCTGCTGTGTGCCGTCTTGTCTTTCTTTGCCAAATGTTTTTCGACTCAATGGGTCACCCACTGTGCAATCAAGGCATCCGTCATCCCAACCCAAAGCCACGGGATGTAACGAAATGAGATGCAGATGAGCTCTTGGAAGACAGTGCGGATTGTAAAGTTGAGTTAGATTTGTTGTGAAGAACCGAAAGGATGCTCTGAACAGCTTGAGGTTCAGCTGAAACAGATCTATGTCGCTGAAAGGCTTTGGTTTTTTTTATTTAAGAAAATACATCATTTGTACAAAATACTTAGGGTTTATAAAGTCAACATACATGTTTTTCATCTCAAGAATTTATGTATGGATACTGGTATCAATCTGCTATAGTGGTGAGTGTATGTTAAGGCAAAATTACACAGACATGCAATATCATAAGGTTTTCATTATGGTTACACGTCGGAGGTTTAGATAGTGAAGGTGCTGGTATCTTGGTCTTCTGAACCGGACTGAGACTGGTTCTGTGCGTGGAGTGCGATCTCCACTGCTGGCTCCTCATTGATTTGCCTTGAGTGTCTCCCAAGTCGCTGTCCAAGGTGCTTAGCAGCCTTGAGTACGTGGCCTCTGAACGAGGACCCGACGAAGGCGTACAGCACCGGGTTAATGCAGGCGTGAGTGAGTGCCAGGCTCTCTGTCACCTGGCGAGCATGATCCAGCCCCTTGCTGACTTCGCAATCTGTGACGAGGACATAAATGATGTCCAACGCTCGGCACAGCTTGACCACGTTGTAGGGCAGCTGGGTAAGGAGGAACACAGCCACCACGGCCAGGAGGACCCGCAGGGCACGCCACTTCCGTTCCCTCCGCACCCCCACAGCTTTACTAAGCTTCCTCCCCACCGAGCAGTAGCACACGACCATGACCAAGAAAGGGAGAAGGAACCTAAGAATCACTTCCAGCAGCTCTAGAGCGGCCTTTGCAGGTCGGGCCATGATGGTCGGATAGACGGCTGTGCAGCCAATTCTGTGGTGGGACACTTTCACTGTGGAGAAGATGAGTTCAGGAAGGCCAAGAAAACTGGCTAAAGCCCACAGACCCACACATACCAGGATCCACTGGCGCCGCAGCCGCGCAGTCGTCCCTGTTCTGCCTGCTGGGTTTTGGGTTACGGCCCGATAGCGGTCCACGCTGATGCAGGCCAGCAGCAGCATGCCACAGCTGAAGTTAGTACTGTAGAGAAAGGAGTTGAGCTTACAGGCTGCAGAGCCCAACATCCAGCCGTGGACGGCGTCAGCCGCCCAGAACGGGAGGGTCAAGAGAAGCAGCAGGTCTGAAATGGCCAGGTTCAGGATGCACATATCTGTGAGGGTCCGTAGTCTCAGGCGTGACGTGTAGACCACCACGACCAGAGTATTGCCTGCCAGCCCCACCACCAGAGCCAGGGCATAGATGATGGGGAGGAAGGTGCCACCGAAGGAGCGCACCGCTTCTTTGTCACAGATGCCGTGGTCGTAGTTGTAATCGTAGCTATCATTGATGCTGGAGTCGTCTTCCTCGTGGTAATAGAAGTCCTCCATTTTTGTCTGTACAGAAAAAAGTGAACAAAATAGGCTTTGATTGGATTTTACACAAAGAGATGGGCCAGCGTTATCTGTGTTTTAGCAAAGGAATGTCTCCTGCATGACTTCCCTTGTGAATTAAGCCCTGTCTAAATGTGTGTGTGTCCGAGTAACCATAGCGAATACAATAAAGGGGGAATGGACTTGGAAAGCCTCTACTGACCTATTGAATCGAGCTAGTTTGTATGCTGTAAGATGCTAAGTGATGCACAGACTTCAGGAAATTGCTACTCCTGATTTGTAAAGCCTTTAATCGCAGGAGCCAGACTAAGAACTTCCTGAGAACTCTGTCATCTTTTCTGACATGCTTAGTGAAAACCTCACAGTTCAAAATTGTTGTCCCTTCATGTTTGAATATAATTCTGCTACAGGAAATAAGCTTTAGCTGGGATGAAGATGACACGCAAGTGCCTGGTCTGTTCAGATCCAGGATGTTAGTTTGTGGTATGTGCTGGTTTAACAGGACATCCCACTGACTTTGATGCAGACTCTGATGTCCACATCCGCTCCCTGACTTATCCTTCCAGACAGCGTTGTGTTCACCCTGAAACCAGAGCTCACGTTGTACTGTGAAATATATAGGGGTTTTTGTTCATAATTCCCTTAAGAAAGTGGAGCTGAGAAATCACCAGCAAAATACGTTACGTGATTAATGGCAAAAATTCCTGGCTGGACAGCAGAATAACATCCCAGAAGTATTTGCACTTTAGGAGCCTTTTAGCCGATGACATTTGTTTCCAGATTGACAAGTGAGGAATTTTATGAAAAATGTCCAGGTTTGTTATGTAATGAGCCATTATCTTTCGATTGGGAGGAGCAGCAAAAATTCAAACAGATGTTCTGTGGGAAGTCGGTCAGAAATATGCCAAGTATTCACCATTGTCAACAGCTGCTTCAAGTGAAGCAGGTTTTTACACGCTTATGTGTTTTCACCATTTTTTAGTATTCACATGCAAAATACATACAAATAATGCATTACATATTCATATAATTCCATTTTGATCCATTGCAAAGTGTCACATTTGTAGTTGCATATCCACAGTGAAATAGGGAGTGTGAATTGATAAGTATTAATAAGTGTGTTAATAAGTTTCCAGCTGAGTCGCTGACAGAAAAGTGTAAAATGAGTGCGTTTCGTTGTGTTATAGGTCACTCGTATCACAGGGGAGTCTACACAGCAGTCTTGGCGGGACAAAGTTGTTATCATTACCGCACTTAAGTCATGATAATGTCATAAAAAAATATCCACTGCAGGACTTTGACTGCAGTCTAAAGTAAGTCTATGACTTAATTTAAAAAAAAACTAACAGGGAAAAATACTTGTCATGTAACATGTAGGGACCGACAAGTCCCATTTAGAGTCAAGTCTTAAATATATATTTTTAAAAGTAGAGAGTAAGAACACTATTTCACACACAGCACAACTATTGTGTTAAAGTGTTTGGTATGAAATAATGTATAATGTACAAAGTTTCCTACCTCTGTTCCACTCCTCTGCTGAGATGTGTAAAGATTCAATTAATCCTTTGTGTATCCCTCCCAAACTGCTGTTATGAGTCCTGAGCAGAAACGTTGGTGCTCCAGGACTGGAGTGACTAATCTGAGCTTCAGCCCGGCCCACTTCCCTCGACGCTCAGAGCATGTCCTTTCCCCACGTAGCTCTGAGTGCATTTGTGCTTTGTGGTTGTGCGCGCGCACGTTTGTGTTGGGCATTTCCAGCATTGTTTTGATGAATGAAAAAGGTAATTGGCTGTAGTTTACTTTTAAAAAGTGCCCTTAAAATATGACTTGCTTTTTAGATCAAATGTCTGTGTCTTTTTCTTTGGGGGCCGGTCATCCACGGAGTGCCCTTTGCTTTGTATGTGGGGTAGAGAGAGGGTTTTAAACAACATCTGATATGGATAATCTGTCTTTCCCATTCACAAAGCTTCCAGTATTTGGTGTGGTTTGTAAGAATGCAGTCATTACTGGTCTAAAAACATGGAGTTATTTACACTGTTTACCATCCTTTCTAATGTTCGTGCAGATGTGGTTCTGATTTAGATAATTTTGAATAGAAATTTCCTTAAAACGTGACTCAGTCACCTTTTTTCTTTTGTTCCGTTTCTTTGGAAAATCTTAAGTGGTTTTGAACGTCTTTATTTCCTTAGTATTTCCATAGTTTCTCTTCCTGTTTGTAAATATACTCAGATAAAACAAACAAGTAGGTTTAGTAAAAGAAACTGAATGAATAAATAAATGAATGAATAAATAAATAGAAAAAGCCTGCCCCAAATATTGGGATTTTCTTTCTTTAATACAGGGTATTGCTCATTTGTTTATTTTTTGTTTGTTTTCAACTATCTGCAACATGAGATGTCACAGAAATTCTTGGAGGAGGTTTATTTTCATTCCACTTGTGATGGGACATGTAAAGGCACGACACCAGGGCTCACCTTGTCACAGACGCCGTGAATTGCATAAGAGTTCACAGGAAAACCAAACCTGCTCGTCACTCAAACAGGCTTTCCTAGATGTGACTCAAGGGTGGAGCAGCCCGTAAATGTGGTGCTCTTTGTTACGTTGTTGTCACATTAAGTTACTGTTTATTTGAGCGCAGTGGGATTTAAAGGAAAAACATCTGTCACGCTGAGTTTGCTGGTGTTCACATGCACTCGTGGCCCGGTCCATGTGCCGCGAAAGTTCTGAGACTACCTTGCGTGTTGGTGTCTGGTGTCCATATGCTCATCCTCAGGAGACGGCTTTTCCAGCTGGACAGTAGTTTAAACAGGACGGCGGATCATTGGTCATCCTGTGTTTACCTTTAGGCTTAACGGTTTGTCTTGAAATGGACCACCAACCAAGGAGATAACAAACAGTTTGCTTTTTTAAATTAGCTTATTTTGTCCTTTAGCCATGAGGGGCAATATTATGGGCAAAAATACAAAAATTTTGAAAATACAAGTATTAATAATGTTTTTTATTGTAATTTCATAACACTTATGTGTCAATTTTTCAATAGAAAAAACAGAAAACACAAAAGTATAGGCATTAAATATAACACAATTCTCAAAGACAATCACTTCAAGAGAATATAAAGGGAACAGATTACAAATAAGTAACAATGGAACAGAAAGTGCAACAAAACAAACCCGTTGTTGTGTTTTATGGCAGAGTGCATTTTTCCGTTTTAGTTTATTATGTTTTCCATTTTATAGCTGTATTTTTTGCGCCTATTGGACTCTGTAATTTTGTCATTATTCATTCAACAACATAATTTAATCTCTGTGGGTTTCTTTTTTCTCAAGATTTCTTGATTTTTATTTAAAAAAGATTGCATCTATGTGACATTGCCCTCTAGTGGCTGTCTTTGTCTTTTAAGCATTCAAATCTTTTTTGTAACAAAAAAGCCTTTTTTCTTACTTTTTCAAACTGATTTGTTTTCGGAATTAAAAAAAAAAAGATTCCATCTCAGGAAATGCTGTCATGTCATTAATGCGTCATCAGCTCCTTCCGCATATAGGAATTCCAGGCAGCAACCCACACAGTTTCCGAGCATATCGGGGTTATGGAATGGTTAAGGACACCAGCACTCAGCAGCTGAACATAGATGTCCGTCAACCACAGGATTTGTGCCTCATCCCCACAGGTGCAGGCAACCCCCAGTGTAAAGTCGCCCTCGTCATGTGCAGGAGCCACTCTGAGGACGTGGGCAGCCGGTCAGCAGAGGCCAGGTCAGAGGTGTTTCTGATCTCTTATTGTCAGACATCCAGCCTTTACTTCAATATTTTTACCTATGTTTTTTTAATTATTATTATTGTTCCAGGATTGTTGTGAACATTGCTTTTAAGTGTCACTATTTGGCATTTATGTACATTATCTGGGCTTGTTTTTGTTGCTGTGCACTTTAGTTTACAGCTCATTTTCCTATGAGATTTCCACAGCACTGCAATTCTACTCAAACAGACTTTGACTCTTGGCCGTTTACTACACTGCGTGAGCTTGATCTTAACTGATCTTGTGTTTGCCTGCATGTTTGTAATGAAAATAAATCTGGCCGGGTTGCGTGTTGACCGGCCGTTGGCACTAATCTGTATTACTCATCAGTTCCATGCAGTTTGAAGATAAATAAACTGAAGCAAAAGCCACACCCAAAAGCCACAGTGTGTTTTATACAAACTGCCCTTTGAAGACAAAGAATAGAACGCAAACAAGAAAGAAAAAAAAGTGACCAGTGTAAAATGTTTGTGTGTCCTTGCTTGTCAGACACGGCCAGCACAGTGTGGTCCTGGTGCCAATGGACACAGCAGGTGTGAAGCTCATCCGACCGCTGACCGTGTTCGGACAGGACGGTAAAACACGGACGGAGATGCACACGCTGAGATTAGGCTTTCCTAAATTCACTGAACTCTGTCTCCTTTATTTTGAGCTCAGATGCCATCCATGGCGGCCACTTTGAGGTGCACTTTGAAGATGTCCGTGTACCCGTCTCCAGCATTATTCTGGGTAAAAGCCACATATGTGCTCACACTGTTAACACACAAGCTACGATTAAAAAATGAAGTCTGAGAAAGTTTACAAGAATGCTATACTGGATTGAACTTTTCAGAGAGTTGTTGGACAGAAACATGTTTGTTTTTTTTCCTTCTGTGAGCATTCATGGTATCTGCACCTGTGGCCTTGTTTCCAGGAGAGGGCAGAGGATTTGAGATCGCTCAGGGTCGGCTGGGTCCGGGCAGGCTGCATCACTGTATGAGAGCTGTGGGCTTAGCCGAGTTGGCCTTAGAGCTGCTGTGCCAGCGGGCTGCTTCCAGGCACACATTTGGAAAAAAGCTGTACCAGCATGTGAGCGTTACAGATTCTTACGACCTTAGTCATCATAGAAGTCGAAGCTTTTAATAACTGACATCTAGTGGTGGCATTGTTAGTACAACTCCAGTAAACCCTCTCTGTGTCTTGTGCTATGTGTTGTGTCTAGGAAGTTGTCGCTCACTGGATAGCTGAATGTCGACTCAGTATAGAGCAGACCCGCCTGTTGACCCTCTGTGCTGCACACGCTCTGGACACTCTGGGCAGTCAGGCTGCTCGCAAGCAGGTAAAAAGTGTCCCGTTTTCTTTTCTTTTTTTACATTAACTTGCAGCTTTCTTTCAGTGTGAGTGAGGTGTTGGGTGGGTGGCCTCCCTGATCTCTGGTGTTTGGGGTTCTATAGCCATGGGTTGTTTATTATACACACCGTGTTTGGGCTAAAGGTGGCTCTTAAGTGAACCAGGCCTCCTTAGGCCAAAGGTCGATGATGGACTTTGACCGTTGGGAGGGTGGGGACATGGACCATGTTCAATAACTCCATTGCTCTGAGGGAATCGTGGAAGTTTGAGAATCCGGTGTGCATGTGTTTTGTAGACTTGGAAAAAGTTCATGACTGTTTTCCATAAGGTATTCTGTGCGGGAATGCTGAGGGAGGATGAGGTACTGCAGTTTTGAGGAAGCCGAGATAAAGGTCAGCTCTTCCAAATCTGAGGTCATGGCTCTCAACCGGAAAAATCTGGAATGCTCTCTCTGGACTGAGGAAGAGTCCCTGTCCCAGGCAAAATAGTTTAAATATCTGGGGCGCTTGTTGATGAGTGGTGGCAGTTTGGCGCTGGACAGAGGGATTGGGGATTTTTCGGTTGTAACGAGGGCGTTGCTTTGGTCTGCTGTGGTGAAGCTCACCACTCACCAGCTAACCGTAGCTGCTCTACTGGCATCTCAGTCCCAACCCTCACCCGTGGTCAAGAATAGTGACAGAATAACACTGTAGACACACATGGCTAAAATGGGTTTCCCACAGAGGGGAGCTGGATTAGACCTCAGAGACAGAAGATAGCTCAACACTCAGGAGGAAGTCAGAGTAGAGCTGCCACTCCTCCACATCGTAGGAGTCAGCCGGTGGGGGGTTGGGCCTCTGGTTAGGATGCCTCCCGCCTGCCTCCCAGGAGGAGCTGCAGAGAGAGACATATGTCTGGGCTTTCCCTCCCAAATCTGTTATCACAAACTTTATCCTATTACCAAACACTGTCAGCTTCTTTAGTGCTGGTTCTGAATATTTCATTGTAGAAAACGTGAGCACACTGGCAGAATACTGGCCTGTCTGTTTTTTTTTTTTGCAGCATCTGACTTAATTCTGCTGTTCCTGAACAATAGATCGCTCTGATCAAGGTGGCCGCAGCCAGGATGGCCTGTAAGGTGGTGGACTGCTCCATCCAGGTGCACGGAGGGGCAGGTTTGTCAGGAGACTTCCCTCTTGCACAGATGTAAGTTCACTCTTCTTATAAAAATGAGGAGTAACACACTGGGCTTTTGTAATGGCAGAAAAAACCCCTTGTCTTTAGGTATGCATACGCACGGACTCTGCGCATCGCTGATGGACCAGATGAAGTGCATCTTTCCTCCATAGCACGCCTAGAGCTCAAAGATCAGCTCAAGAAGGCTCAGGCAAAGCTATGAGGGGGCCAGTTAACTGTTGACTTATAGCTCAAAATCAGTGTTTAACATTCTAACGCAATTAAAAAATCATGAATAGATTTTTCAGTGTTAAATCTACCAAGATTCGGTACATCAAGTTTGTAAGCATGGTTTAAATCATATCATATTCAGGTTAGAGTAACTCCCTCTGCTCAGCCGTTTAATAAAAATGAAACGTGTTTATTAGGAATTCTTTAATGTGAACTACAAAAACAGAAAATGACAGCATGAATGTAAGACTTATCACACTCAGTACAGGTGTGGTCTACCGCATGGATGAATTCCATAGGGAGGTGACGGGGGATTAGGACACACAAACACATTGTTTTCTTTTCTTCTTTTACAATATACAACAGCAGTGGCCCCATCTATTTTGATACAGCGGATGGTAACCCATGCAGCACCCTCCCCTCGTCATTGTCCTTACATCCACGTTGGGGCGTAGATCTCCAGCTGCCAAATCAGTCTATCCTTTATACAGAGAAGGGGAGAATCGGAGAGGCTGGTCTGAGAGTCGGCGGTGAAGACGTCAGTGTTTACTCTTCTTTGATTTTTTGTGAGATCGATGTGGAGATCTGGATCTGGAGCGGGACTTCTTGGTTGATTTCTTGGGAGATCTGGAGCGTGATCTCCTGGATCGTTTAGGTGTGCGAGGTGATGAGGGAGATCTGAAAGGAGAAAATGTCATGTGGGAAACATTTACATCAGAGCCTTTTTAGTGATTTGAGACCAGAGAACATGTCCAGACTGACTGACCTCTTGGATGACTTTTTGTTGCTGGACCGAGGAGAGTCTTTATGGGAGGAGCGTGAGGATGTGTCTTTAGAATAGGACCGGTCGGAGCGTTCTGATCTTTCTGAGCGTGGTGATGACGACCGGCCTCGCCTGCTGCTGCTCCGGGTGGGACTGGGAGATCCACTGTGGTGCCGCTTCCTGTTTAACCCGGAGGTTCAAAGCCTTTTGTCATGCCCACTTGCAAATCCAAAACCACATCTTTTTTTCACTGAAAAACCACTAAAGCACTCTCACCTTTCCTTCCTGGTTGGTGTGTCATCCTTCTCTTTCTCCTTTTTCAGTTCTTTTAACCGGGCCTCGGCTTTCTCCTTCTCCTTTTTCTCCTTCTCTTTCTCCCGTTCAAGTTTTTCCTTTTCTTTTTCCTAAGGAAAGGGAACACAAGGAGTCAACCCATTTCTATGTACAACAGCTAGAATCTTTTCTGCTTCATTCAGTACCTTTTGTAGTAGTTTGTCCCTGTAGTGCTCCACCTGCTCCAGAATACTCTGACCAGGCTTTTTGGGCCTTTTCCCCAATTCCAGCTCATCCTGGAACTTCATTACTTTAACCTAATTAACCAAGTAAAAGCTAAATATTAATAAAAATAAAGCATGATGCCAATGCTGCTGTGTGCACTATGGGATTGCAAATGACCTCAATCTCTCTGAGCTTGGTGCGTTTCTCCTCATTCATCTCAGACATCTTGGCCTTAACATCAGAGTCATCTCTGCTGGGGTTTGAGTAGCCCTGGTTATACTCCGAGTTAGGGCTCCTGTCGTCATCATCGCTGTCCTCAAGCCTTTAGAGGAAGATTAAGTCAATAAATAAACATGTAAAGAATGTACATGTCGGATTTTTTTTTCTTCTGCAAAACTCACTTTTTCCTTTCTTCTGGTTGTTCGAATATCTCCCATTTTGATGTTGTAACAGCTGAGGAGGAAACGGAGGACATAAATATCATGGAAACATCTAACAACCATGCTATGTTGACTCAGGCGCACACAAAAAAGGAAGAAAAAAAAAAGCATTCTTAAACATTAAATCTTACCCTGAGCCTCCAGCTCTGCCTCATCCACTGCTTCCCATTTTGAGGGAGCTACCTTGAACGTTGCTTCTTTGGACTGATCGACTGTAAGAATAGAAACATGACTGGTTCATTACCGAGCACGTGGATCCAAACAGCAACACAGAACTCCCTGTGTCAGTCTCTCTATTACTCACAAGGTATTCCGTCTATGTCTTCTTCCATAGCTTTGATAGGAATGCCATCTAGGTCATCCAGAGGGGCTCCGTCGATGGGCGCCCCATCGATGGGACCTGCGTCGATGGGCACTCCGTCCACATCCTCCAGCAGAGCACTGTCCACGTATTCCCCTATGGGGGCCCCATCAATGTCCTCCGTTGGCTCGGGCTGATTAACAGCAAAGAGAATTGTAGGCTATGAATCATGTGGGGGGGGGTCAGTGATAATGAATTCTGAATGTGATGCGGAAGGAAATAGGACTGACATCATTTACCTCCACTACAACGCTCGGAGGCTCTTTTTCTGCGGAGAGATTAACAAGCCCCAGGAAGATGTTCTGCAGCTTGATGAGGAAGGGGTCTGGGTACACGGCCCAGTCCTCCCACGCCCGGAAACAAGCCATCACCCGTTGCTGTGGCACATGGGAATACAGGGAAAACAGTCACATTCGCTGAATATGTTCCGCATCTTGTAAAGTTTGCTGAGCGGGGAGATTCGTACCTTGAAGTTCTCACTCTGAAGATGGCCTTGTATCGTCTTATATGTGGAGTTGAGGTCAGAAAAAATCTGGCAGAGCTTCGTCTCAAAACTAATAAAACCACAGATATTTAGAATTACTAAGAAAATGAAAAATGAGACAAAGGTGTGATTTGGTTCAAGCAAACGGAGAGAACACTTACTATTTCCTGTAGTACGACGCATTGGACACTTTAGCAGAAGAGTTGTACAGTACATCAGAAACCAGATATAACCGTGCTATCTGAAACGGGAGAGGGCAGAAGCTCACTCTGCGCTCCTTGAAGTGAACTGTGAAACAACAGAAGGGGGCGGCGGCCATACCTTCTTTGGCAGAGGTGTCTTTAGAATGGAGAGAGACTCTGTAATACACTCCACGATCTCCTCGGCCGCCTCAGCGTGGCTCAGACAGAACAGCATGGCTTCTGCGATGTCCCCCCTCCTGGGGGTCAAACCCCGAAGCATCTCTTCCAGTTTGTCCCGCTCACTGCAGTCACAGAGGCATCAGGCTGAGCTGAGCAGGGCTTTACCCTCACAGAGCATTTACCCTCACAGTGCCATTCATTCTGAGTAGACAGGAATCCACAAGGGCACAATCTTACTCCTCTTTCAAGCAGCCTTTCTTGTTTCCCTCTTCTTCTTCCTCCTCTTCGTCACCATCATCGTACGGGCCGTGGAGGTATGGATTAAGAGGGGGCGGGCGCCACAGGGAGCCATTTTTGAACATCCTGAAGTCCTCTGTTCTCCACTTGGCTGGTGATTCTCCCTGACAAGGAAATCGTTCATCTTAAATGTCGAGAAATACCCGCAGTTGTGGTCGTAAAACGCAATATTTCGAGCAGCTAAAACACACCCTGTTTAACTGAACTAACCTGTAGAATAGTGTAGAGCTTCCACCGGTAATAAACGTGCGCTGGGCTCTGGTTCTCAAACAAAAATCTGCAAATGGAGGAAAACCATCAGCACCACACCCTTTAAATGACCACAGCGTGAACGTTTGGAAGGCTTCAGACCGACCTGTACATGGGGTTGTTGATTTCTCTGTTCATGATCATGGCTTCAAACATTGGGCCTTCACGCACCACAAACTCGATCATGCGGTGGATGAGAGAGAGCAAATTCCTACAAGAAAAACACAGTTAAAGCAAACGGTTTCAGACTGAACTGACCCTTCAGCACTACTTCCAGCCTATTCATCAAAGCTTAATTTATGCTTGGCGGTTTGACACCCGAGTCAGTTGCCTTGAACAAAACAGATCGCGCAGGTTTTAAATGGACACATTGCCAAAAGAATCAAAAGTATCCAAGATGTTCGGATACAACCAGATGTTTAGCTAACAGAGCTGTGTAATGTAAATAACATACTCAAATATGTCATTACTCATTCATTACTGACGCAGATTAAATAAAGGACTTGATGGAGACACCTCAGACAACTGTCAAGCGTGATGTTACCAAGAATAAATTAAGCAAACTGTGACTACACTTTGGAGCCTATGTATAGCATTAATGAAAAAATGCCAAAAGTCAAAACATATGATAAAATCTGGTGACAATATCAATACAATATTTTGTGTCTAAATGATTGAAAACTTAACTGAGTTCATGTCTGTGTTATTTGAAGCTACAGTGCAACAATTTTTTAATTCCATTGCACTTCTTAGTTCCTGAATTAAAGATATGCCCGTGTTTAAAAAGGTGGGCAGCATCGACAAGACACAGCATTGGCAGAACGATTTGCCAGCACAATGCCTTTCAATCCTCACGAATGTCACCAAATTGAAGGTAACAGTGAAGGATAATAGATTATCTACTGATGGACTGACTGAGTATGGTGCAAACAGAATCACTTAAATTCTGCAGTAGCATGTTTCAAAGAAAACTTGTGGCGCAGGCTGCATACAAGTAGCCTAAAGTGGCCAACAAGACAGAGGATGTCTTCCATTTGACAACACAGATCACATTTACTTGTATTGGAGCCGATCGTACCAATGACGGGGTAAAATTCTGTATACTTTCCCAATCCATCCCATGATGCTTTTCTGGTCCCTCGCGGCTGCAGACAGTTCAACTTGTGCTGCTCACCAAGGCCAATGTCAAAGGTCATAATAGACTACTGCTGACAGGTTTGGATTTGTTGGCAGGTAGCCAGACTTACTGAGCTCCCGTAGAATGACAGAGGCCAAAGGGGGGAGACAGTCTGAGTGAGCAATGACCAGAGAGCAGGCTTTCACAACTACAGATCAAAAGTCAGCAAACCTCGTAGGCAGCTGAATACCATGTCACCGAAGAGGAGCAGCACAATGTCATTTCATGTAAGGAGTGGAACTGTGATGGTCATTGCCTCTACACTGCGTATTTAATTAGCCCTGTCATGATGTTTTACTACCTTTTTAAGTACGAAATGTATGAAGGTGGGATATGAAGGCGCAAAGTGATAAACTCTCAGTATTTTTCTATGTACTGGTATGAGAACAGTGTACAACTGCCTCAACCATTGCTCATCCACACTGATCAGCCCCCTGTAGCATGCAGTGATCAACTGATCAAACTTATAGCTTCATTATGGGATGTTTTTTTTGTCTAAGTTTGTACACCAATTTGAAAAAAAGAAAAAACATGTACCTTTCTGTTGGGATAACCACTTTGACTATGGCTTGCGACAGAGTCTGTATATGAAGTCACATCAGATAATAGACATAGAATGTGAGTATTGTTAAAAAGGCAACAGGTGAAAATATTTTAAAAATGCATTTCAAAGTGCATAAAAGACAACAATTTTCCTTTACTGCTGTCAGCCTTACTAAAGGGCCAAAAACCCCTGATATCCTGACTACAACAAAGGCTATTATTTCATCAAATGCACACTTATGTACAGTGCAGCTAGAATAATTCAATCAACAAGAATATAATCATAATCTTACAGAAATGTGTAAAACCTGTTTTGACTGTTCGCTACATAAGCTAACATCTTACCAGCACACTTAACACTCTGCTGTATCGCATTACAATATCTTTGGCTGGCTTATTGAATTACCTTCTCAAACTCCTCCTTGTTTTTGGGTGGAGGAAGTAGGGGGGCACTGGGGTTCTTTAGCCTCTCCCGGGGCTGTGCGTTGAAGGGCAGGCCAGAGGGAGGAGGTGGGAGTGTATGCTCCATCATGGAAGGAGGGATGTAGATGGGATGGGGTGGAATGGGCACACCTTTGCCCCATCCTAATTTCATCTCAAAGTTCATGATCATCTTTCCTATAGTTCAAGACAAAACAGACATGTAAACATACAATCACTGGAATGGTTCCTGATGTAGAACTCCTTAAAGATAATGTGGACAAGTACCGTTTAGGTTCTTGAGCGCTCGCTCAGCATCCCTCCTGTTCATGAAAGCCACAAAGCCACAGTTCCGCTCCCGAGCCCTCTCCTCATCTGTCCTCGGCCACATGATTTTCACACTGGCCAGGGGGCCATAGCGACCAAACTCTTGACACAACATCTCCTCATTCATCTAAAAAAAAAAAAAAAAGAAAAAAAAGATGGAGGTGGGTGATATATTTGGATATGAAACTAACTTGAAAAAGCAGGATGAAGCAACACAATACACCGTACTTAAAAATCAGTTTGACAGGGTTATGCTGACCTCCTTTTCAGAACAAAGCTAGCTGAATCAGTACTTTAGTGTCATCACTTCTTAAAAAGTTACCTGTGGATTGATATTTCCAAGATACAAGTTAGTGGTGGACGGGTCTCCAACATCATGGGAACCTGGTGCAGAGTCGTCCAAAACTGCAGACACACAAGAGAAGAGAATTTCCTGCTGCTGTCTGACAGTACAGCCAATTTACTTAGCAAGCTGAAGATATTCACGGCCACTATATTAAGTCAAAATTACCACTGGACGGACGGTTTCTTCTTGAAGAACCATCCGCTAAAAGAAGCAGAAAAGCAGTATAAATTTTGTTTCAGGATGAAGGAGGGCAATGGGCTGGGACGTGGAGGGAGGCTTGCTGGGAAGGGCCATGTTCAGGCAATGTTTGTGCGCTGAAGACATTAAGCCAACAACGATGTACTCACATGAGCGTCTTCCCTCCATTCCTGGGAGAGGTTCAAAACGACTAACTCGTCCTTTCATTTTGTGCCTTTCATCCCTTTCTTCCTGGATTCTAGAAGAGATGATATTAAGTATGAAAAATGCCCCCCCTTTGGAGAAGTATGAAAATATGCATTTTAGAGTTGACACATACTGCTTAAGTTCTTCTTTAAAGAGCTCTAAGTTGCTTTTCTTCTTCTCCTTTTCAGAGCTTTTCTTCAATGTCTGACACGCATAGAGGAAACATAATTAGAGGTGAAAACAAAGCATGCTACAGCGATAATAAACGTTGCAAATTGTTGACTATGACTTACATTTTTCTTGTCTAACGCTAAAAATTGAGGAGGGGTCTCCAAAGGCAGGATGCTTTTACTCTGGGATTCAAAACGAGACTTGGGCTTGTATAACTTTCCTTTTTTCTCATCAGACGCTGCTTCCTCTACAAAAAATAAAAGCATGTTGGGCATGAATTTCACACAAAGCTTAAGATTTTGTGCACCTCCCAAACAATGACAAATACATTAGAAACAAGGCAGCCAAAGTAGAACAGAGTTATGATTTTTTTTTTTATTAGATCATTTCTACAACAATTAAGAAAAACGCATTTTGACAGCAATGGAGGTTTTGCTGATGTCGTCATTCTTTTTCTTTATGATCATCCCAAAATAGACATTTTACAGTGCTACATGCACTAAGATATATGCATGATCATTTTTCAATTAAAGCATAGTGATACTTTAACTTTTAAAAAACTCTGCCAATGTACCTTTTGTTGCATTTGCAACGCCCCCACGCACAAAGGCCTTGACTTTGCCATCTCCTCCTCCTTCAAAAGCAGCAAGAAACTCCTCATAAATCTCTGCTGCAGCTCGCTCATCTTCCTGTTCACAGAAAGGCAGCGAAAAGAAAAAGCAAAAACAAGTAGACTTCAGTGTCATCTCATAAATATCACACTTAATAAAGAGTTGTAAAAAAATGTATACTATATCTTGCCTTTTTCTTTATTTCATCTTGTTCTTTCTTGCTTAAAGTCCTTTTGGCCACTGCCATTTTACCAATGCTGAAAGACTTGAGTTTGCTCTCAAGCAGCGCCTGTCGACATAAACAAATAATGGTTAGCGATCAACAGGTATTATGTAACCAGTCGGTGTTATGCATACCATCTACATGAACCCGCACATGGAAATAGAGCAATTACTTGAGGCAGCCTCGGTTTCAGTCTCTCGGGTATGTAAGACGTGATCGTTGTCATGTTGACAGATCACAGCAGTTTTCACGGAGCTTCGACTTGCGCTACGTTACAAAAAGCTTGGCGTGTGCTTTAAATTCACCGTCATTGACCATTGTTTGACATTTACTCGCATGGATTTAGAGCCCATTTTCTGTGCAGTTAACACCAGACAGCTGAATCAATCTGACCAAAGGCCCAAAGGCGCCTTTGACTGAAAACATCATGCCGACCAGCTAGTGGTTGTTACAACAGGCTAACGTTGACATGACGTTAGGCCCCAGCCAACTAATTTGTTAGTTATCGCTACAAACCTCAAATATATAGAAGACAAACTCAAATCTGAATATCAAAAGTTTGCGTCCCAAGTACTTAACAAACTGCATAAATTTTCTTCTGGTAGTCTTGCTTGCTGTGGTTTACTCGCTAGCTTAGCTTAGCCCTTACTAAACAGGCTAGTGTGGTTCGCTTTAGCGCGGCAGCACTTTGCTAACATGGTTGCGCACACTTGGAATTCTGTTTTCTAGCGGGCTGCTAATAAGCGAATAGTAGCAACCATCTCAGTGTATTACAAACTCCATCGCTCTGATAATATTTAGGACAATGTAGCCAGTGCAAAAAACAAACAATTAATTTCACCTTAGCGCTAGCTTTTTGAGAGCCAGGCGTCCGGTCCGCCATCTTTTCTGGAACTAAAATAAAATCGATCATCGATCACATGATAGAGTCTAACTTTGAAATTCTAGGCATCGCAGTCAATTGCCGAGTCCATGATGAAAGAGTCCATTTATCGGCATACAAATATTTTTGTTTGATTATAAAAAAGATAAGGACAAACTACTGATAACTTATTTTTTGCGTGAAACAAATTAAAATGTTGAGTGTCCTAACGCCATCTGTGAAATTTAGACACTGACATAGCTTTTTCTGAAGTAAATACGCTTTAAGAATGTAGACATGGGTGTTTTGCTTTGGGAGCAGCAGGTCTTAGTTTTTTTTCTCTTTATCTTAAGGTTGTTGTTTTTTACAGTTCTATTCCGTTGTACACGGGCATTTTCTTTTTATACGAACGAATAAACAATGGAAACCAAGTTGGAGATGCTTCCCAGAAAGCAGGCTTATCTGGACTCAGTGTGGGCTACTTTTGGCACAGTTATGGAGTTCCAAGCACTCTGGGCCGGACTGGGCTATATAGTCATAAGCCTAATGGCCTAATGTGTGAAAATTGCTCAGCTGAATAGTGTTCTTTTTCTATCAGTGTTACAAATAGAAAAGCTCCACACAAATCTTGCTCTATCTATGTCATCCAGTAGGTGGCGCTCACATCCCATCCCCATTCTCTGCATCTCACCTGACAAACCATGACAAATTCAAACACTAATTTTATGAAGGCCTGTTTTAGTTTGGGTTAAATGTATGTGCCAGTTAAAGAAGTGGTGCATTTAAACTGCGTGTAGAAGCCTGTCATTGACTTCTAACTCACATATAGAGTGTTATGTCCAAATGGATTATATTTGCTCTAAGGTGAAACCATGCACGAATGAGTTCTTCAGTCAAGTTTAATCATGCCCCTCTTTCAAGGTTTTCCACTAGGCAGGTGAAGTCTGAAGCCCATGTGAGACCCCACACCCTCCATGTGCGTCTTTCATCCTTTTCCCCGGTGCTCCGTCCCTCCTACCGCTCAGAACAAACGCTATATTCATGTGCTAGAGCTTGCAGTTGCTCAAACTCCCCGCAGGAACTCCTGGGTATTTTTTCCCAACCGTTTCGGCATTTGAGCACAATGACATTCATGCCACGGAGCGAAAACAGGCGAAGCGCCTGCTCCGTTTACCCAACAATGTGGAGAACATGCGGTATTTTTGGCGCATGGACTCTGCTGTTCTTGACAGAAGTCTGTGCGCAGTCTCAGCGGAGGTACATCTTTATTTCATTTCCTTCCCGTTTATTTAAACAATTTATGAGAAATCAGTGTCAAGGATCCTGTGAAGGCTGAGGGGGACTGGAGTTTGTAGAGGAATATTCTGCAGTCTGGGCAGCCTTGGGACATTTTGCGCATTGGCGAGGATACAGATGTGCTAAATCAAATGCAGATAGTCGTTTACCTTTTTTTTTTTTTTTTTATAATTGTGCGAGCATGTCATCATCATTTGAAAGCATATTCACCATATTTATAGAAAACATTTTTCCTCTCCAGACCTATCTTCACATGTGGCGGAAACATCACTGGGGAATCTGGAGTGATCGGGAGCCAGGGGTATCCAGGAGTTTACCCTCCAAATACCAAATGTCTTTGGAGAATCACCGTGAGTCCAGTTCATATCTAACTGTTTTTCATTCTTAACCTTGATAACACTGGTTGGTAATACACCCAAAAGCTTCACAGTATAGTGGTACGGCACTCTGGTTGAGCTCTAACTACCAGTTTCTTTCTAAAAATACTCTTCCAGCCGCAGTTAGCTTAAGGCGATCTTTTTTGCTTGGCTCTTTTACATTATGGTACTTTGAAGTAGTGGTAGAGTGACGGTTACCCTTGTAACTAAGTCTAAAAGTACAGGGCAGGGTGTAGAAGAAGAATTGAAAATGCCCCAAACATTTTTCACATCCCACCAAAAACAACGTAAAGAGTTAGTGTGATATCTTTATTGTAGAGACTGTCTTCATTGTAAACATCTCAGTCAAGATGACCCTTGTATTTTGTGTTATATCCCACCCAGGTTCCTGAAGGCAGGGTGGTTGTTCTGTCATTCCGATCCATTGATCTGGAGAGCGACAACCTGTGTCGCTATGACTTTGTGGATGTCTACAGTGGCCATGTCAGTGGGCAGAGACTTGGTCGTTTCTGTGGAACGTTCAAGCCAGGAGCCCTTGTTTCCACAGGCAACAAGATGCTTCTACAGATGGTATCCGATGCCAACACTGCTGGAAGTGGCTTCCTTGCTGTCTTCTCTGCTGCCCACCCTCATGAGCGAGGTAGGCCGGAAGCTGTGAAAAAGGGCACTGGCATGCTTCTTATGATTTTTTGCTCACTAAGTCATCTCAGGTTTTTACTGGCTGAGGAGGGTTTCTGTCCGAGCCACAGAGGCTGTGCCCAGGCAGGAAAATTGAGCCTCCCTCACGCAGACAAAAAGAGAGCTGCATCCCAGCTTTACTCACAGCATGACGTGGAATTCCTCACCAATTATTTTTCTTGTCAGAGCATCTGAGTTGAAAGCACAAGTCAGAGGTATCACTTAGAGTTAAATTAGGCTTTCCTTGTATGTAGACTCATTTACTGTTTTCCTGGAATTTTAATGGCTGACTTCTAATGTCAAACATCTGTAATGGGTATTAAATATGAACCAGTTTCTCAGGCTTTTTAAATTTGATCATAAGAGATGGATGAGGGATTTAATTTGACCAAAAATTGCTATGTCTGAATAGTACAATGTGTCCTCTATTTGTATAACATCTGTGCTCAAAACTGGGCTTCTTCAGTCGGACTGGAAAACCATCAAAAGATTAAATGTGGATTGCAAAAAAAGCTTGATATCTTACACAACTGTTGAGCTGATGTTTATCTGATGGTTAACATCACTAGTGGAATATTGTGTGTGTCAAACAGGAGCAGCAGCAGCACTGATTACAAATTGCGAGAATGATTAGAATTACTCACAAACTTAGGATCTAAGAGATGGCAGTTGAGATCTGGATAATTGATTCTAACAGCAGGGATTATGTTTCGCTGTCTGTTTCCACAGGAGATCAGTACTGTGGGGGGCGACTGGTCAAGCCTTCTGGGACTTTCAAAACCCCCAACTGGCCTGAGAGGGACTACCCGGCTGGTGTCACCTGTTCCTGGCATATAGTGGCACCAAAGAACCAGGTCAAATATCCAGTATAGTTTGAATCGAAAGCAGGAGTGAATGATTGGAAAAGGGGTATAATCGTCTGGGTGATACTGACATGTTTCAAATTCGCCTGCCGCTGCAGATTATCGAAGTAAAGTTTGAGAAGTTCGATGTGGAGCGGGATAACTACTGCCGCTACGACCATGTCTCCATTTTCAACGGGGCGGAAATAAACGACGCAAAGAGGATCGGAAAATACTGTGGAGACAGTCCCCCAGCGTAGGTGATTTCTGTCATGCACCAGGTACTTCTTAAGTTAAACGGCCGTTCTTTGACAGCAGCTCAGCTTATTCTCAGTCTGCTTTCCTTTGCTGCTCGCCAGGCCTGTGTTCTCAGAGGGGAATCAGCTCTTGATCCAGTTCCTTTCAGATCTCAGCCTGACAGCAGATGGCTTTATCGGACACTACAAGTTCAGACCAAAGAAATTCCCCACCACCACCATACTGCCCACCACCACCCTACAGCCAGTCACAACCAGACCTATACGTAGGTAGCAGCTTGATTTGCTTCAAAAGCATTAGATTTGATACATGTGTGTATTTGGATGCAGCTACTGTCCTTTTGGAAAGGCTTGTTAACATGTGGGATTTATCTTTTGCATCAAACAGGCTAGGGGTCTGGCATCTGTTGTGATAGCAGATCTAACCAACAACAGAAATAACTACCCAGAAAGGCTGAAGTAATAAGGCAATGTGGCTCCAATTAGCTCCATCAACCAAGGACTCTTACTGTTTACAATTGGGAACTTAAAATAAAATGACTTAACCGAACAAGCAAATGAGTAGTGCAAACACTCGGTTTGCGGGTGAAAAGTAGTTAACATTCACAATGTAATATGCAGTTTCCTCTGTGCACTGTGTCCACAGAACACACAGTTCTGGACACTGAAACGCCCATTAGAGATGAGCCCAGTATGTGCTCAAGCACAATATTTGCTAAGAATGTAGCTTGCTTACATTTCTCTTGAGTACACTGTATGCTACACAGGTTGACACACAGTGGGGATGTGTGTCTGCAACCACATTTATACTTCATTTTCATATTCAAACTTGGATCCACACAGTGTGTTTTTTCCCCTTAGTCAAGCCAAGCTGTTTAGGTACTCCTCTCATGATGTCATACTGTGATATGGCTTTAAGTTTCTTAGCTTTTCCTTTCTTGGTAAGAACAAATATCTAGTCTGACTCTTTATATTTTCTTTACGCTGCGTCTTTTTCCCACTTGGACACTTTACTATCTGTAATTTGAAAAACAGATGTTTTCATTTCTCATTGTCTTGTTATTTGTTTCTGAAGCCAAAGGTCCTCCAGTTCCATAGTCTCTGAGTACTGAGAAGATCCAGTAAATTAACCACAAAAGAAACAGACGTAACCAAAACTTAAATGCTTGCATCAATAGCGGACAAAATTACAGAGTGAATTTTCTCTTCTGTGTGTGTGTGCCTCCACAGCTCTGAAGTACTCTGTTGCCCTATGCCAGCAGAAATGTAAAAGACGAGGAACACTAGAGAGCAATTACTGCTCCAGCAATTTCGGTAAGACAATCAATGCTTTTTTAAACATATATAAAGCTCCTAAATCATAGTCGCTGATGAAATCCAGCTAATGTCCCAATCCTCAATTCGCACATGTTAAGCCACATCTCAGTTCTTTATCATTGGCTTCCAAGAAGAAAGTCTGACAATCTGATATTTATTCTCTAGGCTGAAAGACTGTCAAAGTTATTTTTCTTACATTGTTCTGGTAGCTTGTCATTATTCAACCAAAATCAGAGGGACTTTGATTTGGTCAGAGTTTAAATCTTTTTACTTGGCCTCTCATCATTTATCAAGTCATAACTTATACATTTAAGCATTAAAAAAGAACCCCAAAAAAGTCACCAACAGACGACTTAACAGCACTTTCCGGCAAGTCACAAAGAAATAACTGCACCTACAAAAAAATATTTAAAAAGCGCTGCAACTATTTCCTGTTTTCCAGATAAAATATAAATGAATGAGGGGAGCTTTGATCAGAACTGTACATGGACAGACTTCTTGTCTGCCAAAACTCTGCTAAGTAACCATTTCAAGTCCTGATCATGTCCCTATCTTTGCTGCTCTCATTTTCACTTCTGTATCTGAAAGACGTTCTTGATAGCTGGCCAACTACCCAGGGACTATATACAGTAGCACACAGTTACCTCCACTTGCAGTGTACACACACACACTTTTGCTGCCACTGACTGTGGTGAACTACATTAAATGATCTGTTGATTCAGACACTGCCTGCATTTTAAACTCAGCCACTAACTGAGTTTTTTTCTTGGCTGGGGTGTTTACTGCATGTGTTCAGATTGGAATTTCAAAGAGTTCTTTTTGGCCTGGCACCAGTGTGTGTGGAACGGTAAATGACATGATGGCGCATTTGGAAAAAACCTCCCATGTTATCTGCCGGAAAACATCACATGGTGTGATATAAGTGGTTAGCTAGCAGGTTGACTACAGTTAGTCTCAATAAAGTTGCGACTTTTAATATTTTTTCAGCCTAGCAGTTGAATCTGTCAAAAGCAGTTTGCTGCTTGGTGGGACAGTAGCAGCAAATGCAGTATGCTTACATAACTGAAACAGGGACTCCTCTAGCATCATGCTTTTTCATATCGGTCAGGAAATTAAACATAATCTTTGGGAGACCCAGACATATTGGTACCATCCGTGTAAAGAATCCTGTTCATGCTGAATTACCTCTGTTTCCACCTGACTTACCTGGCCCCACTCCCACAACCCTGAAACTGCTCAATCTCTGCGTTCCAAAAAAAACACAACTGTATGTTTTATACTTTTGGAGGCTTAGTCAGACTAAACAGGAAATGACTGAAAAGTTGCCTTCACTGTTTAGCACTGAAGGATTGTTGTAAAAACTGGGCACAAGTGGCAATTCTCTTTACTGAACAGTGGAGGATTTTTTCATCCAGTTTTTGGAAAATTATATCTGTTGTAGCTGAAATGAACAGTCAGACAGTAAGTTATGTTGTTGGTGTATGCTTTGGATCTGTTGCACATCAATGTGTGGCAAAGCTCTTTAAAAGGTTAGGAGGACAGTGTAAATAGTCTGGAGGGAAATGTTTATACTACGTTGTTAATTCACAATGACATCTTTACAACCACGCTGCACTTCAAAGACAAAGAATTATGTTGTACAAACACATTTCTCTTAACTCATTAATGTTGATAATGAAGCAGCTGATTTTCTTCACTGCGTTGGTAGCTTGTCATATTTCATAGATGAGCCATGGATTTTATGACCCACCATAGACACATGTGATATGCATTATTTTAGTTTAGCCTCTAGGAGAAAAAAACTGTAAAAGTTCTGTCTGTTTGATTTATAAAAAAATATCAAAGAATTCATTAATACTTACATATGAAAAATCCTTTGCTATTTTTTGTTTCTTTTTTTTCTCTGAATACATAGTTGGATGCATGAATAGCTGCTAACACTAAACCCTAACCCTTTGGGAAATACTAAAACTGTCAAAAAGATGAGACTTTTATTCCAGTTGAAATTGAATACAGTGCCCAAAGGAATCATAAATGCACTTCAGGTTTTCATATTAAAAATTGATGTGTACATTTTTTTAAACCTTTTTGTGTGTCTGTTACAGTGATAACTGGGACAGTCATTACTGCGGTGATGCGAGGAGGGAGCATGTATGCCACGGTCTCCATCATCAACGTGTATAAGGAAGGCAATCTGGCAATCCAGCAGGCAGGGAAGACCATGAGCACCAAGATTATTGTCCTGTGCAAAAAGTGCCCGTTTATTAGAAGAGGTGAGTACACAGACTAGTTTACAGACTACGTATAATGTTATGCATTTATTAAAAAACATGGTTATGAAAGTTATGAAATGTTGGCAATCACAGTACAGTGACCAGTTGACTGTTTTGAATGACCAATGGCTCTGAGTTTGCCTCTGCTGTGCCGTCACGCTCAGCTGTACAGCCCAGAGTTTTAGGTGAGCGGCAGAACTCACTGTCCAAACAGTCAATGAAACATTTCAGACGTTTCTATGCCTGCATATAAACAGAAGGCATACAGACCTGCCACGTGCGGATTCTCACGTTCGGCCTCCCTGAATGTCTCTGCCGTTCCGCCACTGCATTCAGGTTTATTTTGTGTGACCTCACTAGGCTTGAACTACGTCTTCATGGGCCAGGTGGATGAGGAGGGCCGGGGGAAAATCGCCCCACACCACTTTGTAATGGCCTTTAAGTCGAAGAACCAGAAAGGACTCAATGTTCTCAAAAACAAGCAGTGCTGACTTCCTGGAGCGCCGGGAGCGTCTTCTGAGCCGCCCTGCCCGCGGCTCAGCTGTGGATGGAAACTATTAAGAGGAAAACAAATCTCCCTCTCAACAACACCACCAAAGGCCAGAAAAAACAATCCAAAGTAGAGTTGCCAGAACAACGTAGAATACGCATGATTTATTCAATCAAGGGAGTCTCCCATGTATTTTTTTTAATTTCGCTGCAGATTACCGGTATACAGTTTTGGATAACACAAGGCTTTGAGTCATTCCAGTCTGTTCATCCAGTCAAAAGAGCAGCCTGTCAGTGTGTTTTTCAAACTGAGATCAATGAGCATAGACATTAGTCAATGTTTCCCCCTCTTGCTTTGACAAATTCCTTTCACACTGTTACCAGGGATTCAAATTTTTGCTGGCTGGAGAAATTTCACTTTTTTTTTTTTGTACACATCTGTTATAACATCCCCTGGTGTTACCTATACTCACCTAATTATTCCATAAGTCTTTCTTTTTTCTCTACAAATCTGCAGAATAAAATGTGAAAACATACGGGATTGATATGCTGAAAAAAATATTATACGTGTGGCAAAATTGTTTCTGAATTGACATGCCTGACAAGTATCCAGAGGGGATTTATTGCTGTTTTTGTGAGAGTGTAACAATCTGCTGTTAGTGTCTTGTGTTGTTTTAAAGGGCAGGGTTAGAAGTTTCAAATGTGGTCATTAAAGTGCAATATTTAATGTGTTCATAATTCTTTTTAGAGTAATTTGTCTGACTTTATGTGAAACTTTATGAGCTGATGCCCTTTTACTTGTCACATATGCAAAGCATCACTTTCAGAGCATGTCATTCATTTGCTGACATTGTCTTCAAGGTAAAAACTTATTTTCATATGCTCAAATAAATCTCATACAACATCTTCCTCTGCTTCTCTCTCTTTGGGGGAACTTTCACCTACAAGCAGCAAAGTGGTATTTGAATTGGCCTGTTTGGAGCAGCCCAGGCAGATATGCTCAGCTAAGCATGAGAATGAATCAGGTGTGTGTAATGTGACTCTCACATGGACTGGAATACCAGAAACATACTGATGAGTGTTTTCTAGAATTCAAATCCGCTTTCTAGTAACAAATTAATAAAGCCTATGTTAGAGTCAGCTAAGGCTCTCTGCCATTATGCAACGGAACCCCAGGAGAGTCACGATTTTCCACAAATCTTTATTTATATTTCCGCTGAAAACAATAATTTCTTTATGTACAAAAAAAGATTAAATATCAGAGTAACTAATGGGGGGCTGGATCAGGAAGTATTGGTGGTGAATACATATTTTTCTAATAAAGGTCCTAGTTTTAAAGTTGCCTCAGTGACTCAAAAGAGCAGAATTTTTGTACATGCTTGGGTTAGATAGTATCCCAGGTAACATGAAGCAAAGATTTGAAGAGATGGGAATGAGAACAAGTTTTTATTTCTAACTCCTTGGGTAGAACATGGCGTATTTGGACGTCCGGAATCCCAGCAGGTCCCTCATCTCATTGCGGAACTTGGAAAGGTCTTGGCGCAGGTCATTCAGATTTTCTACTGTGGCCTGGTCAGTGCTCTGCATCTTCTGTCTCGTAGAGGTCAGGTAGCGGTGAACCAGACAGCACATGATCTTCTGATAGTTCTCGTCATGCTTCTGCTTCAGGTTCTTCCATTCCTGGATGGAAAAGAGCAGCGAAAGCTGTGTAACTTGTTTAAAATGAAGGCAAAGATCAGAATCAGATGCAAAAAAAGACTAACATTTCTTTGCATTTGGTTATATGAAATAAGGCGAGCTCAATAAGAGATCTGATGCATTTTAAAATATGTGCAGCATTTCTGAAAATGTAACGTCCTATTAAAAGTTGTGAGAGTTTTCTCTTACCTTGAGGCTATTCTGTCTTTTCATCTTGCCCTTAGAGGTATGTGAACAGATCCACTTGCTTAGGCTGGTCACCAAGTAGCAAATAGTCTTTGGCGAGGGGAGGATATTAAACGGTGGAGGCAGAGTACACTTGTCATCAAAGTAGCTAAGCCAGAGTTTGGCCCGCGCAAACTTCCACTCCTTATCCTCATGATTCTACAGAGGTTGAAAACCCATCCAAACATAAAGAACATGTGGCACCCTGACACACTGAAACATTTACACCCAGTATTACCAAGGGAATCTTGAAAAAGAAAAACGACAATTTTAGTCTAATGACTCAAAAACAAACAGCTGTTCAAATGACTTTCAAATAAACAACTCATTAGAAAGAAACCCTTTAACATCTGTGGAACGTTTTAGGGTGACTTAACTGTAGTTGAAAACAGTTAATGAAAACCACTCGCTACCTTAGTGAACCCAAGATGATCTATATTACTTCTGACATCAGGGAGAAACATCTGAGCCAAAAGGTTTCGGGTACTTACAGCAATTTGTCTGAAGCTTTTATGGAGCATGGCCACCAGGAGCTTGGTCAGCACGATGACAACCACAATGTTGTAGGTCCCTATTATCATGGCCCCGACGAAAGAGCGCAGCTCCTCTGTGTAACTGATGCGGGTGACGAAGAGCGCAACATGCGCCAACGAGAAGATGTACCAGAACAGGGCATAGCAGGTCCCTATAAACCTGCAAATCATAGAAAACTGACTCATTAACATAGCAGCTGATGTCGCATCTGCCAGAATTTTTTGACATAAGCAGAAAATATGTATCCTGTCTTTTCATCCTTCAGCATGTCAACATTTTTTACTGCTTAGTTATTTCTGGATCATTTCAACCTTGATTCAATATTTTCATCTGCTCCCCTCCACTAAAACAACACACAATCCGATGGGCTTTTTCCATCTGGATTCCTGAACAATCATTCTGAACATTCGTCACTGACGTCCTCACTGTCCAAAGTGACAGTTTGGAGTTTGCTCGTACGTGTGGAATGCATCGTTGCTCTGCTGCTGGCAGAAGATGCCCTCACAGTCCTTGGGTGACTTCTTGAAAGGGTCTTTATGGTCCTTTCCATAGAGCTGGGTGAGTCCAATGGTGAAAGAAAATAACACAAGTAGAAAGAGGCCCAGAAACTTGCCAAACTCCTGCAGCATCTGGCCCATGGAGATCTGAGAGACACAGAGATTTAACAGTTCCTCTAACGCTTTTTTGTCTGATCAAACTCCAGAGTACAAAATCGACAGTACAACATTTGATTAGTTTCTATTGCAAAGGTGAGTAAAGGTGCAATAATACTAGGGTTAGTAGATGACAGAAATAAACAAATTCAATTATTTTATAATCCTGCTTCAATTTTTGATGCAGTTAACATTTTTCTATTTATGAGTTTTTAGACTGGACAACAAAGCCCCCCCAATATTCTTCACTGGCCTTTAAGAGATGTGGACATTTTTATTTCCTATCAATTTTTTAAAAATGCTTTAAAAATAATATGCAATATTAATGCAATAACGTGCAAAATTCCAGAGCTACCTAAATGTGAGGGCTGAAACCTTTCCCCCCATGTTTTACGAACACTCATACTGAGCAGGGGTCACCATATAGGGATGTGGAAAAAGAAACAATCTGGTATGAGGGCAGCTCTCATCCAACTGTCCCTGAGGGAAGACAGACAGATACAACGGAGACTTGATAGGGACAGAGAAATTCTTCCGAGGCCAAAAAAATACTATTAATAAACCTTAATGGCTCATCTTTGAAAAAAGACGCTTTGTTCCTTTATAAAACATAAGCTTACTGTGCCCAAACGTGACCACCCTCCCAGCATGTCAGGGTGAATGGCGACTGGGGTGTTTGTGCTGTAACCCAGGCAGCTTGTTTGAGCAGAGGGGTTGGTCTGTGGGGGTGATTCATTCTCTTGTCATGTGTAAATCCCCTCTGTGTATTCCTTTCCTGCTTGGTGCACATGTGATTTAGGAGCTGAGGTATGTCTCCCACATGCTAGGCGTGATAGGTAGTCCAACATAGTTACTGGACAAATACTGCATGAATAAAATAGCTTTCAACATTTACAATAGAACTTCTAATGTGTTAAAGGTAGCTCAAACAGGCACAGACTAATGACTAAATGAACCAAAAATAAGTAAACACCGGATGGTAATCATACTGTTAATGATTAAACCTTATTAAATGAGTAACTACTAACAGACAGCAGCACAAACCATGTCTTCTCTCTTCAAATAGACTCGGCTCGCCTTTAGTTTTGGAGAATTAATGCTATCAGCAAGGTCAAGCCTACACAAAAGCCAACACACACTTTTAGTCACTCTTTCCAAACCCTTCGGGGGCCACTTCCCGCAGACATATGAGCCATATTCAGAGGAACCTTCATTACCGAAGCCCCCACAGTCCTGACTCACGGTCTGTTTGTCCATGCATCAGTGGGAACTTGTCTCAGTGCAACTGGTGGGGATACTGGCCGTCCTTAGATATCATGGGCGTGCTGAAATGTGTGGGTGAGTGTGCATTTGAGGTGTGTCTGCCATGCGAGTGCAAGCGAACGCAAAGCCACATCTCTTTCCAAAGCTAATCATTTTTCCATCCTGCCAAGCCAGACGCTGATGTCACAGCACGAGTGGAGCAGTGAGGAGAGAGAGAGGGAAGCAGACTGTGGAGATTTAAGCAGAGAAATGCTAATTAGCCATCTACCGTGCACCCTTAGTGTTTTATAAGCCAACCGCAAACGGTACTGGGCTTAATGGCAGGAAGACGTCCCTGCAGACAGACTGACCTCACTGCATACCTGAGGGCTGCTTTATGTAATGCAGGTCACACATGGGGGAAATATTCTAAACTGCTAGCAGGAAGTCAGATGTTGGCTGGCTCTGCAGTCTCGATAAGCCAACTGGCCGATGATACAAAACATTATGATTTGATAAAAAGAGACACATTTGGCACACAAATGCTTGAAAGGCCTACGGTGGAAAAAGGCAAACCAGATTTATGGCTTGTCTTATATAAAAATAAAAAAAATGAAGAGAAATGTCCATTTGACTTTTGCCTACAAGTGATTGAGACAATCATTTTAACATCCATCCATCATTTTTGTAACCGCTTATTCCCCAATGGGGTCACGGGGACTCTAAAACATTTCAAGTGAATTCAAAGCAACTTATGCCAGAACACAGTGACATTTGCCGAGCGTTTTTTGTTTGAGTTGTATGTTTCCCCCACAGGCAAGCCTTTCTACTTTATTCAATATCCAAAATGTCTATTTGAAAATGTTTTAAGAATTGCTGGAAAAGGACATAATACCCTACTATTTAAGTTAAAGCATACCTAAACCTCTATGAAATCTCTGCACATCTAACAAACCATATTCATTTGCTACAAACAAAAATATATAAATTTGAAAAAACGCTTTTACTTAAATACTCCTCCAGCTTTAGAACAACTGAAGAATTATTTGGTGAAATCAATGATATACAGGCAAAAGCAATTAGAGTGGAGGATTGCAACATATTGCAAAGCTTAGTAATCTTGATTTCTCTCTATCATGAGTATTTTATCAGCAGAGACCATTTATCTATTGCTCAGTTTCCAGGTGCCGATACTAAATGCCTCTGACGGTGTAAGTGTACAGCAAAGTGCAGCTGGTCGGATAATTTGTGTGGGCTTGCCTTGAATCTTCATATTCAGAAAGGAATAGAGTGGGTGGTGAGAGTGCCAGTGTGAATCTGTGTATGTGCTTCTGTGTCTTGCAAAAGAAAATGGTAGAGAAAATTGTATAAAAAATGGTAGAGGTTTTCTATTCATTATGTAAGTTTGAGGTAATCAATATCTTCACTTACCTGTAGCGGTCCCAAAATGGAGCTGGTTGTGTACATAAAGAAGAGTCGCAAGTAACTTAAAACATTGGCAAAAGCAAACAGGCCCTCAGCCACCAAGATGGGATGGAAGGCATCCCAGTTCTTCCTCTCTTGCTGCTCTTTTTTGAACTGCAAAGTAAGAAAACAATTTTAAAAGTAAGATCTGCAGCCTCTGTGTAGAAAACTCTACAAAGATGTTATTATTTCCATCCATCTACCCATTATCCACACTGCTTATTCCTAGTAGGGTCACGGGATAATGTCATACAGAATGTCATGTGTAGTTTGTAATATCTGTTGTCTAACTATTACCTTTCTATTGTGTAAAGTATTTAAAGCATTGTTACAATACAAAGTTTTATAGATGCTACTACTGCAGCCGTTGGCTAGAACTGGGGGGGGGGGGGGGGGGGTGTTAGAAACATACTGAATGATCTGAAACGATCTACTCTTTCACAGATTTGCACTGTTGCCAGCCATCCTGGCCTCCTGGTCTTGTATTGAACCTGAACATTAGAGCATGGCTGATGGCAGGTCTTCTAAATTAATAGTCAGATAATTTTTCTGGGAAGTATGCTCTGTGTTGTTCATCTCCGGTTCAAATAAACCTTTCACCCATTGGACGACATGCAACCAAAAACTAGTTTTATGTGGTGTAATTTTGGTCATTCTACGGATATGCTTCTTCACAGTGTTTAATTCCTTCCAATATTTTGTCTGGGATTTGTCAATTTTATTTTAATCTTTAGACCTTGCAGAAAGATTATGCAGTTATCTTTCCACTCAACGTGAGAAGTGTGTGTGTTTACCTTGCTGTGAGCCACAATTTTCAGGGCAAAGGTGGCTAGGTAGAGTGAATTCATCACAAAGCTCAGCTGGTTCCGAGACTCGTCCAAAAAGTCCTCCAGCCCTTCGTACCACAGACGCTTCACGTCTGACCACACCATTCCTATAGGGGGGACAGAAATTCCTCATCACACACTTATACACATACAGTACACAGTTATATTACTGGAGAGAGGAATTTTGCTGTCATCTGGAATATTTCAAAATCTTTTTCCAGATTCAGCCATAACTCATCTTGCAGAGTGAGCCCTGGGGAAACAGGAATGCATGAGACTCAAAAATTGGAGACTAATGCTGTGAAAATGTGTCATCTGTGGGATTTAGGGATGTATGTGGAATTTAATAAAGATGAGCACTGGCATCTTTATTTGGACGAATGGTATTCTATAAGTGCAGATGGTATAAGAGGCACCAAGATGTGGTGACTGAACAACTTTATCAAGACATTATTCATTCATTTGTTCCATGATTTGAAGAGAAAAATAAAAAAAATAGGAGCCAAGGTTGCCTCAGACAGCCTACTTCCTGATCCATTTCTGATTGAGATCTAACATGGAGCACATCAAGAAACGTAGATGTCAAGAGCAGATCTAAATTTGAAATTTCACACCATCTGATTTCCCCATCAATGCAAAGCGTCTGGCACAGGGGAATAACGGAACAGGAAAAAAAAAACAGGACAAAAATGAGCAACCTCGAAAGAAATAAAAGGAATAAAAGCTGGCGCTTTAAATTGTGATTGTCGGCTGTAAACATTCAACTAATGTTGGGGCTGTAATAGCTTCAGCTCACATCCTGATAACATGAGGATGTCAGCAGAGGGTAATCATTAGCAGTCTCATCCTTCCCACTGCTCTCATCTTGCATGATGTGTTGATGTTGGAGGGTCCCTGGGGTGCGAATCTTGCAGTGGAGCTGTTTTGAAATGAGGCAACTTTGGCTTAAAAAAAAAAATTAATGCTGAAGAAGTGAAACTCATCTTTGATGTTTCGCAGTACTTAAGCAATCACTTGAACTAAAGTGTACCAGGGAAAACCAATTTCATTTTTCTCTAATGACTCATATACTGATGTCCCTCCCACAATATACACAATAAATTTACCCCAAAGCCATTTTCACAACATGCTCCATTTGAAGTTAATTGCTTCTACATCCTTTCATAACCTATCAAGGTTATATATTGCAATGATTTTTCATTTTTGTGGTGAGAGATTAACAAAGACATGACGAGAAACAAGACATTAAAACCACATGGCATTGCCATGTCTGGCATGATGATAGGTTTTTGGCAGAGGGGAGGTCATTCTCCAGAGGCAGAGTCCATGCGTGTTAATGTGCCTATGGTTGCAGTGTGTGCGGTGCTCATTGATGCCAGTACTCAGAAGGGCCACAAGGGAAAAACGAGAAGCTGCTGCTTCTTTCTGTGGAACTCAATTAGAAGGCTGAGCTGACAGGTTTAATCCAGTAAACCCAGGCTTTCTGACATTTAGTACAGAAACAGTCATTTATCATGCACAGAATATATTATTATAGATCCAAGGCACTAGACTTTAGGCTGACCACAGCAGGAGTTTCACATTTCAGCTCCACCATGCAAAGGTACTTTATTACATTTTGGTTCATAGGACTGAATTATTTTTATATCCTCTACTTTTAGCCAGATTATTGTTGCATTAGGAAATACATAATCATTTAATGATAGACATCTGATCTCCAAGCACTGGAACATGCGACACAATAGCATTACAGACAACATCATTCATTGGGTGAAAGGCTGACCTATGATCCAGAGGATGAGGAGGTAATCGACCATCTCAAGTGCGGGGCCCATTGTGTTTTTCTTGCCCTCATTGTAGACCAGTGAGTACAAGTTGAGCAGGAGCAGAAAGGTGAGGTAGGAGGCACTATGGATGATGAACTTTACGAAGGGCGTGTGGATTATGTGGCCGACTCGGGAGCGTGGCACCAGCAGGTAGCAGACGGAGAGCAGCGGCCAAAGAAAGGCCACGCTCAGAACAGTGGCTATCTTGAGACAGGTGTGCTTGCGCCTGTAGCTAGCTGTCTCTCCAAACCAAACGGTGTTTAGGAACTGCTGACAATTGGATTGAGCCACAAACTGTAACACAAACAATCCAGAGAAAGAGCTCATTGGTGACGTTAAATGACTTGTGGAGCTGGCTAACTGATTTTCTTGGCAAGGTCTATGTGAGATGGGAGCTTTGATGCAGCTTTGCAACAAAACAGTGAGACAGAGGACTTTCCAAAAAATTATTTCCTTGTGACTAAATCACAGTCTATCACGATCTAAGTCTACAGTACTTTGAAGTCTACTGGAACAAGTTTTCTTCATGTCCCACAGCTGTGAAAGTAGAGCTGATCAAACTATCGAAAGCACAAGTAGCTGCTTGTTTTTTGTGTAGGTGAGGCAACAGTATTATTTATGGGAATGTGTTTTGCGGCAATGTTGTTAAAAAGCCTGGAAAGAGGCATTTAAGGCAAGTCAGGGGCATTTGGACAGATTGTTCTGAGATAGAAAATAACAATTAAGAAGTAAAAAAGGCAAAACCCCAAATGAGTGAAATCTCCTCATAAGTTGCTTGTCCACACAGCTAATAACTGTGTGTGTGTAAAAGCTGAACTCTCGGAGACCCTCAACAGCTTATTCAACAATATCCTATTTCAACTTTTCATTAACTCCAAATTTTAAGTTAGAATTATGCAAATGCAATACAACTGTGTATACTTTAGAGTAAAATGAGGAAGAAGGAATGTTTTATCTTGTCCCGAAGGAGCTTTTAAAGGTAAGATGAATTGCTTCTTTTTTTTTAAGCAAGAGACAGTTTGAGCTGTGCGCTGATATGTAAGTCAAACTTTACACACACAGCCATCACAGCCATAAATTATCCAACAGCTTCAAATTGAAAGCTTTAATTTATCTTTGAATCCTGTAGCCTGGAGGAAGTACTTTGAGCTGCCAAACTTCTTTCCTAAAGACATCCACGTGATGTTTTCAGCAGCTGTTAAATGTGACAGCCGGTACAGTAAAAAAAAAAAAAAAGGAGAACATTAACAATCTGTGTCACTGTTTTGTCTCCACGAATTTCTGGGTATGGCTGAACTAAAGCAGAGACAATTCAGATGCATCATCATCCCACATACACACCAGATTGCTCATTTTGACAGACAAACCTCTTTTTGGTTGTACTTGATGGCAAGTTTAAGTCGGCTGAGGTTCATGCGCTCTTCCATCAAGCCTCTCTTGTCAACGTGATCCTCGCTGGAAGTGTGATTGAGGATCACCTCAAGCTCTCGAGAGTTCCGAGCTTGAGCCAGCAGGTCCTTGGCAAACGTCTTACACTGCTGTGCCAGTTCCTCATAGTCGTTCCTGAAGTTAAAAAAAATTAGACCAGATCAGAGTTAAAGAATGTCCCCTATCTATTCCTGACTCCTAAAGGAAATTATTTTACAATATCTCTGTGTGAATATATGTGTGCAAGCACATGTTTCTCTGCTGGGAAAGCAGGACGGAGCTGACCGGGGGTCAGCAGCAGCCTTACCTGAACTCCACCTCTACGAGGCTCAGCTCCCTCAGGTCAGTGCTCAGCTCGAACGCTCTGAGTATGGGATCCTCCTCGGTCAGCATGATGAGAGAGGGGCTGGCGAGGCAGCGGTAAATGTCCAGGCGAAATCTGAAATTGAACAGAGATAAGACGATAAAAGCAGGATTGAAAAGTTTAGTCAGGGAAGAGGTCAACCGGTTTGAGTCCCTCTCTGCATGGAGTTTGCATGACAGCTTCCTCAAACCATCCCAAAAAGAAACCCATGCATGTTAGGTAAACTGATCACTCCAACTGGACTGTAGGAGTGAGTGAGAGTGTGTGTGGTTGTCCATCTCTGTGTGGCCCTGTGATGGACTAGTCCAGGGTGGCCTCCTCTTCTCGCCCCAGTGACAGCTGGGATAGGCCCTAGGGTAGTTTTACCTTACATCGCACTGGGCTGCACTCGCTTTGTTTGTGTGCTGCTGAGATGAATAAATGGGAGCAGAAAAAATGGAGACACAGCTACAGCCTTGGTTAATTCATTCGTAAGTACTTCCAGCTCTGTGTTGTTTGGCAGAGAAGCTGCAGCCTGATTCATTTAATGCGCTGTGTGGGCGGTTACACTGCCCTGCTGAGAGAATAACAAATTCTCATCTGCAAATCCGAGATGGTATCACAAGCAAAGATCCGCTGCTCTCAGAAGAAAAAGCTACTTATTTAGCCTCTTTTCCTGAAAGTAGAGTCCGAATTGATTTGATATTTCAGTGTGAAGCATCTACCATGTGCAGGAAAATTAACATTAATACTGGATCACCACAGCTAGTTTAGAGTAGGACTGAGAAGTAAAAGAGATCATTAGATAGCAGTTATCAGTGGAGGCTGGGAGATAATGTATAACCATTCAAGTAAAAAAAACACACACGGGCTAAAAGCATTCCTAAAATAGCCATTGAATATGCCCGTAAATCATCTCCTTCTTTTTGCAGTGGAAGACATTTACAAGGAACTGTGATGCATCCTAGTTCTTTCACCTGTTTTAAATGTTCCATTTTCCTGAGTAAAGACCAACATAATCAAAGTATGCAATGGGAGACAGAGGTGAGGTTGACTGTTCCGTGTTACGATAATTCAGAGCCTGACTAATCCTCTGGGAACTTAAAACAACCATCTGGATAGTGTCATTCATACCATTTGAGCTGGCCTGTACCTGGAGTGTCGTAAGCTGTCCTTTTTGTTTTTAGCATTGCACAACGTGCACTCGCAGCCTACAGCATGAGGCCGGGGAAGAGAGATATCCTGTTTGAGCAACATGGTCAGGATCTCGTAGTTGTTTCTGTGCGCTGCCAGGATGACGGGGGCCACGTCCATGGTGGTGGAATACTCCGGGTTCTGGATCCGCTGCATTAGTTTCTGAAAAAGACAGAATAAATCGCTGAGTATCAGTAAAAAAAAAAGCCAAATAATATAATTAAATTAGTCTGAATGGGAAACATCCCTTGACAGAAAATGCATCAGAAATAAAGGCTGCCCACCGCAATCGAAGGCTTTGAAGATCGCCTTGGTCTGTGGTTGAGAAGGATGTCTACAGCTCCCACTACCTCTGAGTCTATAGCCACCAACAAGGCGTCTGTCGCCTTCACAGGAACAAAAGCATCATTTTAGGAGACGCCACGTGGAAAGAGAACACGCAGCGTGAAAAGGTCCCATGTCTGGGTTACCTGGCAACCATGCTCCAGAAGGAGCTGAAGGATGTCCAGGTTTTCATTCTCGATGGTGATGGTCACCGCGTCTCGGCCCAGCACGTCCACGCAGTTGATGTTGAGTTCGCCGTGACGGTTCTCCTCAAGCAGTTTCTTCACCATGTAATAATCCCCTGGGAAGTGCATCAAAGGAGAAAAAAAAAACACTCAAGGATGAAATCCACTTTACCGAACACTCACAAAGTCTGACACACAGTGTGTCGGGGAGGAGGCGGGATCAGCTCCACGCAGCCCCCTTACACTTGTATAACAAAAACATCTCCATCAAAGGACAGTCCTCTGTTGCTGCTCCAGGTTTAGAGGCTTTATATGGTCACCACGGCAGGAACTGGCCTGCTCTGCCAGAGCAGTGTTCTGAACTTATCAATGAAATGTTCTCCACCCACCTGACCAGTTGAGAATGCCCATGATGCCTCTGTGCATTTGCCTCGTTTCTTTTCACTCCCTTTACTTCATTTCTCCATGTTAGGAGTTGTAAGGAGTCAAGAGAGCAGGGAGGAAAACTCTCAGGGCAGCAGGACTGAGCGAAATGTTCCTAAGCCACTAAGATTTTCACAGCAGCCAACATGTAGTAAGCTGTTAGGATGACTTCCACTCGTTTTCTGAGCATTCAGGCCTAAATATTGCAAATCAGTGCGGAGCTTTTCTCTTACGACAAACCTAGGAAATGAACAAGAATTATGCGATTTCTGAACAATAAACGAGACAAGAGGAGGACAAACCTTTCTCGCACGCAAGCAGAAAGAGCTTCTCATCCAGCGTAGTTTCCTCCTTCACTTCTCTCACATCCTTCAAGGCCAGGAATTTGTCCGGGGAGGAGGCGTCCGTGCCCTGGTACAGAGCTGCCATTGCGACGCGGAGCGAGCGCAGCCGAACCCTGCCGCGAATCCCGCTACGACCACCGCGACCACTACACGGGAAAGCTCACCAAAAGCGCTGACATGAGAGGAATTCTTCCTTGGAAGTTTTACAGCGTCGTCGTCATCGGGCTAAAGCGCTGCTTCTCTACAGCCGCGTGTCCGCCGCCTCCGTTTTCGCTGCTGTTTTTTTTTTTGGGGGGGGGATAAATGTCACCCCTTCGTAGCTTATTTTCGATTTTCAAACGTATTAATCGACGCGAGCGATGACTAGAAATCGACAAAGAGACGCAGTCTGGTCCATCACCGTGTTTACACGCCCCATCTTGCTGCAGGAATCGAGGGTCTCCGTTGGGTTATCTTTTTTGGTCCTGATGCTGCTGATGAGGATCCTACTGCGCATGCTTGCTCCTCCACCTGCACGCGCATTAGTTTCGTAGAGTCTTGGTGAATCACGATTACATAACAGAGGCGCTTTGTGCTGACCGTGGACTGTACATAGGACAGAATCAGACACCCATCAGGAATAGATGTTATGCATAGCATCCCCTTACGTAACGTATGCATATAAGAGAGTATATATAATTTATGGGATGGGATGATGAAGCATATTTAGGTAGTATAGATTCAATAAATCACATGAACGTGACCAAAATGAATCATCTGTGGCTTTATGTCTATGCGTGTTTGTGTTCAGAAATCATTGCAGACATATATTGTATGGGTGATGTTTGCAGCAAATGACCAAAGGAATGGTAGTCAGAGGGTCTGTATGTGGCCCACAGCTGCCAGCAAGGGAGGACAGCTGTACATCCACCATATGGGTAATATTCCGTCAAACAGACACTTACTGCACAGTAGTTCACACAGAAGCAAACACATCCCCTCCAGCAAAGTATCATGCACAGGAGTAATTAGGCTAAATGCTCTGAGATGCAGCAGCATTGCTAGAACTCACAAAGATATAAAACCTGGGCACATATAGACAGAAAAGGCACAGCACCATTTCTCTGTGTAAGATACAGAAATCCATGCATTCTGTGGTGAGATAAACTAAAGTAGAATGTAACTTTAAATGGAAATAATCCGATATAAGCTTAGATTCTAAAGAACTGAACCATGATGTCGACAGTGAGTCAGCATGCTCAGTGTTGGGCAAAAGCAATTAAATAATGGACCTAAAAGAACAATGAAGCTAATCAAGCCCTTAAAATAATTTGATGAGCTGTAACTATCACATCCCACGGACAGAGGCCACAGTGCAGCATGATTACATGGTGAGACGAGGAATTAGAATGATTACAAGGCAGGAGAATCATTCTTTCTACTTTTATGAGCCAATTGAATAAATTCCCTCTTGGTGTATTGTACTTATTGTAGAGATTTCTGTCTCAATTGTTACTAAAGAAAACAATATTTTATCACTTTTAGACTGGGGAAGATGATAACAGTAAAAATCATGTTGCCTTTGGACTATAAAAGAATGGATAAGAATAAGAAATGTTATGGCAGCACAGAAAATGATGGATCTTTCAGATGACTATGTTGTAGGTGATCATAAGTACTTGAGGAAGAATAAACAGGTTCCTGTGTGGCTGCACTATTATCCAGCCTTATAGCTTAACCAACGGCTCGTAGTCAGTCAACAGTGAATCAATGCAAGAAGGGTATGTGGATCATTGTTTCAATCTCCTAGGATACATTTTTAGATCTGCATGAGAAACTGAGAAGGCAAAAGGTGGTGGAACATTGCTGCATTGCAGTACTGACTGGTGTTGTGACTTTACTGTCTTTTGTGATTACATTTCCAACTTAAACACTCATGCAACATGTAGTACAGACCAGCAAAACATTTTTATTTTTGTATGTGAGATTTGGAGGCCTTTCCTCCAGCAGAGGGCAATCTGCACACAGCTTTAATATCAGGTAGATCCGCATGGAATTTACACTTTAAAATGACCATCTGTTTGAAACATGGAGATCATCTGAACATGCAGAGCAAAAAGTGAAACTGCTCAGCCTAATAATCTTATATAATCTTTTCTCAGAAATGCAGATTTAGATTGAGACAGCTGTCAAATGCAAGATTGACTGTAATGCATATTATTGATAAAAAAATGTTCATCGTGCGAAATAAGTTGTACAAATTTGAAAAATGTCACGATTAACCAATTAATAAGGTCATAAAGTCAACCAATCCGTATATGACTATCAAATAGAAAATCTTTCTCTGGGGTCACTGATCTTTTTCACTCATCTCTTTTCATTTTTTACTTTTCTTCACTTGTGCCAGGGCTTAATCCCAAACAGACAAGTCTTTTAAGAGGGATGATTTTCAATCTGCAGAGCATTTGATTTCATCTGTTCAAACACACTGACTTACAGCTTCCCAGGACATTTGCCAGTTTCTGGGAAACAGCTGTGAATCCTCACATTCAGTAGTTTGCTCAGATTAGAATCATTCTGTATCTCAGCATTTCTGTTTCGGTTTGAATGGACAAACCACGGTGTTCTGGATTCCTATTTAAGATAAAAATGTTTTTAAAGTATTTTCAGAATGCATGTTTGGCATGATCCTATACTCGTTATCCTTGGTGTTTATTTTGGAAACTTCCCGTCATGGCGCCTGTCTTTCCCACGGAGCTGGGCTACCCTCTTGAGGATGCGACAGGGACAACAACTGCATCTACTGAGTAACTCTGATGTTTCGGGAATAAAGACAATATTTGTAGTAGAATAACAAGTTAAAACGGATAGAAGACTATAGAACATTTGCGATAAAAATGTGGAGCGAGCTCCCCTGGACTAAAGAGCTCCAAACGTGTGTGTGTGTGGAGCATGCATAAAAGCCTGTAGACGGTGAAGTGGTCTAAAACATAAAAACAACATCCACAGCCGACCATTTCTGTTATCTGTGGGACCGACTGCTGAGCCCGGGAGCAGACGGGCAGGCGGGAGAACCAATCAGGAGCGGCGGTGGCGGAAACGCGCCAATGGTGCGGCTCGGTGGGCGGCTCTTTCCCCCTTGCGGTGTGAATAAATCTGTTCCGTTTGTGTCAGTTGGGCGACTGGAGGAGCAGCACCGGAGCGCGTGAGAGAGCCCGAACTGCGGATGCAGACCAATCGCCGCTTGTTTTTTTTTCTGATAGATTGGATCCCGCAGCGTTGCCTCGTCTCTGGCGGTGCGTGAGTCCTCCTCAGCGGCGTTAGGAAGGATGCCCGAGACGGTAACTGCGCAGGGATGCCTCCGCTGAACATGGACAAACAGGGCGTCTGTTACAATGAAGAAGGCTCCTTCCTTTTTGTTTTGAACGCGGGCCACCCACCGAATCACCGCCACGCTCGCTACGGACGCCCTAAAGCCTCCTGCCGTCCACTGCTCCGATGAAGAACGTTGCGCAGTGCAGTGAAAACTGTACATCGTGCTGTTGCTTCGGTGCTGAATATATTACCTAATCAGCCGGTACCGGGCTGGGTAGAGATTCCGAGCACAGCCCTAATACGCGCAAAAACCCAGTGCGTCGGTGCAGTGTGGATGTAAAGAGCTTTGTCCAGTGGCGAGCGCCGCTCTCAAAGGGCACAAATGAGAGGCAAACAATATCATCAACCACCGAAGTTGACAGCGCCTTGGGAGAAGGATGCTGGGTTCGGGAGGAAGCTCAAAACCTACAGGAATCATACCAAGATAATAGCACAGCCTGGGATCGTGATGAAAGTTCTCCGCAGGAAGAGGATCGTGTTGTTTATGGCCTATTTCTTACTGCTGGTCCTCACTATGCTTAATTTGGCCAATTATAAATGGACTAAGGAGCCACAGCAGTGTAACCATCAGATGAGGAGCGCCTCTTACCAGAGCAGATCTGACATTCGCTTCCTGTACAGGCCCTCTCTGGCCAAAAAGAGACAGCTGATCTATGTTCTGACCACCTGGAGGTCAGGCTCTTCCTTTTTTGGGGAGCTTTTTAACCAAAACCCTGAAGTGTTCTTTCTGTATGAGCCTATGTGGCACATCTGGCAGAAGCTGTACCCAGGCGATGCAGTGTCTTTACAAGGGGCGGCCCGAGACATGCTCAGCTCCTTGTACCGCTGCGATCTGTCTGTTTTCCAACTTTACAACAGCCCCGGAGGCAAGAATTTTACCTCTTTAGGACTATTTGGGGCCACCCTGAATAAAGTGGTGTGCTCCTACCCCCTCTGCTCAGCCTACAGGAAAGAGGTGGTGGGGATGGTGGATGATAAGGTGTGTAAAAAGTGCCCCCCACAGAGCCTCAGACTGTTGGAGGAGGAGTGCCTAAAATACAGCACCGTCGTCATTAAAGGAGTACGGATCCTGGACGTAAACGTCCTGGCGCCTCTCATGGAGGATCCGTCCTTGGATCTGAAGGTGATCCACTTGGTCAGAGACCCGCGGGCAGTTGCCAACTCCAGGATCAAGTCCAGACACGGACTGATACGGGAGAACTTACAGGTGGTCCGCAGCAGGGACCCTAAACTTCGTCGGATACCCTTTGTGGATCCCGGTCACAAAGCAAACAAGAAGGACGGCTCCGACTATCACTCCATCGGAGCCATGGAGGTGATTTGTGACCGCACCTCCAGGACTTTGAGGACTGCCTTAAACCCACCCAGCTGGCTGAAGGGGAAGTACTTGGCCGTCCGGTACGAGGACCTAGTGGAAAACCCCGTCAAGACCCTCAGAAACATCTACCGCTTTGCCAACCTCACCACCAACCAAGACATTGAGTCGTTTGCACTGAACATGACCAGTGGCCCCAGCTCCTCCTCGAAGCCATTCATAGTCTCCTCCAGGAACGCCACACAGGCTGCTAGCGCGTGGAGAACAGTGCTGAGCATTCAGCAGATCAAACAAGTGGAAGACTACTGCCACCACGCCATGTCTGTGCTTGGGTATGAGAGAGTGAGAACAGCTGGTGAGGCCAAGGACTTGAGCAAATCTCTGCTGACGCGCTCCAAACTGTGAAAACATCCTCACCTCCAAAGACCTTTTAGTTTAAATGTTCATTTTTGCATTGAGTGCCGTTTCCTCATATTGTGGAATAAAGCTTTATGTTCAGTGTTCCAGGAGCTCAACAGACCACACTTGGAATGTATCCCGTTTCCCTCAGAGGAGCTGCAGTTGACTCTGGAAGCGGACCACTTCTTTTATACTGAAACACTGGATGTGTTTGACAATGCAAAGCCTGTGAACATTGACTTGAAAAGTGAAGCTGCAACTATGAAAAATAGCAACTGTATAATTCATGTATCTTATGATAACACCTCAGAGGGGGTGTTTTGGGGTTATTTTTGAATGTTCAAAATCTTACAAAAATTGTTGTTTTTTAAGTCTCCATACTGTCTGTAAAAGTAAAAATAGTGGATAAAAGAAAAACAAAACAACTCACTAACTTTTCTTTTTAGGTCTGGTTCAAGTCAGAGACAATCAGTTGATTGGTTTGTTAATGTGCCATAGCTAGAGGTGTCCTCACAACAGCAGTAGTGCTATTTCTAGATTTTAAGAAACAGGAGAGGGGGTGGGGGGTTGTTTTCTTGTTCTTTTGTCACAGATTCCTTGTGGGATTATATCACACACTGTGGACAATGTCTAAGAAGTCTCTTTCAGTGTCAGTGTGAGCAGTCTGTTCTACCATTTGAAATGTTTACAATTGCTTGCTCTTATGAAAACCACATGATCTGAGAATATTGCATTGAGTAAAGTTCACAGTAAATGAGACAGTTTATTGCATCATTGCTGAGCTACACAAGGTGGGACACCTTACTGGACCGGGTAAGGTGTTTTGCATGGGGAAACACTCACAGAAGAGTGAAGTACTAAGTTCCAACTGTTTTTTTTTGTACTAATTATTTTAGCTGCACTTCTTTCCTCCTATTCGGTGAGTCGATTCAAAGATCAGACTCACAGAAGCACCTCTGTGCCTTCCTCGGCCCTGGGAGAACCCCTGTGTGTACAACATATTGTTTCTATTTGGTACACAACTAAACAGGTTCCTGATGGAGTTTAGTAAACAGAACTACTGTCCTGGAGATTTTTTTTTCCAATCGACTCTCAGTTTATTTTAGCTATTTTTCCCAGAACCACAAACTTTTTCTCATACAACATGTTGCTGTAGTACATTTTGCCACTTTTTGTTTGAAATGCTTTGGCGACACTAAGAACAACCCCCTCCTGGAATGCTAAGTGTTAAATTGGTTAGTTGAGCAGCTGCTCTTTCTTTGCTGGGGGCATACCAGATTATACACTGGACAGACTTTATGCAAATGTGTACACTGATCCAGAGAAACAGAAGAAAAAAGAATAGCCGTGGCTGCAAAGGAGGGGTTTCAGTTTGGGAACAGTATTTTCATTCTGTGGAATATAATAACTATCATGTGCTGCATTTGTAACTTTAGACCATTTACACACAGGAAAAAAAGCATGCAGTGTAAGCACTGGGGGAAAAAAACATCCTATTGTTGATCATGATCGTTAAGTGTAGATCATTTGAGACTAAATGACAGAAATATGCATGTATCTGCATGTCTGCCCCCGAAGATTAAAAAAACTAAATAATTATAATGGGGACTGAGACATAACAATATTGTGTCATAGAATTACTCTGCAGAGTACATTTAAAAATCTGCTCAACAGGTTACTAACACCCACAAAATGTTCCTTCAAATGACATTTGATGGCAGTCCAACATTCGGCTGTCTTAAAAGCTAAAATTGCAAATTTGCTAATAGAAGGCAGACTATGTCCCATTCAGGAAACGGTGTTTGACTTTAGCTGTTTAAGTTACCAAAATTGACATTAGAAAAGCTTGACATGCAGCCAGTATCACCACAGAAACAGGGCTAATCCAAAAAGCTATTTTAAAAAAAAGGTGCCACATCAGCCAGAGCAGAGATAAATGTGATGAAAGGAAGATATCAGCGGTTGTCAAAGCAAACAGTTAAAATAAATCTTGGTTTTTAAAAGAAACTTGTGTAAAATCATAATCCCGAAAACAGGCTTCAGCCTCACATAAAGGCATGAAATGTTACAGCTGAGTATGAGTAAGCAGTAAATCTAAATTATGATGAAAATATAGGCTTTGGCATTAAGAGGCTTGACTAATGAGATCCAATTTGAATGTTTTTATTTTTACATGTTTTTATATATATATATATATATACACACACACACACACAGACACGTATTGTAAACATATTTAAACCAATGGATATATTCTGGCATGCCGAACAATGATAACCAAGGCAAGGGGGGCAGCGAAGGAATAATAAGCAATACAATAATACATCCAGGGGAATACATTTGGATCACTTGAAAATAGTGAAGCACTAAACAGGGAAAAAATGGGGAAAAGTTGGCATGAAAACCTCTGATTAAGGGAAACTCTATCATTCAGTTCCAGAATGTGCAGAAGTACCGTTGCCCTTAAAGCCTGACACATTACGCTACCAGACAGCTTCCCTGGGTAATATCACTTCACAGGACTGCATTTTGATGAGGATGTTTGATGATTAAAAAAAAGTATCTATAAAACCATTATTTTAGGTACTAAACTCTAGGACACTGGAGCAAAGCAAGCAAAGGCATAATCAGCAGAGCAACAGGAGGAGCACTGGCCTCTGTAATTTATTTTTTTAGTCCCAGTATGACTACTTCTCTGCATGCATGTCAACACGCGGGGGATGTGTGACCTTTTGGGATCCAGGGTAACTCTTAACTTCCGCTCGATTGCTTTCAGATGGCCGGGCTAGTGACCCTTTTCTCTCTGTGGGAGTGGGTGTAAGCATTAGGGCAGTGGAGGATGATAAGAGGGGGGGTAGAAGAGTTCCCAGGAGAGTCAGGCCTCTACAGTCACAGCTGGACTAGTGCCGAGACCCAAATCTCCCTCCAACAGGTCCTCGCAGTGCTCTGATTCTGAGTTGCCTCCTGATGATGAAAGCTCTTTTTTCTCCACACTGAAGTTGGAATCCTCCGGCTCCGTCCCGCAGAGCTGCTCTTCGTCCTGAACGGCCAGCTGAAAATAATTAGCGATTAATCTAATGTCCCTCTTAGTCTTTGCGTGTGGTAACGTGATGAAGTTTTACCTCCTGCGTACGACGGGAAGTGAAAACTCCTGCGAATGTGCCACACCACTCCGGTAAGGAGTCAGTCAAAGGAGGCCCACTGTGCGTCAGCAGGGGCTGCAGAAATCTGACACTTTGTTAAGGTACCACATCAAAGTTGCAGTCGTTAGAACCGAAGCAAAAACAGTATTTTCCTTTCGTCAGGTTGCATATAAAATTGGGCAACTATAAAGCCTCATTTATTATTCTCCAAATCTACATAACTGGATCTGCACAAGGTACAGAAATACAGATCTACATCTGCAATTCCTCAGGAAAGTATCACCCTTGTCCAAATGAGTCAAAATGTTACATTCAAGTGTTTTATGCCAGATATGGACGACGACATGAATTCTGGAAGAAAACAACATTTAATACCATAAACATGTTCCAAGTTTAGACTGAAAGGCATTAGCTATTTTGATGATGTGCTGTTTCTTAAAGGACGGCGGTCCCTGCAAAGGCATTAGGATGTGACATTGCACACAACACTCATCACATCACTAATGGCACGCAGTTAATCAGCCTTTCCCCTCTTTGTTTGAACTATGCACAGTGAGGGTAAAAAAGGAAAGACACAGTTCCTAAAAAGCACTGCACTGAATTAAAATGATGCAATGTTAAAATAATGTACCTCACAGCCACATTCACCCTTTAGATGTTCTCTTTTATTGGGTCTTACTTCAAATTTGATCCAGTAATCCAGCACAAGCCATTTCTACAAACTGATTTAGCTATGTAATGAGTTTACATTTTTTTCTTTACATCAGTTCAAAATCTGATACTCAACCATTTACTTAAAAACTATTATCAATATTGCCCTAAGCACAAGACTGGATGCCAACAAATGTTTTCCCATGTCTCTCCCTGGAATGGACATTAAACCATTAAGCAGAATATTTTCTTCGTGAGGTCATTGATGGCTAGTGATCTCCACTTTTCCAAGACTGCAATACTTGTCCTCATGCTGCTTTTGTCTCAAACACTAAACTGTCAGCGTGTTTAATATAGATGTGCTACAATTAGTTTATTGTGAAAAAAACTTCAAGCGAAACTGAAGACACCAATGAGACTCTTTCCTGGAGGGAAAGCTGTGAAAAAGCCGAGTGGCAGGAGGTTGGCTTGAGGTAAAAATAATTTACTCATTACAAATGAGTATATAAATGGGTCATTATCTATTTTCAGGGAATCAGGTCAGTCAAGCAGTTGATTGAAATCAGAAGTAATGATTTCTAAGTATTTCTCACAAGCACATTTCATATCAGTAGGTGCCAAAAGATGTAAATGGAGTCTAATCAACTTAAGCTTGGCTATACGATAATAGAAACTACAATGTATTTTACACCTTCAAACATCTGTAATCAGAGCAGTCTTAATGCAGCACCTGCTGTTACACACTTGATTGAATGTTTTGTTATGACTTGGTGGCATTTAGTTGTGACTGTCGTAATAGTTTTCATTAACGGGCACTTTTCTGGGAGAGCACATACTTTGTTCTGTTTACATCCTGAAATACAGGCAAAAACCGGTCAGTGAGATCCTTTTTGAACAAAAGCAACTTTCACACATCTGAGTTTATAATAAATAAGGCAGGACTTCAGGGCTGACCAAGACAATGCATAAAGCCCTTGACATTTTTTATAAAAACAAAAGGAAAGGTTCTCATTTGGCTCCAATTCTTATATTCTGGCTTTATTATCAGTAATATGCAAGAGGTTGGAATAACAGGTCCTAACCCCCCAGCATCCAGGGTTTATTTTTAAATGTTTTAAATGAAGAAATAAAAGAAATGTTGGGGGTTGAGGAGGTTAAATAAAGAGAAGAATAATGACTTCCTCAGCTCATGTGGGGGTGAGCTGACTTTGA